TTTGATCAAAATACTATCTTCAGTTCCATTGAAGAACGTAGTTACACTAAAGGTAAAACTGTGAGAAAGCGGCGCAGTTGGACGGCACATGCCGAGAATGATTTTTCAATGGATTTCAAGTATGAAATCGATTTGTCCTCCGAGTTGAATAAAAGACCAAACAAGACAGGCATCACTGTCAAACTGGACCAAATGCCTAGTCTGAAAGAAAAGTGGGAGTCTTTGTCCGTTGACAATATTAAAGACAAAATATGGACCCTGGCTAAAAGAAAACAAAAATTGAATCGCTAAGGAAAAAAAAAGACTGTATTCAATTTTGTTATGATTTGGACTGGACCCCTAGGGTTAGCTGATAAAGGGTCCAGTCTGGACTATGTGTCTCTAAATTTAAAAAAAAAAATCATAAATAGTAAAAAAAGAAAATAAAACAATCAAGAAATAGAAAAAATATTAGATGATTTTTGTTGGAATTTTGTGTATATTGTTGATTTATTTATTTTTGTTTTATTTTTGTTATGATTTGGACCGGACCCCTAGGGTTAGCTGATAAAGGGTCCGGTCTGGACTACGTGTCCCTAAATTTAAAAAAAAAAATCATAAATAGTAAAAAAAAAACATAAAACAATCAAGAAATAGAAAAAATATTAGATGATTTTTGATGCAATTTTGTGTGTATTGTTGATTTATTTATTATGTTTTATTTTTGTTAAGATTTGGACCGGACCCCTAGGGTTAGCTGATAATGGGGCCGGTCTGGACTTCGTGTCCCTAAATTTAAAAAAAAAAACCAATCATAAATAGTAAAAAAAGGCACATTAAACAATCAAGAAATAGAAAAAAATATTAGATGATTTTTGTTGCAATTTTGTGTATATTGTTGATTTATTTATTTTTGTTATATTTTTGTTATGATTTGGACCGGACCCCTAGGGTTAGCTGATAAAGGGTTCAGTCAAGACTTCATGTCTATAAAGCAATGAACTTTTTCCCTTGCATGTCTGTAGGCCTCATCGTGGCGCAAGGGTGAACACATAATCGCATTTCGTAACTCGTATTTGCAATTATGTGGCAAACTACAGACGAATTATATATTAAATGAAGAGCCACTGTCTTACACACTGGGGTAACATAGTTTGAAATATATTGTTAAAATGAAGAGCCACTGTCTTATTACATCCTGGGGTAACATAGTTTGAAACCCTTTTGTCATCGTCGGGGTCGAGGTAATGCATACTACTATGACTATGACTAGGCCTCATCGTGGCTCAAGGGTGAACACATAATCGCATTTCGTAACTTGTATTTGCAATTATGTGGCAAACTACAGACGTATTATACATTAAATGAAGAGCCACTGTCTTACACACTGGGGTAACATAGTTTGAAATATATTGTTAAAATGAAGAGCCACTGTCTTATTACATCCTGGGGTAACATAGTTTGAAAACCTTTTGTCATCGTCGGGGTCGAGGTAATGCAAACTACCATGACTATGAGTCCGTCTGTGTGCAGTGTAAGTCTGTCAATATGCATATGTCTCCAGTGTGTAATATCATGTCTTCTCTCTCTCCAGTGTGTATTATTATATCACCATTTCTCAAGTGTTGAATATTAAATATACTCTTTTTCTCCAGTGTGTATTACTATGTCCACTATCTCCATTATGTATTATAATATCATCATTCTATTCAGTGTGTGTTATGTTATATCGCCCTTTCTCCCAGTGTGTCTTATGATATCTTTTTTCTCTCTAGTATGTATTATAATGCCATCGTTTTCATCAGTACGTATCATTATAACTTCTTTCTCTCCAGTGGGTATTGTTATGTATGTATGTAAGTATGTAAGAGCCATTCTCTGACACCCTGGGGTAACATTGTTTGAAATATAACATGTTAAAATGAAGAGCCACTGTCTGACACCCTGGGGTAACATTGTTTGAAAGTATATTGTCATCGTCGGGGTCGGGGTTATGCATTCTTCTATGACTGTGAACAAGTCAGTTTGTATGCAGTGTAAGTCTGTCAGTATGCTTCTGTCTACAATGTGTAATATCATATCATCTTTTCTCTAGTGTGAATTATTAAATCATCATTTTCACCAGTATTTTTTTTTTTTCCTCCAGTGTGGATTATAACGTCCCCGTTATCTCCAGTATGTATTATGATATCATCATTCTTTCCGGTGTGTATTATTATATATAGCTCTCACCAGTGGGTATTATTATATCTTTTTTCCTCCATGTATGTATGCATGTTCATAGAAAAATATTATGTTAAAATGAAGAGCCACTGTCAGACACACTGGGGCAGCACCCTTCCAGCACCGGTGCGGAGCCAGGTGTCTTGCTCATCTATATATCTCGAAGAAATCGGAGAGCCACTGTGTGACACCCTGGGGTAGCATTGTTTGAAATATTATATGTTAAAATGAAGAGCCACTGTCAGACACCCTTGGGCAGAAACCCTTCCAGCACCGGTGCGAGCCAGGTGTCTTGCTCATGTATACATCTCGAAGAAATTGAAAAGCCACTGTCTGACACCCTTGGGTAGCATTGTTTGAAATATCATATGTTAAAATGAAGAGCCACTGTCAGACACCCTGGGGATGTGGATAGAAAATGCTAGAATTGCGAAATTTACCTTTAGGTTAATTTAAAATCTTTCCTAGCTTTTATAATTCGACTCTTATTGAAAGGACTACATGAAATTTATGATATTATACTGATAAATTTGATGATAAACAACAAAAAGTGCTTGGTATAAATGCAATGGTGTGATATTGTTTCATGTGCAAGCGAATAGGGTGTAAAATACATTCACAACAGCGAGCTCAATATGGTCTCTAAATAACACAGCTCTGAAAAATTGTAATACATGTATACTTAGAAAACGATGTCAATGAATAACTTATTTGTGATGAAGGTGGATATATCTTTAACTGAATTATTTTAAAGAATTTCAAGTCATAAACATTATTTCGGTTTTAAATCTTTCCTTAAGAAAATTGATCATGTTATCCTATTCTTTTCCAATTTTCAGTCCGAATCTTCATATTGTGATTCAAAACAAGTTGTTAAGTAAAATACACGAATAGAAACCGTGGCAATGAGAGATACACCTGTCATGTATCATATCAAGCTTCGCTATAATTGTCATGAATCATATCAAGCGTCGCTATAATTGTCATTTACCTATCAAGCGCCCCCTCATTATCATGTATCGTATCAAGCGTCGCTATAATTATCATTTATCGTATCAAGCGTCGCTATAATTATTATGTATCGTATCATGCTTCGCTATAATTGTCATGTTTTGTATGAAGCTTCGCTATAATTATCATTTATCGTATCAAGCGTCGCTATAATTGTCATATATCGTATGAAGCGTCGCTATAATTATCATTTGTCGTATCAAGCGTCGCTATAATTATCATGAATTGTATCAAGCGTCGCTATAATTATCATGTATCGTATTAAGCGTTCGCTATAATTATCACTTATCGTATCAAGCACCGCTATTATTGTCATGTATCGTATCAAGTGTCGCTATAATTATCATTTATCGTATCAAGCGTCGCTATAATTATCATGTATCGTATCAAGCGTCGCTATAATTATCATGTATCGTATCAAGCGTCGCTATAATTATCATTTATCGTATTAAGCGTCGCTATATTTATCATGTATCGTATCAAGCGTCGCTATAATTGTCATTTACCTATCAAGCGCCCCCTCATTATCATGTATCGTATCAAGCGTCGCTATAATTATCATGTATCGTATCAAGCGTCGCTATATTATCATTTATCGTATTAAGCGTCGCTATATTTATCATGTATCGTATCAAGCGTCGCTATAATTATCATTTATCGTATCAAGCGTCGCTATAATTATCATGTATCGTATCAAGCGTCGCTATATTATCATTTATCACAGGAACTTGAAATTCTATCAAATAACCAATATTAATGATAATATCCAAATATACCCCCTATATACTATAAATAAACAGGAACTTGAAATTCTATCAAATAACCAATATTAATGATAATATCCAAATATACCCCCTATATACTATAAATAAACTTATTTATAGTATATAGGGGGTATATTTGGATATTATCATTAATATTGGTTATTTGATAGAATTTCAAGTTCCTGTGCATTTATCGTATTAAGCGTCGCTATATTTATCATGTATCGTATCAAGCGTCGCTATAATTATCATTTATCGTATCAAACGTCGCTATAATTATCATGTATCGTATCAAGCGTCGCTATAATTATCATGTATCGTATCAAGCTTCGCTATAATTATCATGTATCGTATAATGCGTCGCTATAATTATCATGTATCGTATCAAGCGTCGCTATAATTATCATGTATCGATCAAGCGTCGCTATAATTATCATGTATCGTATCAAGCGTCGCTATTATTATCATGTATCGTATCAAGCGTCGCTATAATTATCATTTATCGTATCAAGCGTCGCTATAATTATCATTTATCGTATCAAGCGTCGCTATAATTATCATTTATCGTATCATGCTTCGCTTTAATTGTCATGTATCGTATGAAGCTTTGCTATAATCATTATTTATCGTATCTAGCGTCGTTCTTATTATCATGTATCCTATCAAGCGTCGCGTTAATTGTCATGTATGGTATCAAGCGTCGCGGTAATTGTCATGTAAAGTATCAAGCACCGCGAAAATTGTCATATATATTGTCAAGCGTCGCGTTTATTGTCAGGTATAAAACTAATTAAACTTCAGATAGCACAAACAGGATTTCTTAGTTTTTACACATAAAAAAATTACGGTATACAACATTTCTAAGTGTAAATATATGACACCCTAGGGATGATTAGCCGATTATGCTAATTTGAAAGTCAGTTACTGGTTCAAAAGTACTGTCACAATCATGCAATCACTTTCCAGTGGTAGTGTCTCAAAACTTCGATATATCTTTGTGAACAAAGAATAATATACAATTACCTTGTTTCCGGGCATGGAAGCAACTTCATCTGTTTCAGTTGAGTAATAAAGAAGTGAAAGAATTAAAGTTAAGTACTTCAGAGCTTCACATCGTGTAAGATAATAATCAAAATACATGTAAAATTAGGCGTATAGCATTTGGCGAAAAAAAAAATTCACTTCGTTTGGAAAACAATAGACCATATAAAAATGTGTAAAATATATCTCCCGTCAAAAGAATAAATATGCATAAAACAGGATAAGGAAGGGAAAACAATAAAAAAGAGACTCTTATAGTAAATTTATTGCGGCATAGTTTGATACATTCATTTAAACATTGCACATAAAAGAATGCTTAGTCTTAAGAAAATAAATACTATTTTTGCGTTGCAATGCTTCAATGTGGAAATAACGTAAGCATTTGCGATTCTTGTATAAAACAATTACTTACCATTGAAACTCAAAACCAAAATAACATAAATCGTACAATACAGTATATTCTGCATGACACGTGATTTTTCTGCACAAGTGTAAACTAGCTCTCTAATAAGCGTAATATTCTGTGTATTTATACAGCATATGTAATGTAGGACATCAATTAGTTTAGTACAAAAGACCGGTGGGGACATTTCAACTTCATGAATTCCCGATTTCATCACCGTGAATTCACCATGTTAGCTTTCGGGCATACGGAATTCACGATTTTAGCCTTGAGAACTCACAATTTCAAGTTAACTTTTTCACGATTTCAACTTCATGATCTCACGATTCAACATTAAAAATTCAACATCGTGAATTCACGATTTCAATTTCACGATTTCAACTTCATGTACTCTTGATTTTAACTTCAAAAATTCACAATTTCAACTTCATGAATTCATGATTTCAGCTTCACGAATTCACAATTAACTTCATTTAGGATTTCATGTACAGAATAGGTAAAACGATTCCAACAATTATCGGTTTATATATTTTTTTTTATGTTACTTTGTAGCTAAAATAATCTCGGAAAAATGTTGTTTTTCAGTGTAAGGAAGTGTCTTTCATTAACCTTCAAAAGCAGAAAAATCAAACAAAGTCAATTTTCATATATATTATTTTTGCTGTTTTGTTTGCTTCTGTCAAAGGGACCCAACCCTTTCAATTTCTGTTTTTTCATTATATTATGTCTTCTAAGCTGATGAAGGTATAATACATGTAACAATAATTTTTATTTGCACAGCTTTATAAATGAAAAAAGTATCATGGGTTTTCAAATGATGTGTCGTTTATAGTTATACGCTGGTTGTATCTTTATCTTGAAACGTTTATTCTTCAAACAGCTGCATACTCCTCACTTTATTAACGTAGTTGGTATCGATGTTTGTTTCCTCTAAATTACTTACAAAAGTTATTTCTCAGCTGTTCGATTAACATGTTTTCATGTCTAGAAATATTATTTCAAAACTGAAATGGTTCTTGACAAATGTATAATGCAACATCCACACAGAGAAGCAACATCAATATCATCATGATCTACAACATCCATCTTTATTTATTTAGAAGGTTTTTCTGTGAATAGGGAGAGAGCGATGAAAACAGAGATTAAAACTGAAATTGTCAGACTCGTTAAGTTTGGGTCTGTGCATCACATTGCGAGAAGCGTAGTTTGAAAAAGTAAAAGAGACTACTACAATTTTAACATTTGAACAAATCCAAAATTAATCGAATAACTTTAAAACAAGAGTAGATTTTTATATTCTTATATCATACTTTTTATATGTAAGGAAGTGTTCATTATGTTGACTAAGCTCTCCTTTGTCATATATGTATGATACATAATCTTCATTTGAACATCTATTTATACTTTTTTAACAATGAAAAAAAATTACAATCTTACTTAAAATTACAACCTTTGCATAAGAGAGTTAACAGAGTTGAAACGTAGAGCTGAATTTAAATGAAATTGACTGCTAGTATGCCTTAATATGTTATTATTGTTACAGCTGTACGCGTATATCTTCAAGCAGTTGATACAGCTGTTCGTTTGAATTTAGACTTTTAGATTTTGTTTGTTATTTGATTAATGGATTGTAAGTCAAAACGACTCTGTTATAGTCATATGACCACTTTTCAGCTTTACTGATGGAGGAAATCACAGGTGCCCATTCGTGCATAATTCAGACACGAGCGGGCACAGGAGTAAAGCAACCGACCATCCGTAAACAAGCTAGATTGCTTTATCACATGAAAGAGTCCAATCCAAATAAACCGCGGCGATGGACAAAGATTTGAAGCCACTCGGTAATAGAAGACCACATGATCCGTTTACATTCATATTTTATGATAAAGATATAACTTGAAATGATAAGAAGAAGCTCTGAAAGGTTGGATACCACTTAAGCATGTTGTACCGTAAATGTAATTGAACTAATATGTAACACAAGTGATGTAATTGACCTAAAAGGCAGCGCATATGAAACGTTCATGGTACATAAAATATTATTTATACAGTATATTCTTTGACATTAATATGAGACAGTATAACCCATAAGAAGATTATTGACATGCTTAAAAGGTCAAACAGAAAACAAATTTCCAACGAATACGCAATGAAAATGATATTAAGATTGGACTATAAAAAATTATGTAAGAAATATCAAATATTATTTCGAAATCAGTCCATTCGTCCATCTTGTTATATGAGCATGTCAAGATGACATAATGAGAGTAAGGATTAAGTACAAGTTAACAGTATCAGATGTGTTAAATAATGTCGCTGTGCATTACAATTGTACGAAACGATTAACAAAAGTTCAAATCTGTGATAACAAGAAGTGGGCTGGTTAGAACATTCGTCTGTAAGGTGTTTAAATGATAGACTAAAAAGGGATATATCATATTAATAAATATGGTTTTACAATTCTGTTTAGCTTCATGATCTGCATTAATTAACTATTAATATTTTTATATGATGTTAAGTCTTAATATAACTTTAGTGATATTATCATTGACATTGCTCAAGCTGTTTTTGTTTCATTAAGTCTACATTCGTCCAATGTACATCTATATACATGTATGTCTTTGATGAATTTTGGTCTCTTGATATTTCGATTTCGAGGTTAAGAATTCTGTACACTTTTATGGCGCCTGATATATTTCGATCATATGCAAATTGTTATAAATAGATTGTATTAATAAGTGCAAAAATCATGCATATTTTAACTACGTTAAATTAGTTAATTCTAAAATATTACTTGTGTTAAGGTTTTACGTTATCGATAATTATTGAAACCTTTTACTAAATTTTATAATCGTAGTATTTAATTTCAATATTCAACTCTTCTACGACTCTTCTACGACTAAGAAGCAAGTCTGGTTTAAAAGGGGATTTGATTTCAATATTTTTTTTTAAAATACAAAGGGCATGAGAGATGTTGAACTGTTTCATTATCCTTTATGAACATACTGAAATCAAGTATGCAATTTTCATAGAATATTGCTGTTGTCATTGTTTCCGACAAGGGATCTCACTATTTCCAAATTGTTTACCCATATTTATACTAAGCCTATCAATCAAACTAAGCATTCATTTTATTTATCTATAAGGCTTTTCTGTGGTAAAGCATTTAACTAAAATGATATTATACCTAAAACTATCAAATACCTGACAAATAAACAGGATGATTATTGTTAACAATATATTAAACTCATTTGGAATAAGATCATTGATATGTACATATCGTAAACGTTACAACATTTTGAGCTTTAATAAAACTGAAAATAAATTAATAAGTGGTCATTGTAGCAAATTGAGAGTGTATTGAAAATTAATTTGCAAGAATAAAAGTGTTGCAAAGATGTCACGTAGTCGCACTCTCCCATACGAAATATCAATCAAATACCAGATGCGCAACCTCTTGCGAAGCAGCCCCCAGCGCCACCAAAAAAGCTTCATTCTAACTACATGATGCAAAAGAAATTAATAAACAACAATGTACTATACTTTGTTGCTTCTTTGAAATTAAACAGTAAAGATGGCGCATCAATGACCAAGAAATAGTTCAATGTCTCAGTCATTCCTTAATGAAATTATTTTTTAACATGAAACAGTTGGCATTGCTGCATAGCCTTCTGCATATAAAATATAATGTACCAAAATCCGTTGTTTTATTTGCATTATGTATTTATACATCTGCTAAATTTATACAAGAAAGACATTGTGACAAAGGGACATTAAAATACACAATATATTTGATCAATCAAAGACCAAAGGCGGTTGATATTCAATCTAAATACAGAAGATGAGTTTGATTGGATTTAACGTCACATTGACACATTACTGGTCATACCACTCCGAACAATAATAAAGTAAAGAGGTGTCAAAGTAAACATTAACCCATGAGCTATTTTCGTAAAAAAAACAGCCATGTTAGTTTTGTATTAAAGCACGTTTCAGATTTTAATGTATTTAAACCCATATTGCATCTCCTTTCAAAGTATTATAGACAACATACGTTCGACAATAAAATAGTGAAACCTGCAATCTATAAAGCTTAACAAAGATTCTTTAAAAAAATAATATAAACATGACAGAAAAAATATACCATTGAATGACCTCAATTAAAATCAATATTATTATCATTATTTCATGAAAAGATAATATGATATTCCTATACTATATTTGACATACGTTATGGACCTTTAACAGTTTAAACTAAATAGCGAGAATTTGTTGTAATACTTGATCGATCAGTATATATAATGGGCAACAATATTGTTTTACATGTATTAAGACGCAGCAACGATTCATGCAGGATATGATGAATTGGGCAGTTATTTTGTTGCATGTTTTGATTTACAATGGTAAGTTATTGTAATTGTAAGTATATAAAAAGATATTTGTTTGTTTTGTTTTTTGTGTAAGGTGGAACTTTATTTCATCGAGTGAGCTTCAGAAACAGTATTCTCATGAGTGACGCAGCCACGATTGAGAATACTGTTTCGAAACTCACGAGACCTATATTTCAGACAAATTAGGTTATTCTAAGAAATGTAAGCGACCGTCATTGTTAAAAGTTGTGTGTTTCACGCTAGGAAAAAATAAAATGTGGAGGGATTTCATTTGGATTTGATAATTTTACCTTTATTTAAACAAAAGGAATCTTATTTGAGGAATTATACAGTCAATAAGTAATTGTTGACGGATGTGTATACATTCAAGAAGCTATTAGGAATTATGATAACATGGAATGTTTGAAAGGTTGTCTTACAAACGCTTGGTTATTCACTTATCTTTTTGGCTGATAGCGGTCATTGTATTACAGTTATTGCTTGTGGGATACTTAAATATGCCAGAATATCATCAAGATCGGTTCAGTTTTCCTCTATTCTGTTTGCATATCAATGAAATAAAAAAAAACACTTGGTGATCGGTCATTTGCTTGAATTAAAGTATATTTTATCTTTTTCATTACGTTTGAAATTTAATTTATTTATAAATTCTAGCCTTGCTTTGCTGTAAACAGGACTGATTATATCGGAATTGTAAGCCAAATTGTGAGGTAGTAGTCTGTTTATTGAAAAGCGTGAATTTATATTTGAAAATATTGATAATTTCCCTATGAACTATAAAATATAATTTTCACGGATATATCAGTAATTTATTCAAAAGCATAAAATAAATGCTAGTTATCATTTAATTACCTTATGGTTTCTATGTCATCCAGCAAGGAGTTTGAATTTTTTATCTAAAACATTTTTTGCTTAAAGATCCTGTATGTTTTGTGATTGATATTGTATACCACACTTGCAAAAAATTATATATGTATATAGTTATGCAAGTAAAACAATTTTCAAACATCGAACAATATGTAAAATGTGTACTGCAAATATTTAAGCACATTATATTTAATCAATAAATTATATGCATTCATTTTTTATTGGAAAATTTGACTTAGAATTTATAGAAAATAAATTTCTAATTATCTCCCTTTATTTACGTGAAATATTATTAAAATCGGTAATATCTTTATAAATAATGCTTATTGGAACTTACAATATTGACAAATCCTAATTAGAGCATCATATTTATGAAATAAAACCATGAAAATATGTGTTACAGGATCTTTATTATGTATCATGTCTGTATTAGTTATAATCCTTTTCACTGCAGCATGGATTTTCCATTTACCTTCTGTTTAGAAATAGTTATATGTAAGTATTTTCTGATTTCTTTAACAAACAGATATGAAATTACGATAAAGCAGTTATAAAATATGACACGAGTAATTTACGAAGATATAACACTGACTAGGGTGACATCGAGGGATGTTTCTTCTAACAAAAATGTCGAGGTCGTAAGACCGAGTTATATTTTTTTGCAGAAACATCCCGGCATGTTGCCCAGCCAGAGTTATACTCCCGTAACTAACTCGTTTTATGTAATCATTATACCTGCTTTACCGTAATTTCATATTTTTTTGTAACAGAAATAAGCAACAACAAAAAACTTTTTTGTAACAGAAATCAGCATACAATTTTTTTTTTTGTAACAGAAATCAGCAAAAACAACAACCTTTTTGTAACAGAAATCAGCAAACATTCTATGTTCAGTGATTTTCCCTCTCTTGTGCTCCTTCCTTTTCGTTTCAAATGTTTCAAGTGTTAGCCCTTAAAAACCTAAAAGAATAAACCAATACCAGCCAAAAAGTCTTTAGTGATTAGACATACTCGCAGTGTTAAATTTCAATTTCAGCATAATCATGTATTTGATTTTTTGTGAAATGGATATAAGGTCTATATTATTATTATTGCTTGGGTTATAAGAAAAAAAAAGATTGTTTTATTGATGTTTAACATTTCCAGATTCAACGAAATACATGCACTGTATATTTCAGAAAAATCACTTAATTGCTAGATGGTAATGTCAACGAATCGGGAAATAATAGCTAAACGATTAAAAGTTGTCGATAAAGTCTGTAAGAAATATATTGAAATTATGTTTTGAAATAATAGAGAACCCCTAAAGAAAGCCAAACTCAGCAAAATTTAAACTGTTGCATGCTCGGTTTGATTGACCATGTTCAGGGGTGGTAGTGGCTATTATAGCAAGCTTCCGTCCACGCCCCAACCACGCCGATAATTATTTAAATAAACAGTACTGTAGTTTTGATTTTTCCCTAATACTTTAGGTGCACTCCGCCCGCCTTAGGTTTGATATCAACAGTATAAGGGGAAATGTCACTACAATTGAATATGACGGGTTTTAAATTAGAAAAGTAGAATAGTGTACTTTATAAGTTAATGCTTAACTTTAATATTTCCTTTCCTAGTTTGTGTTGGTGCTGTCGAACAAGAACCAAGCAGGGTAACATTAAACGGTTTTTTTACCTTTATTAACTTATATTGATCCCGTTAGATTAGATAAATGTTTTATACACTGGTATATAAAATTGTATAAGTTTTGAAACTGATACACCAACAGAATGATATTGTTTTCGTTAACTGACACAGAATATGTTAGAACTAAGGCACTGTAAAGGCATTTTGTGATCGAAGTACTTTAAAAAGTGACTCAAGTCTTTAATATGAATTTTTATCTTTGATCAAACAGATTGGTTAAACTTTCCGTTTAAATGGGTATGTACTTAAATCAAAAAGGTGTATGAAAATAATTTAAATTCGAACAATTATTCCAATACTGTCAGGTGAGGAAACTACAAAGCTTTTTTACTAAACGCCAGCGGTTTTACTTCAGGTTCCTGCTCGTACTATAGATTTAGACGTTCAAGCCTTCCTCAATAAGAAAGTCTGAAAGTGGCAATATGATTTTGTTAGTGTTGTGTGTGTTTAAACACCAAACAATCACTATAAAAGGCAATTATATTCTTAATATGAATATTGATTCACCTTGTTACTAATTATCTATTTAAATACATTTTAAATTATGGGCTATCTAGTACATTCTTCATTTTCTTCAGACCAACGATTATCTTATCATGAAGTGGGGAAAATGGTTTACTTTATTGGATTTCAATCATGATGGAAATCTTTCAATGGATGACCCTACAACATTTGAGTAAGTGAGAAAATGTATCACTTAAAACGTTATAAGAAAATCAAAATGAAATTGTGCAGTGCATAAAGCTTTATGTCAAGACTGGATGAGAAATTATTACAGGGACCAAGACTCGGTCTCATTCATAGATTTATATAGCATATGAAATAATGCATAAATACAAATTTATTTTTTACGATATGATTATCATATTAATTAATCTGAATTTTTTTAGCAAATACCCTTTACAGTAAATTAATGTAAATATTAAGATAAGATTAATGAGAACGTATCTTAACACAATATTTTCTCTGACAAGTTATTTACAATAATCCATGTGCCTCACGCTGGCCATTAGTAAGCTTTCAAGTTGGATAACAAAACAATTCATATTTTTACATTAAGTTTGTTTCTGTGCCCTGCTTGATGCATTAACTTTTAAGCTGGGTCATGTCGGGACTATTTTTCAGGGCATACTATATAGCTCATGGTAATCTAAGCGATCAGCAATTGAAAACGATGAAGAACAAAATGGATAAACTATGGAAGACCTTTGTTTTCACAAACAAGAAAGAAGTCTCCAAAGAAGACTTTCTATCCATGCTGAAACAAAGATATGAATCTAACACAACTGCTTTAATTGGGATGATGCGAGTGTTTCCAACGGATTGGTGCGAAGCGATAGACTTAAATGGAGACAAATTTCTGTCAAAAGATGAATTCATTCTAAACTTTGTTGCTGAAACGCACAACAATATCCAAACGGATGAGAAGTTTTTCTACATGTATCATCCTATTAATGAGCGTGTTGCACTTGACGATGTCATAGAGTCTTTTGTTCTCTTTGTAACTGAGCCTGATGAGGCTAAATCAGACATTGTCTTAAACGCAATTGATTCCGGTTTATAAATTGAAATATGAAATGAAATTGATTTGGAAAAAAAGATAATAAATCATTTATTTGCAAATCAGTATGTTAACGTCCAGCTTATTATGAGAGCATTTAATTAAGGCATATTTGTAATAATTAAAAGATATTCCTTGTGTTATAGAATAATAGATACGCATTATCGTGGTATGTCACAAAATTCAAAAACTGGCCCGATTGTTACCATTTCATTTCACTATCACAGCAAAAATCGTAAAGTGTGTAGGTGATTGAAACTTTGTACAATATTTTTTTCTCGAGGAATGAAACAAGAAGCTAAATTTAAGCCCATTTTTCACTATTGATTGTGAGTACAAATGCGTAAATAAACGAGACATGGAAGCCTTGTTAAAACAATCCAGCTCCTAACTATAATATATAAAAAAACACCATAAATTGGAGAAATAGAATCTAAATAAGGACTTGGAACGTTCTAATTAGGAGTTTGAAAAGCAAAGTAAGGAGAAAAAAATCATCATTCAAACTTTGTAACTTATTAGACTTGTAAACAAACAACTAATCAGGATTTCATTTCTCCTAATTAGTGTTTTCAATTTTCGAAATAGGAGTAACAAACTCCTAATTGGGGTTTAAGTTTTCAAGACCTTTCCTCCTACAAGAGAGGTTTTTAAGACCTAATTAAGTTTAAAACTCATAAGTAGAACTCCTTATTAGAAGTTGTAAATTTTTATTTTAAGCTCACGAAGTCCTTACCAAGAATTCATAAAGTCGTTACCTAGCTTATATTTATTTTCATTGCAAGTTTTAAAGACCTTTTAGCATTTTAATTATCCTAAGTCCTAATAGTTTTTTTCTTCTGTTTGTAAAATCATGATTGAGCTTTCATTTTTCCTAATTAGGATTTTTAAAACCCCTTATTAGAAATATTAAGTCTTATTTATGCTTTTAAATCAATATGTTTCAAAGAGTTTATGTTTCATTATAAATTATTGAGGTTGGCATCAGGCTGTTTACGTAACTACATAATTTAAAAATTTTATGAATATTTTATAGTTTGCAATGTTATGTTTACTTTACTACTAAATAGTAAATAGCATTGCTATAATCTACGTCAAAGCCTTGCTATTTATAACTAGTTGAAACGGGTTGTACTTTTGTCAAACACTAGAAAGGATCAAGAAGTATCAATATTTTATTTGCATTACATATGAAACTATGACTAATATATTTTGATGGAACTGGTCACTGCCATAAACGTTTATACGTATTTTGTAAAGTAATAAGTTACTGGGTCGTGCGGGGGTTGTGTTCATTGAACGCCGCCTTTCCTTGTTGATCTTGTTTATCATATTTTATTTTGGAATAACGTCTCCATATAATTTTATTATTGCGTTTAACCGTCGATCTGATAGAATCAATTGATAACTTACATCAGTATTGTGGTCCTATATTTATATAATTCAGCTGATCTCAGTACGCCAACAGGATAAGGTCAATTAATAATTATATATGCAAAAAGACATGTTTTCAGATTGACTTATTTGATATACTTATTTAAAAAGAAAACACATCGTGTCGTATTTCTTGACCTCGTTTACTTGATATATTATTCTGCAAGAAATAATTTGCATAGTGGAACATAGCTTTTAAGCAAGAACAGTTAGAACATACAGCAAACGAATGAATTAAAGTTTGCTCGATTAAATACGAACACACGGAAATATGGAAATGCTTGCAAATAACACCACTTTCATGTTTAAATTACAATTATTCGGACAACTTATGAGAAATTTATAAGACTAAAAGATACTATAGAATGTAAGTTGCCTTAAACCCCACATTTAACGTGTTCAGCTTATATTAAATTTTATTAAATGTTGTTTGCGCCAGTTCAGATATGCACTGGTGCATTGTCACATATGAATAGATTTTTGGATAGTAAACAAGTAAGTGATGTATTTCATAATTTCTTTTTTTCAGTTCAGTAATTAGTAATGAAACTTCACAACCCTAATAAGATAAAAGTTTACATTTAGTTTTTTAGCCAATGATATGCTCATTCTACATTTATCAATAAGTATTGAAAACGATTCATTTTAAAATGATCTTTTTATGTTTATTTCATTTTACGACATGCAATAAGCAATGTCTATATCAGCACATTATTGATATTAAATGTAAAAAAATGCAGAGTTACTGACTTCAGGCGTAGAAAATATCGTTCTGTCACATGAGATTGAATCAAATTATGTAGGCTCAAGGGCATCTGCTTACATCATTTTGTGTTGAAAATGAATTTGCTTTAACTTCATTTTTTGACGTATGAAATTACCTTAAACAGATCTGTGATTTTAGAAAGACCAACAGATTTGATGCTTTTATTTCACAAGTACGGTAGCATTTTAAGAAGACACACCTCTTATCGTATGTTAATGCGAGTCAATTTATAAGAAAAGTATACACACAAAACTTCAAAAAGCAATTTGGTATTGTTACATGTATTTATTTACAAGCCCTCTTCCATTGCTCGTTGAACCGGGTCTGGAAGTGAGCTATCTTCACTTGTCAGGTAATGGATCCAGTAGCCCTTCAGTCTGTCTAAAGGAATTTTTCGATCAACTGGTGAAAAATGCGCATAAAACCTCTTATCCTTCTCTTCGTCCTCGTGCCCCTCCGCCTTGAGGATTGCCAAAGCTTCCTTTTCAGAAACAAAACCATCGTGCGCGACGTCTACAAAGTCACCAATCTCAGCTTGACACTTTTTAATTCGCTCAACAAACTTTTCTTTGTCGGCTTTAAATGCAGCATTTTGGTATTCTGCAAACTCGTCCACCGTCAATTCTTCTTTTCCCCAGTTCACATATTCGCACCACCATTTCGTGAATTTCTCACTTATTTCCTTCTTTTCGTCATCTTTCAACTCATGTTGCTTTGTAAATTTATCTCTGAAAGACAATTACATTTGTTATCTCCCTTATCTAAGTAGACTTGAAGAAATACACTCTAATTGTTTAAGAGTTAAAGGCAATTTAAACAGACACAGAAATTATATCCAATCATTTGATATTCTTAAATGTATTACATATCTGTCATTTATTGCATTTGTCAATAAACAATTGGGCTAAGTGTCAGTTTAATAATACATATAATACATCTTTTTCAGTGGCGTATGGAAAGCATATATGGCGAGTGTTCCTTGATACCACTAAAATATTAATGTTTTGTGGAAGGTTGCTGTTAACTTGTCCCGAGTGACTATTTCAGACATACTGTCTTCAAGCTAATCGTCACGATAAAACATTTGCCTCTCCAAGGACTGGTTCTAGCAGACAGACGGTGCAATTAAGCGAATAAAATAACTAAAATTTGTTGTTCTATAAAGAATAAAAGATAAATATTGAAAATAAATAAACTTGTAATGAAATAAAAGATGTATTAACCTGGCTTTCTATAGTGAATGAAATAATATATGTCGTTACCTGGCTTTCTCCATGTCTGCATAGCAAACTTTGCCATCATTATTGCCATCAAATAAACTGAACCATCGCTTCCACTTTGAGATAAGGAAGTCATTCGCCATGATACTTGAAACAAGCCCACGGTTCAAATACGTCTGATATATTCCACCTTAAACAAAGAGTAAATAAAAGATCACGTGTTAAATTAATAAAACGGGGTCAGTATATAAGGAATTCATGTCGCGTTTAGAGAAATGTATGCTGTTTTCGGAATATGTAATGCATTATTCAATCAGTAAACTAAGCTAACATGTTCATGAATTCATACCACATACATACTCATGTTGCTAACTTAAAAATCTGACAAGCTGAAAATTAGACAAATTCTATGAGCTATCAATTTTAAAGAAAAAATATGTAAACTATTGTTTCCTTTTCAATGCAAAACATCTCTAGGGAAAAGAAGCCTGAGAAATATGATAAAAATATAACAGATTCTATAAAATGATGATGTTACATAATGATGTTAATTGATTTATCACTAGAAAGTTGTAATTTATAAATGAGTGTAAAACCCAAATATAAAAATTCTAAAACTACACATTTTTATCATAAAGATCGTGAAGTTTCATTACAATTAACTTACTAAATAAAAAAGTTATAAATACATTTCTTACTTGTTAACTATCCGAAAATTTATTCTTATCTGACAATACATCAGACGACATCTTCTAAACTGATGCAAAATACATTTCGTAAATATAAGCTCAACCATTTGAACGAGGGGTTCAAGGCTTAAAGTCTAACATTTTATCGTATCATTTAGTCATATTATGTTCTTATTAGTCGTCTAGTCTATTGTAATTTGAACATGCAAATTGATGCTATCTGCATGCATTTGCATATTTCCGTTTGTTTGTATGTAATTGAGCAGACGTTAATTCATTCTCATTGTTTGTACTTTTGTTGTGTGTCGCTTAAGATAACTATGCTACACCATGTAAATTATAACTTGCAATATTATATATCAAATAAAAGAGGTCATGAAATTAGAATTAATGTCTTTTTTTAAACAAGTCATAAATTAACTCAATCTGCAGACATGTCTCTTTGCATATATAATTATTAATTGACCATATCATGTTGTGGTTTAAAGGTCAGTTGAATTTCACATTGTGTCAAGTAAATATAGGATTACAATACTGCTGTCCATTGTTTCTATCAAATCGGCGAATACACGATAAAATTGCGTACAAAATACAAAAAGGGGCACTCTTTCAATATAACCGGAAAGTAACTAGATGACTTTGATAGTGTGTGATTGACTTACAGTCTAATAAAATTGACGAAGGCGATAATATGATTTATGCGGAACTTTGGGTTAAATGATATGGAGATGTACTTCTAAAAAAAGAATATAACTTTTCAAATGCGTCTATGAAAGCGACCAGTTCCACCAGAATTTGTTATTAACAGTTTTATATCTAATGCGACAAAAAATAATAAGACTGATACTACTTGATGACGTTAAGTATTTTGACAAAAAAAAGTTTACAGCCAGTTTCAAGTAGTAGTAATTAACAGGGCTTTCACGTGGATAACGTACAGGATATTTGTTTTTATTTTATTTCATCGAGTTTGCTTTAAAACTGTATTCTCACGAGATGATCAAACTTTCATCTTCATATTACGCAATGTTGCTTTTACAAATGACGACAACTTTATATGGTATGTGTCCATTTTGGGTCGTCATGAAAACCGGCTATACGCTACGTTACGCTTTTTCACCAAGATATAGCCAGGCTTCAGTACATATTTGTGCAGTCTGACCAGGCCCTATATTATTGTATATTATTAGTAGGTGAAGTGTTTTATTGTGATATTGAAAATCCTTAGAACTCGATTGGACTGTTTCAAATATAAAGCAGAAGGAGCACATTACACAACAAATTAAGCAAGTTTGGCAATAAAATCTTTTGCACTTTTCTCGTGTAAATAACCAGTAATATAACTACACTACACATAAGTACATTAAATATATTATTTCAAACAAATAAATATATGAATCTTTTATATTTGATTTAATTTTCATGACCTGCAATAAGCAATGTATATGTAAGCACAATAATGCTAATAAAAGTCGAACATTTAATCAATGTTGTTTACTTTAGGTGGAGATGATCTCGTTCTGTAACATGAGATAAGCTTTTTGATTACATATTGCAGACTTAAAGATAACATTTGTTTAAATTAGAACGTGTTGTTCCTCATCTTTTGGCGTTCAAAGTTATTGAAGACGAACAGACTTGGTGATTTTATTAAACAAGCGCAGTAGCACCTTCAATAGGTCATAACTGTACCTGTATGACTAATGTTAATGCGATAATATAAACTGTTCAGGGATTAATACACACGACTTTCAAATTTCAATTTGTAACGTTATATATTTTACAACCCCTCTTCGATTGCTCGTTGAACCGGGTCCGGAAGAGTGCTATCTTCGCTTGTTAGATAATGGATCCAGTAGCCCAACATCCTGTCTAAAGGAACCTTTCCATCAACTGGCGAAAAATGCGCATAAAACCTTTTATCCTTCTCTTCGTCGCCGTGTCCCTCTGCCTTCAACATTGCTACAATTTCCTTTTCTGAAAGAAAACCATCGTGCGCGACATCGAGGAAGTCACCAATCTCAGCTTGACATTTTTTAATTCGCTCAACAAACTTCTCTTTGTCCGCTTTGAATGCAGCATTTTGGTATTCTGCAAATTCGTCCACCGTTAATTCTTCTTTTCCCCAATTCACGTATTCGCACCACCATTTCGTGAATTTGTCACTTATTTCCTTCTTTTCGTCATCTTTCAACTGATGCTGTCTTGTAAATTTCTCTCTGAAAGACAAACACATTTGTTACCGCCATCATTTAAATTTGGCTTGAAGGAATCTTTGAAGAGTTAAATAGATGAAAACAATGTAGAAAGACACATAATTTTTATTCAAACTTAAAATGTACGGAGATGTATAGAATATCGTTTACGAAGATGTATTGACACACAGACAATTAACGTATTTAACAAACAAAGCAAGTTATCTTTGTTTTTCGTTTAAGTAATAATAATTTATGGATAATCATTATTATCCTATCCTTATTATGTATAATTAATAGTGAGTGAAATAATATATGTCGTTACCTTGCTTTCTCCATGTCTGCAAAGCAAACTTTGCCATCATTATTACCATCAAATAAAGTAAACCAGTGCTTCCACTTGGAGATAAGGTAGTCATTCGCCATAGCGCTTGAAATAAACCCACTGTTCAAATACGTCAGATGTTTTCCTTCTTAAACGCCCTAATTAACAAGAAATTATCATGTGTTGAGTAAATAAAACGTTGTCGACACGCGGAGTTTATTTAAGTTTTAATAAATCAAAGGGTCTCCACTTAAGGGTATTTTGACATGACAGGACTGGAAACATTTTTTTCAAGCATTGTGTACCGAGGTCTGAACCAATAACTTTTGTACGAAATTTTAAGATCATTCACTCACCATGTTTTTCCAGAATCATGTGAATGAAAAGAGTTGCAACGCTTTGCACTCAAAGGTGGCTAAGAATTGCACGTTATTGTGAAGGTCTGTATTGCTCGAGCTGAACGTGTAAAGTTGTCTAACGAGCTCATATGGCTTGCAGGGAATGCAACTTAATGCAATCAACGAGAGCGAAATAGCGTATTCATGTAATTGCTTTTTTATAATTTACCATCTTTTGAATACGTAAGACTATAAAGATAATCAGTTAAACATAACATGTTTTATAAAATTAGGATTATCAATAATGTTGCTAATTGACTGCTCAATAAAACAAATTAAAACAAACATCTTTGCGACTATGATTGATTGAAGATATGAAGAAACATACAAAAACTAAAATACATAATTATCTCACAATCATCGCGCAGTTTCATTACTATTTACAGATTAAGATTAAAAAAGATAAAACAGAAAATAATGAATACATTTCTTACTTGTTTATTATCGAAAGATGTATTCAAATCCGACCATGTATCGGATGAAATTCATGTCTTATAAACTGACGCAAGGTAACCTAGATTTTGTAATAAACACAATAATTTAGAAGAGGGGTTCAAGGCTATAACCATTATATAACATATATTAACGTTTCCCAACAAATGTTATAAAACCTGGCATTTCATTATGTCATTTAAGCTTATTATTTTCACTAGTCATCTACTTTATGATAATTTCAACCTGCAAATTGCAACTGCACATTTCCGCTTATTTGAGCGAGCTGACGATAATTGATTCTCATTATTTATCCACTTGTTGTTGTGTGTCCTTCATTACTATTATTGCTAAAAACAGCTTTATGCTATGAACATTAAACTTTCAGTATAATATTGCAAATAAAAGAGGTCAAGGACTTGGAAAACTAATGTTTTCTTGTTTTAAACAAATGCATCTTTAAAGCTACACGCCTCCAGATGAGCCAAAACATTTCAAGAAATTCAATCTTAAGAAAAATGTATTGAGATCTTAAGAAAAGTAAAAAGATTCAATATTTTATTAATTATTGACATGATATGTGCGATTGATGGTTGAATTTGCAGTATCAATCCCTATAATTCTACTGCGTCACTAACACAGGAAGAGGTATTTATGTATATTTTTACCTCTTTTTTGGTAATTAACGTGGATTGTAAGTGCCGTTTGCAATGTATACATTACTTTCTTTGTTTATTCACAGTATTTTACTTTCAAATACATTTTCATGAAAATAATCAGGTGCCTGGAGGCTTAAAACCTGCTGCCTCTCAGATAAAGTTATCAAATAGTCTCATCTTTTTGTCGTGTGGAGGTTAGCATATGGTGTCAAATAAATATAGGATCACAATACTGATACCAGTTATCCATTGTTTCTATCACATCGGCGGTTAAACTCAAATGAGTAACCGCTTGTATCGTAAAACAAAGCAGGTACTTCATATGTTTCTCTTCCAATAAAGCCGGAAAGGAAACATATGACCTTGCTTATGTCTATGTATCAAATACAATCAGAAGAAGGCGATTAGCTTATACGGGATATTCGGGTTTTAGGTTTAGATCATATGCAGACGTTTTGTACTTTAACATCAGTGACCAGTTAAATCAGAATCCATTTTTTTCTTTTTGGAAATATGAGAACAATTTCACCTCTAATTCATGCGACCGCAAATGAAAAGATTGCTACATTTCGATAATTTTTCGACAATGAGAGTTTTATAATTTCCAATTATTTGTCAATATAGATGATATGAGCCGCGTCACGACAAAACCAACATAATGGGTTTGCGACCAGCATGGATCCAGACCAGCCTGCGCATCCGCGCAGTCTGATCAGGATCCATGCTGTTCGCTATCAGTTTCTCTACTTATAATAGAGTTGGTAAGCGAACAGCATGGATCCTGATCAGACTGCGCGGATGCGCAGGCTGGTCTGGATCCATGCTGGTCGCAAACCTATTATGTTGGTTTTGTGTTGACGCGGCTCATTTAGAATTATATATAATTCAGTTTTGAAATGTAATTTCATTTAAATTAAATTTGATGTCAGTTTCTTAAATAAAAAGCGTACAGAATCACTAAATTATGTTTAAGCAAATTGCATTACAAGAACAAATCTCGGGAGTAATAAGAACAAATGTGGAAGAAAGTATAAGTTTGAAACAGATGTAGTTCTTTAACCAGCTGGAACATTTTTTCCCCATTGTTCACAGAGATATTTAGCGTTAATAAACTATAAATGTTCTAACTTGACCATGTTCTAACCTGACCCAGTTTTTTCATCATAATGCTTTTCGTATTCATTTCGTATTAATTTATAGATTAAAAATTCAGAAAGAAAAAATAAAATGTTTTTCCCGAGTCTCCCTTTATCATCAAATAAAATGATTACCTGTACTTGCATATTGTTGTTAGCACTCAGGTGAATATCTGTTTGTCTTTTTATCAAAACCATTACAAACTATCAAAATTGAAAAAAAATCTACATTTCAGTCAGAGCAACAACTCTCTCTTGAATCGGCCATTAAAATGTGAAAACTACACTATTTAACAACATTTGGAAGGTAAAGGTATATTCTACGCTTCCTTCTGTATTGTGATGTAAAACTAAGGTAAGTTATACATGTTTTGAATATTATACATTTTATTCCATGAATTATAGTTTTACACGGTATAAGCATAAAAATAATGAAAGTTCGAGTCATTTGCTTATTAGGATGCATTAATAAACTGCTTATGTTTTATTTCCATTATAATATTACACAGTGCATATGATTAAATTACAACGAAAATTTGGCAAAATAATTACTTTGAAATGAAATGTCATTACTTCAAAATTGTCTGAAATATCAATACATGTTGAGTAATAGAACAATAGCAGTTATTCATTTAGTTTACTGGTTGATATCGCCCATTGCCTTTTGGCATGGATCAGGCAATGAACTATCTTCGGATGTTAGGTGATGCGTCCACAACTCCACCATTTTCTTGACTGGAAACGTGTTACCCTTTTTGTTGAATTCATGGAAAAACTTTTTATCCTGTTCTTCATCACCATGGCCACCTGCTTTCAAGATGATCAATATGTCTTCTTCGGAGATATTTCCATCGCCAGAAACACCGACAAAGTGACAAATAATCTCCTCGCATTTATGCATCCTTGCCACAAATGCCTCTTTGTTGGCTTTAAAAGCAGCATTTTGCTTTTCTAAAAACTCATCTACCGTGATTTCTTTCTTCCCCCACATAACGTATTCAACCCACCATTTAGTAAAGGCGTCGTTAGATTTTTGCTTCTGTTCCCCTTCTAAATGATGAAGACTTGTAAACTTGCTCCTGTCGTGTAAAGATTACAATCATTAAAATTTGGATTGTCCAACATATTTTTAAAGGTAAGTGTAAAATATAATTATCATGTATCTAACAAAGTATATGTAAATAGATATTTCATCTATGTCTTGTTAGAATAAGTTTATTGAAATGAAACAAGGGACGGAATGTGAGTTTTGTCATTGATGGTTCAGAGGCAAGTGAAAAGTTTAAAGAATTATAACACGATTGATATGTTTTATTCAAGTATGTAGCCTTTTAAAGAAACATTACAAATCATTTAAAACATATTAAAATCATTAACAAACATTATCTTTTGCTTATTAAATAAATGGTTATCCCGTTTAATAAGAGACTTTTCCTATAGCACTGTAAATTTCTACATTTGTGTCGTTATGCCATAAAACCAAATAAAACAAGAAGGAAAATTTGAATTCTCTTTTACTTTTCGTAATGAAATATAATTAACATAAATATTTATAAATTATATTCATAAAAAATTGTCGGGCCTTTAATGAGTGATAAAAATTGTCTGTGCTTTAATGAGTGATAACACTGAATTTGTCTTAGCAAATGGACTTAAAAGGACTTGACTGGGATAAATTTTCTACAATTAAATATAATAAAGGAACAAGCACGGATTCGAGATAACAAGTGTCGTTGCATTGTACTGAGATTATCTGAGAGCTATGTCTTACATAATTCTCAACTCACACTTAAAGTTTCCATATTTGCATTTGTAAAAATTAAAATTCTTTGGAAATTTTTATTGAACTTTTAGACATATACCGGTATACGTCTGCTTGCATCATATGAAATTTCTACCCGGACAGACATTTATCATTGAAATAGAAAAATATCGCTAAAGTGGAAGGATATAACAATAAAACCAAACACCAATCCTTGAACATGATCCACACAACCAACAAACCTATATTTTATGAAATAAGGAAAAAACAGAATACCTAAAGAACGCCATAAAACGACAAAAATGAAATTGATTGAGTCTGACGGTACTAGACATTGCAAGGTAGCCTATAATCATGATAATGCCCCTAGCACTGGTTTAAGCAAAATTCTTTATTTCAACATGTTATAATGTAATATCAAGAAAAATGAATATCTGTTTTTGATTTTGTCAAGTTGATAACCGTTTCACTTTCCGTGAAACCACTTCAAACACTCTCCCATTTTAAATAACAACAACAATGTCATATACATGTCGCATTGTCTTTCCGAGCAAGATGACATGTTGTTGTTAAACATCAAATATGTTGAAATTCATTGCTTTGCATGAAATGATACATTAATAAATCATACCTTGCAGTTTCCATATCGGCATAGCAAACTTTTCCATCTTTGTTGTGGTCAAAAAAGCCAAACCAATTTCTCCATTTTGATATCAGATAGTCGTTTGCCATTGTTGATTTTCTGTAAAACCACAAATAAAACTATCCAGTGATATCTAAAAAAAAGATTTAAAAGACCCGCCTAGCTAGACACTTCTGCCTGGTAGCATATTTATTACAGCCATTATTATTCAAGAAATTAAATTAACATTCTAGAACAGTTGGATTTATTATCAATACTTGCCAAATTAAAATATAGGATTGTACAAAAAGTAATTGGGCCGAAACTTATCTTGAGCAGTTATGATTGAACTTTCAAACTGCAATTTAAATGCAACAATGTAAGACGATAGCTACAGCGTTCCGTGATAATGAAATGCATGTACGTTACATATTGGCCCTACTAACACATGACCCCACATTTTTAACGAATTATTTTCGTAATTTGCGAAGAGAATACAGGCCACTTGTGATAACACAATATGATAAATATCCATATTCAAGGACCTTGGCAAGATATTACAGGTTCAGACATCCTTTAACCAATCTATATCAGTAGTTAAAAGGGCCCTTCAATAACCAAGTTACAGAAGGAGTTGATAAAAAAAGTCAAACTTAGCGGATATGCAGAAAATGGTACAATCCGTACAATCCTAAGTAGTATCAATACTATAATGGAATTGAGAAAATAACAGAAGAGAACAAACATTGAATCAACGCATTATATAAACATAATGGAACATTCATTAAAACATCACAATTATGTCTTTTGAATATAAATGAAGTACACTCAATAACTTTGATAAAATCTGTCATATATTTAATGAACATTGAATCTGATAAATAATTCGCATTAAATTTGGTGAAGATAATAATCATCTTCAAGGCCATCATCTGTAGGGATTTCATTTTAATAAATTAACATTTACGTAATTTAGGACACTAAAAAAGTTACAAGACGAAATCAGAAAGTTCACAAAAGTAACTATCGAGTTTATAGCCTATAAACTGCAAATCAAACTTTGCACTGACACCTTATAGACAACATCTTGTATGCATAACTATATAGATGAAAAATACCATAGATGGCATATGATATTGAATATTATTTGTTCAAACTTTTGTGTAAATATTTGTTCATATTCAAATTAAAATCTATAACAATTGGTTAGAGCATGTAAAATTTGTTGAGTTTATTATGAAAATAACACTTATCACTTTATAAAAATGATGTCAAATTTAAAAAGTTAACGGTTTCATTAGTTAAAGATGAATCAAAATTCAAGTTAATATATTGCAAATGCACGTTTTGTTGAATATACAGCAAAGCTTCAAATTATCACAACTAGCCAGTAAATTACAGAAACATGTTTCTATTTGATTTAGCAAATTAAAATCTGTATGAAATATTATAAGTTGATAAGATGTGACTTACCTAAATGCTCTATTTATCACCCACACGATGCGTATAACACAAAAATGTTGAACTTTGTTTTTAATGAATTAGATTTTTAATGACTGTTTTTACTATGTATAACATTATGATTTTTAAAATACAAAAAAAAACTATAAATAAACCATAAAGACATTTGTTTCTGTTAGATAAAATAAAAAAATAAAATGAAAAATGCAGTACCTGTTTACAGATAACCTGGCGAGCGTTGTGTCAGTAACAGTATATGATAACTGTCTGGCAGGTGAGCGCACATTACATTGTTTTATACGCATCCTAATATATCTAATTTATTCACACATTGATAAAGATACTTAACTGTCAAAGTAGGGCACCATGAACGAAAACACATGCTTTGCATAATAAAATTGTATGAAAATGAAGTCGTGATGTTATTGAATTAATTTGCAATTACTGCGTAACTATACTTTTCTTCTTTACCTATAAATAGGTCGTTCTTAGGCTATCAAACCTACTTTTTAATTACATAATGTGAGATTTGGGGTTATGAAATTACATTATTTTCATTATTGTTATCATTTTTATAATAATAATAATAATAATAATAATAATAATAATAATTATTATTATTATTATTATTATTATTATTATTATTATTATTATTATTATTATTGATAAATAAATTTGTACCTGTTTCATGTAATGTATTTGATGTCCATATATATGTAATGAAACTAACTGTGTAAAATTGTGAAGAGTTTAAATTAAAGGTTTAAAAAGAATAGGTTTCATAATCATGTTATTCTTATCAAAAACCTATGCAGAGAATGTTTTGGAGTAAACATTTTGGTATATAAATGAACACGTGATATTCACGCGGTTTCACTTTACGAAAATGACTTGATTTTCTCCTCGAGACACATTTTATATCGTGTTCCTCACTACAATGTGTGGTATAAGGCTTTTAACCATGAAAATGTTAAAATATTATCAGGAACACCTTTTGTATCGTTTGTTTTTCCTACCACGGAAATCAAAAAGTAGAGGCACCGTATTGATACGAGCTTTCCTCCTATTTGGATAAACGTATTAATTTTCAGAAAAATGAGCATGTGTTAAAAATTTTTATGTAGGATATTCTAATGTTCACAGCTAGCTTTATGCCCAGGATTTCGAGTATTTTATGCCTTTGTTAAAATTACTTCATTAATTACTGTCTTAATTTTATACCATTATTGCTCTCTAATCTTCTACTCTCAATGGTTGTTGATATTTATAGAATAACAAATTTTAGTTGTATAACTACTTCTCTTTATTTTTACTATGACATCTGCACCCTTTGAAAAAGAAAAATACATTTATTTCGATTTGAAAATATCATGCATATCTTCTGTATCTGAAATCGACTTTTCATGTCCTCGTTTCATCATACATGCGCAAAGTACTTTCTGTGCCTACTCAAACTATTGATTATTATTTTTATAAAGCGACTACCCTAAGTACTTATAAGTTACTGTTGGATGCAAGATTATGTAATGTTTTGCTATATTAAGTATGGCCATAGACCACTCTTTTTACTCGTTATACGTTTTGATTATATGATCCAAACATTGTCAAAAGCATATTTATGTTCGATTTGATATTGTATGCATATTTCTTAAAGATCAACCATGTTTTTTTCGTTTTAAAATGCGAATGATGCTTGTGAAATTCAAAGCACAAGTATAGTTTAAAGATGATCAAATTTTATATTTTCTAAGCACTAATTCGTGCATTATTGAAAAAGTATTTAACACTCTAACAACCAGTATATAATGATAACTCAGTGCCATGTATTTATTTTCAAAAGTTATTGTAACTCATGAACCTTTGTGAAACTTGTATGTCTTTAATATTTCTTCAAAGTTTTGGATATTGTTACACGATGAACTAAAAATGTAGAAAAATGTATTTATTTCACAAACAAACCAATAATAGTTAAAATAATTCAATCAAAGTTAATTTCAAAATTATTTTTTCTATAATTCATACTGTTGTGTCTGTAGCAGTGTGTTGTGCAGTCGCCTTTATGGGACCATGGCAGTGATGAAAGGGATGTATCAGCTTTAGAAGACACCTGCTTCAAATGCATCTTTGATAATATCCTTTTGCGAATTGTCTTCGCATGTTAGAAATGTTACCCATGTATCTACTATTTTTTTAATAGGAATATTTCCATTTTCTGGTTCGTAAGAGTTGAAGAAATCTTTATTTAGTTGTACTCTTTCAAAGCCACCTAACCTTAAACCGTTTAAAAAATCTTCTTCATCTATCATGCCATCACTGTTAATGTCTATAGTATCATAAATCTTCTGGCATAGTGCCTTTATCCTTACAGCTGTATGGTCTTTATGAGTTTTACCTAGTTCAGACTAGCAATAATTATCATTTATTTCTCAGCTGGTCCTTTGTATTCAATTTTTATATTGTGTAAGTGTGTTTGATGAACACATTGTAAGTTATAACGGCTCTGTAAATGTAATATGGCCAGTTTTCAGCTTTATTGGTGGAGAGAACCTCGTGTGTTCATACGTGCTTATTTCAGACATAAGCGGGCACATGGGTTAATGTTTAGTAGCAGGAATAATAAAATCAGTCATATTTTGCGGTTCGGATCGGAATATCCGTCCCGAGGTGACCCGCCATTTGTGCGGTAACGAGGCTTGATAAAGATTAAGATAAATTCTTTATTTTTAATTTCAATGGAAATTTATATCATTACAACCGTAACTACTTTCTTACAACAGCGTATGATTTACAACTTCATTCATAACGGTAAAATGACGTCATCCTAAGCGTGCCATTGTACAGCACGCGAATCATCTGGCACCCCCCATGCCAGATGAAATTTCCGGCCTGGGTAAAGCTCACGGAAACGCCAGTCTGATATGCAAGAAAGCTTCATCTGATGACAGAATCCAATCCAAACATACAGCTTTTAACACATTGTAGATACGGTTTACTCACACAACAGTTGTGACTGTTTAATAGGGCGGTAACGAAAACCATGTCGGACTTAACAATATGCAATAGAAGAACCTTCCTTACCCAATGTCTTGAATATTTCTTCAAAGATTTGGATATTGTTACACGATGAACTAAAAATGTACAAAATGTATTTATTTCACAAACAAACCAATAATAATTAAAATAATTCAATCAAAGTTAATTTCAAAATTATTTTTTTCTATAATTCATACTGTTGTGTCTGTAGCAGTGTGTTGTGCAGTCGCTTTTATGGGACCATGGCAGTGATGAAAGGGATGTATCAGCTTTAGAAGACACCTGCTTCAAATGCATCTTTGATAATATCCTTTTGCGAATTGTTTTCGCATGTTAGAAATGTTACCCATGTATTTACTATTTTTTTAATGGGAATATTTCCATTTTCTGGTTCGTAAGAGTTGAAGAAATCTTTATTTAGTTGTACTCTTTCAAAGCCACCTTATCTTAAACCGTTTAAAAATTCTTCTACATTTATCATGCCATCATTGTTTATGTCTATAGTAACATAAATCTTCTGGCATAGTGCCTTAATCGTTTTAGCGTATTTCCCTTTGTCTTTCTTGTAATCGGCGCTTTGTTTTTCAACAAACTCTTGTTCTGTGATAGGGCCTGGTTTGCCACGAAATATAAATACATTCCACCATTTGTCCAATTTCCCGATGATGTCTTTTTTCTTCTCCTTGCCAAAATGATGGAGGCGCACAAATTTTTCTCTGTAATTTACAATAATATTTTGCGTTTATTTGAAACATGTCTTTAATTTGGTCATGGTTTTAAGGATATTATATATACTTTGAATAACATTTTTTTATTTGGAAAAAAAGAAGTAAAATTTAGACTGTAATATTTCTGGCTAGAGAAAGTGAAAAAAAGTTTAAAAACCTGTGAAGAAGAAAAATGGGACCAAGACTGATCTAAAAAAAATATTAATCTCAAACGACTCGAGTACCTAGTTAAGCTATTATAGCTATTGGGATCAAAGGACCAGGAAAATATTGCACACATGCATGCTTTTGGAAGATCGGTATGTTAAAAAAATCTTACTTTTCCCTGGACACGAACTTTCGTGTAAGAACTCCATCTTTTGCTCCAAGGGCTTTAAACCAAATCTTCCACTTTAATATTAGATAATCGTTTGCCAGCTTTCTACGCAACTGAAGGTTAAAAATTAAGTTAAACTGTTGTCAAAAAGGATTATACATTTTGGCAAAATATGTATACAAGTCCAGATTGTAATATTACAGAAGATATATGGTAAAACATGTTTCGTTATTTGTTTTCCGTATGAAGAATCCAGTTTTGTATTGCTGTCCTCGTGCTCGTGCGATGTCCTCAGTCAATTAAGTTTTAGTATATTATGAAACTATCGAGGCCGTTATAGCATTAAACTGTTTTAATTGGCTCCCCTAGTCACGCATCTTAAAACGCATTAAACCATCTACAATAAACATCCTCATCATAATACTCAGTCGATTCAAACAAATCTATATAAATATCATCTGTTATCATACCATCTACAGTCAGAGTCAAATAAATTACATACAAGTTTCTCGTTTTCCCTCATTCTTTTGACAAACATTTCTTTAACTGAGTCATATGCCTTTCTCAGGTACCCAACAAATTAGGATTTCATGAGATGTGACTGCTTTTGGAATGAAAATACATGTAGAAGTAAAATGGGCCTAAATGATCAAATATATCGTTAATTGTTGGACTATAGTTATACTCTTATTTAAAAGTATATTGTTACTGACATAACCCTTCGAATGACAGAGTAAATGGACCTTTACGATAAACTGATTTTAATGAGAATTACATAAGGCTTGCCTTAATATGTTAAATATTCTTACAGCTGTATGGTCTTTATGAGTTTAACGTAGTTCGAACTAGCAATAATTATAATTTATTTCTCAGCTGGTCCTTTGTATTTCAATTTTTATATTGTTAAGTGTGTTTGATGAACACAATGTAAGTTATAACGGCTCTGTAAATGTCATATGTACAGTTTTCAGCTTTACTGGCGTAGAGAACCTCGTGTGTTCCTACGTGCATTATTTCAGACATAGACGGGCACATTAGTTAATGTTAAGTAGCAAGAAAGCGTCATCTGATGACAGAATCCAATTCAAACACAGAACGGTTAGAAGCAGAGACTTGAAGCCATTTGGAAAAAGAGCGATATATTATCCGTTTATATTTTGTCCCATGATAAAGATATAAACTTAAAATGAGAAACAGAAGCTCTGGAAGGTTTGATTACCCTAAAGCATGTTTAACCGTAAATGTCACGGAACGAATATGTAACACGAGTCAAAATGTTAAAACTATCATGAATGATACGTTTGTGTCATTGAATACGGTACGTGTAGTTTCGACAAAGACTCATTGTGACATGTCTTTGTTAACTAACTTGTAGGAATTTTGATATTCATATTTCGAGTATCAGATTTTATTCAACTGCCGTCACCTATGAAAAATAAGATGAATGTGTCTGTATGTTTGTTTTTACTATAATTGTATAATTGTTTCTATTCTTAGTATGCATTATGTTTTATTCGGTTTCATGATGTGGTTGAAAACGTCATAAGAAAAAATCATTTAATTCCGAGTACTGAGAACAATTACAATGTTTTGAAACATGAAAATATATTGGTAATGCGATATGCAGTATTTGGTTTATACTATTCATATCTGACGGCATACGACATGATAAGCAAATCTTATTTTAGCACATTGTAGATATTGTTTACTCACACAATAGTCGTAAATGTTTAATAGGGCGGTAATGTTTATTCGATTAGTAGGAAATATAAACTCATTTAAGTTTGTTCAACATGTTCAGAGATTGAAATTGGCACACTACTATGTCACTGACTTTTTTAAGTTCTTTTGTTAATTAAAGTTGCTGCATTTTATAATTGTTGCGTTGGTGATAACTATTCAAAATTATATATATAATTTGTCCATTTACAACATAAAACAACGTATGATGTAATGCAAATGACATGAGACATGAGCCAACAAATAAGGCATTGACTGACATACACGAGACACGATATAATCCAGACCATTTGAGACATGATATAACCAATATGAGCTAAACCAAATCACATGCAATTAAAACCAGTAGATATATAAATCAACCGATATAAGTTGTAAATAAAACTAACATCATACAAGATGAAACCCACATCTAACCAACATCACACATATTCCAAAGCACATGACTCGTGCAAATGATGTTTTTGTTTCAATATGACTGAACAAGCTATTCTTATCAAACAGTATTCTTAGAATAATTATGCTAATATGTTCATGTACTATGTCTGCTTAGAAGGTAATTCAAATAGGCTGGAATATCTATAATTGCATTGAAACTAAGGTGTCTGTGTTCAAACCTAAAAAGAGTCAACTTTTTAATAAAAAAATCGGCATTACAATTTTAGTCAAACATGGTTGCAAGTAAAAAAATGCTGCATTCCATGTTATTCAATCCAGATATTGTTTGTAGCAAAATAAGGAATTGTTTTATAACAAATGAGCACAGAACATAGTACATAAATTTCGAGTGGCAAAAGTGAAATGTCTGGCAAACTTTATTTTGGTTCCATATTCGAACAGCATTAAATATTTCATGAAATCAGTGTCTTCGTGAGTTATGGAAAAAAAATGAAAAAAGAAACTATCAAACTGATAACGATATAATCAATAAGTTACTGAGCTTAAATATAATGTGTTTATTATTTTTGTTGGTATCATTTACCTTCATTGACTTAACATTGTTTTACATGTACTTGCAACTATTGATAAGTTCACAATGATAAGTGTTTCAACTTTAAGAAGGTATCTTGGTGTCCTTGTTTTAGAAATTGAGAAAACTCGATCCACATTTAACTTAATTATAATTATTCGCTTCTTATTTTTCAGCTTCCGGATCATTAGACTCCGAATTCAATCGCAGATTTAACGAGATCCGGTTTAGTGCTGTCCTCCAACGTCAAAAGTGTTACCCATGAATCAGTCATCACCGATATTGGAACCTTGTCGTCAATTGGATGGTAGTCCTCGAAGAACTTTTCATCCAATGGGCTGTTATTGTGACCGCCAGTCTTCAAAATGACCTCAAATTCTTCCTTTGTGATACTTCCATCATTGTTAGTATCAACAATGTTACCAATCATATTATTGCACGTATACATCATCTTTCTAAACACCTTTTTATCTGTCTCCCATTTGTTGCTCATCCCCTCTATGAAATCAGATTCGGTCAGTTCAGATTTTCCAAAGAGAACACATTCAGTCCACCATTTTCCAAACTGATTCAGAATTGTCTTTTTTTCGGCATCACTTAGATGATTTAAGTTGCTAAACCTTGACCTGTTTTGGGAGAAGAAAACAAAACATGTCATGTTTGAAATGATCTACATACTAAATAAATCACAATTATAAGAATACGATAAACCCTTCACTCGTTGTAGTGTTATTACATTTGTTTATTCCCAATATTTAGAAATTCCCATGCTTGAGTATATTGTATTTGTAGGTACATTTATTCTTTATTAATATGAATAAAACACGCACTTACATTTCATCGTATTAATTTAAAATGTTTTCCAGAAAACCGAATAAAACCCACGCTTTTGTATACTTAAATGTGTTTTTCGTCTTTATTTCATTATAATAATAAAATCTTTCTTTTTGTATACATGTATTTGTTTAGAATTTTAAATATAATTGATTGTTCCCCTTATCATGACATAAAACTACACAAATTCCATACTACTCGATTTAATAATAAGATATAAGATTTAAGATAAGTCACGAATAATAACATTTAATGAGATCGAATTTGCAAAACACACTTTTATGCAATAGAAAGAAAAAGAATAAACAATCATCTAAAAATCTCATAGTTTCCAGTATCCTAGCTACTAGAAAGTTTATGTGCTTTGGTAAAAAGAATATAATAACTGTGAAATAACCTTTGCAGATCGCCATCGCTAAAGTCGACTTTACCATCCTCATTAATATCAAACCACGTGTACAATAATTTCCATTTAGATACTAGAAAATCTAACGCCTGAAATTAAAATACAGTTTGACTCGTATATTTACACGCAAGCAATTTGTATAACTTAGTGTTTTAAGAGTAAAAACTAGGCTTAGCAAATATTGTTTTTTACAGAAAATAACGTATCTCGTATCATAGTATGATGCCGATGGATTTGACAACGAGAACTAGCAACAAATACAATAAGGTTGTGCCAAAAGTATAGTGTACGCTTTGTCTGTTCAAAAGTCTCAAAATACTTAGAATAGTTCAGGTAATTGGTTGTTATAAAGTTCCAATTTGTTGCTTTCTCAAAAAATGATTATTTATAAAAAATATATTCTTTAACTTTAATCCATTTCAATAGAATTATAGATATGGATAGTTAATGAACTTACGTCATTATATCATTTACATGTACTAGAAATAAAGAAATTGCAAAACTTACCTTAATTTAAAATCGTTTCCCAGGTTTCATAATGAAAGAAGTACATATTAATTATTATATTATATTGATAATTTTGATGACTAACAACAAAAGCTACCTGCTATTAACTGTTATGGTATGTTGCTCAGATAGAAGCGAATAAGGTGTTTGATACATTCACGACCGCGAGCTCAATATGGTCTCCAAACAATACAGCTCGGAAGAATCGTTATATATTGATAGAAATATGTCAATGAATTCCTTCTTTGTGATGAATGCGGAAATATCTATAACTGAATTCTTTTAAAGAATTTCAAGTCGTTAACAACTTTTTAGGTTTAGCATCTTAGGCTTTTTTTAGAAATTTTATCATGCTGTTTTCTTTTATTCTTATCCAATTTTCAATCCTGATCTTTATATTTTGATTAAATTCTTAACTGAAATACATGAATAGAGATACATCTGTCATAAATCGTCTCAAGCGTCGCAATAATAAGCATGTATCGTATCAAGCATTGCAAAAATTGCCATGTGCATGTACATTGTCAAGCTTCGCGATATAGTTGTCATGCGTCGTATCAAGCATCGTGAAATTGGCATGTATTGTATCAAGCATCACTATAATTATCATGTATTGTATCAAGCATCGCGAAAATTATCATGAATTGTATTAAGCATCGCTATAATTATCATGTATTGTATCAATCGTCTATATAATTATCATGCATTTTATCATGCATCGCGAAATTTGCCATGAATTGCATCAAGCGTCGCTATAAATCTCATGTATAATATCAAGTTTCGCGAAAATTGTCACGTGTTGTATCGTCATGTACCGTATCAAACATCGCTATAATTATCATGTATTGCATCAAGCATCGCGAAAATTATCATGAGTTGTATTCTGCATCGCAAAATTATGTCATATATTGTATCAAGCATTGCGAAAATTGTAATGTTTATTGTCAAGCATCGCGGTAATTGTCATTTATGGCATCAAGTGTCGCTTTTAGGGCCATGTTTCGTATCAAGCATTTGTGAATATTGTCATGTTTATTGTCAAGAGTCGCGATAGTTGTCATTTCAAGCCAAACGGCATTTTGCCAGGTAATGTATCACCGGATTCGTGTTACGTGTTATGTGTGGACATCCAAATGAAACTTATTATACTTAAGATGGAACCAACCTGATTTCGTACATATTTTACATATGAGAATGTAATGATTAGTAAAAATATGTGACACCTTATAGATGGTAAGCATATTTATCTAATTGTGCTGATTCGAATGTTAGTTACAATAACAAAAGTTCTGTCACAGTCACACAAACATTTTACACTGATTTTGTCTCAATAATGGCAAGGAAACAATATGTCTTCTGAACAAAGAATAATATACAATTACCTTGTTAGACATTTTTCCTGGCTTGGAAGCAACTTCATCTGTTACAATTGAGAAATGAAAAAGTGAGAGAATTATAGTTAAGTACTTCAGTACTTAGATAATAATTAAGATAAAAATGTGCGTAAAGCATTTGGTGAAAATGAAATTAAATTCGTTTGAAAAACAGTCCATGTAAAACTTGTGTAAAATATATCAAATGTAATGATCTCCCGTCAAAAACAATTATAGAAATAAAAAAAAACTTAAAAAGGAAATAAAATAAAAAAGAAGACTCCTTTTGTAAATTAATTTGCAACATATTTGAAACATTTATTTAAAAAATTATTAACATATTTGTACATAAAAACATAAAAGTATTAATCTTAAGATCTAAAATTATTTGTAGCATATTTACAACGTTATGAATAACAATAAAAATGCATGTGAAATAATATGCTAGTTGCCGAAGGCAATTAGTAGAAATGAAATTCACTTCCCTTGAGAAACAGACAGTATGATAAATTGTGTAAAATATACAAAAATTATCTCCCGTCAAAAAATGAAAACGTATAAAAACAGGAAGGAAAGAAGACTCTTATAGTAAATTTATTTGCAGCATATTTTGAAACATTCATTTAAAAAATATTTACATAGTTGTATGTAAAAGAATTAGTCTGAAGATTTTAAAACTTGTAAAAGCTTGACAAAAAAGTACTTGCGTTACAATGGTATACTGTGAAAACAACATAAGCTTTTACGAATATTTTACGAAACAATTACTTACCATTTAAGTTTAAAGCCAAGAAAAGATAAATCGTACTGTACAGTATAATCTGCATGACAGTGATTTTCCTCCTAAATAATTAACACAAGTGTAAACTAGCTCTGTAACGAGCTTATATTTTCTGTCTATATATACAGCATATTTTATGTTGGATTTTAATTAGTTAAGACATGTTTCTTTGTTTTCCAATTTAGTCACCTTTTGATGCAATATGTAATATTTATTTACCGGTAGATGTGGCATTTACTGGATAAATACATTTTAATCGATACTTTTGATCTTCCGTTAGTTTAAAGAAGTTTAATTCAAATAAGTTCCTTTCATCTTTATTGAAGAAATATTAAAACTTTAAAGCAAATTCGGCTTTCATGTTTAGAATGAGTATTAATAAATAGATTTCCTTCCTGTCGTATTGATTCCTATCAAGATTTACCGATTCATATATATTTTCGTATGTTACTCTGCAGCTGTGGATTATTTCCTTCAGAAACAGATAGAGAATAATGTATTGTATATATAAGGTAGTGTTTTAATATATTATTTTTCATGAGCAGACATAATCAAACCGAACCTTTTTATTTACTTTATTTTGCTGTTTAAATGTTTCTTAGCGATTTCCCCTTTTGGAAATTTTAATACTTTACAACACCCAATATCGAATGTCGTATGGCAGCTGTAATGAATTTGTGACAACTGTGAATAATCTTCACGAACTTCACATCTGTGTCATATGTTATTCTGCTCCTTCGAGTATTCTTTTATGATTAAATAATGCTTAAGCCGGTGCTAGGGAACGTGAGAGATGTAGCACTTTCACGTTACCTCTAATGAACGGGTTTAATCAAACCGAGTATGCAATTTTCATAACAAATGTGGTTTTTATTTGTTTAGGGGGATCTCACCATTTCAAGATTTTTTTTCATTATTTCTGCTTCACTTATGAATGTATAATACATGTATATAATCTACACTTGCACCTGTCATTTTACTACTTTATAAATGACAAAGAAGTAAAATAAGCTTTGAAATGATGTGTCCTTCGTTGTTTTACGTTGATTTTATCTTGATAAGTAACTTATTCTAACAGCTGCAAGCTGCATTCTATTCTCTTCATTGTTTGTTTCTAGTCACAATTCAAAGTTATTTGTCAGACAGATGTTCGGTTGTATTTTCATGTCATGTCCTATACTATATCATTTAAAACAAAATGGTTCTTGACAAATGTATATTGCAATATATAGTATAAAGAACCGGTGTTGTCATAATGTCCTCGTGCTTGTGCGATGTCATTAGATAAGTATGTTTTGATAGGCCGACATTGCAGTAAACTGTTTGAACTGGCTTCCCTAGTCATACATCTTAAAACCCATTAAACCATTTACAGTCAACATTCTGTCGATTCAAACAAATCTATATGATCATTATTTGATATCACACCATCTACATCAGCGTCAATTAAATTACATACAAGATTCTCGTTTTCCGACATTCTTTTGATAAACATTTCTTTAGTTGACTCAGGTGCCTTTCTCTGGTACTGAGCAAATTCGGATTTCGTGAGTTGTGACTGTTTAAGGAATGATCAAATATAAATGATCAAATATATCGTTAATTGTTGGACTTTAGATATAATCTTATTTTAAAAAATATTGTAACTGTCATAACCCTTCAAAGGAAACAGTAAATTGACCTTTACGATAAGCTGATTTTAATGAGATCGACATCTTTGATGCCTTAATATGTTAATTATTCTTACAGCTGTACGGTTTTCACGAGTTTTACGTAGTTGAAACTTGCAATGATTATAATTTATTTCTCAGCTGGCCGTCTGTATTTCCATTTTTATATTGTGTTAGTGTGTTTGATGGATATATTGTAATTCATTCCGGCCCTGTAAATGTAAATGGCAAGTTTTCAGCTTTACTGATGGAGAGAACCTCATGTTTCTCTTCGTGCATTGTTTCAGACATGAGCGGGCACATGGGTTAAAGTTAACTAGCAAGAAAGCTTCATCTGATGACAGAATCCAATCTAAACACACAGCGGTTAAGAGCAGAGACTTGAAGCCACTTGGCAATAGAGGGACAAATTTTCCGTTTATAATTATGTACCATGATACAGATATAAACATAAAATGATAACCAGAAGCTCTGGAAAGTTCGATAACACTAAGCATGTAAATGTCTCGGAACGAATGTGTGACAAATGAGAATACAAATCAACAAGGCAAGGCAACGTTCACAGAACGCATATCCCGACACAATCTAGCCGCACCAGCAGAGCACCCAGTAGACACTGGAAGAGAACACAGGGGCGGTGATATAGTTATATCTTTAAAGATATTTTGTGTCATTGAATATGGTACGTGTAATTTCGACAAAGACTTATTTGACATGCCTTTGATAACTAACTTGAAGGAATTTCGATATTTCTATTTCGAGAATCACATTTTATTCAACTACCATCACCTACATAAAATTACCTTAATTGCTTCGTTTGTTTTGCTATAATTGTATTGTGTTTTGTTTTATTTTAAATATGCTTTATGTTTTATTTAGTTACATGATTTGTTTAAAAGAACAAACATTTAAATACAAATACTGAGAACAATAATATTGTTTTGAAACACTAAAATATATAGTGAATGAGATATTCATATTGAAGTTTTGTCGTAAATTAAGATTATATACAGAAATTTCACATAAATTTCACAAGTTACTGATATTAAAGTGCTAAAACTGAGCAGGATATTCCAATATTATTCAAATTAAAAATACTTGAAGAACTGTATCGTTTCCACGGGCATTGCAATTTTCAAAAAGTGAATGTAATAACATGGCTTTCTGCAGCCATTAATGAAATTTATTCCATAAGATCTCAGATCGATCTCACTTCTTTGTGATCAGCATACAAAATTTATGGCTACATATATTTATACTTTCATTACATATTTGTAACCTATTAACTTACATAAGGGCTACGTTCATCATCGTTTTATAATTTTTGTTTCAATATGACTGAAAAAGCTATTCTAAGCAAACAGTATATTTAAACATAATGTGATACTAGTATCTGATTTATTATGCTAATATGTTTATGTACTACTTCTGCTTATAAGGATTCAAATCAGGCTAGTATTACTTCAACTGCATTGAAACTGAGGTTTCTGTGTTCAATCCTAAAAAGAGTCGACGTTTTAATAAAGAAACCGGCATTGCTGTTTAAGCTGAACATTGTTGGAAGTTAAAAAATGCTGTACACCATGTAATTCAATCCAGATATCGTTTGTAGCAAACAAAATAAAGAATTGTTTTATAACATATGAGCAAAGAACATAGTACATAAATTTCGAGTGGCAAAAGTGAAAAGTCTGGCAAACTTTATTTTGGTTCCATATTTGAACAGCATTAAACATTTTATGAAATCAGTGTCTTCGTGAATTTTGGAAAACTAAAACAAAAAAACTATCAAACTGATAACGATATAATCAATAAGCTACGGAGCTTAAATATAATGTGTTTATTATTTTTATTGGTATCATTCACCTTCATTGACTTAACATTCCATTGTTTTACATGTACTTGCAACTATTGATAGTTCGCAATGATAAGTGATTCAATTTTAAGAAGGTATCTTGGTGTCCTTGTTTTAGAAATTTAGAAAAAAAGATCCACTTTTAAATTAATTATAATTATTCGCTGGCTTTTTCACCTTCCGGAACTTAGACTCCGAATTCAATCGCAGATTTAACGAGATCCGGTTTAGTGCTGTCCTCGCACGTCAAAAGTGTTACCCATGAATCAGCCATCACCCTTATTGGAACCTTGCCGTCAATTGGATGGTAGTCCTCGAAGAATTTTTCATCCATTGGGTTGTTGTTGTGACCGCCAGACTTCAAAATGACACTGAATTCTTCCTTTGTGATACTTCCATCATTGTTAGTATCAACAATGTTACCAATCATATCATGGCACGTATACATCATCTTTACAAACACATTTTTATTTGTCTTCCATTTGTTGCTCATCAGCTCTATGAAATCAGATTCTGTCAGTTCAGATTTTCCAAAGAGAAGACATTCAGTCCACCATTTTCCAAACTGATTCAGAAGTGTCTTTTTTTCGTCATCACCTAGATGATTTAAGGTAATAAACCTAGACCTGTTTGGGAGGAGAAAGCAACGTGTCGTGTGTGAAATTATCTACATATTGAATAAATCACAGTTAAGTCATTCACTTATAATCTTTGTAGTGTTATTACAAGTGTTTATTGTCAATACTTGAGAGAAAAAACACGATTGGGTATATCGTCTTTAAAGGTGCATTTATTCTTCATTAATATCATGAATAAAACACGTACTTCAGTTTTATCGTATTATAATGTATTTCAGATAATCGAATAAAACCCACGCCTTTGTATATTTAAAAGTGTTTTTCGTATTTATATTACATGTATTTAAATAAAATATTTGCTTTTGTATATTGGTTAAGAAATTCTCCCTGATAATGAAATAAATAACTGACCGGCTTTTGTATATTTGTTTGTTCCCCTAATCATGAAATAAAAAATAATGACGAAAAATCGATCTTATTCAATTTTTTATTTGATTAGATAAATCACGAATAATATCATTTAATGAGATCAAATTTGCGAAACATACTTTTATGCAAGTTTGTATTTCAAAAGAAAGAAAAGGAACAAACAATCAACCAAAAAAATCTGATAATTTGCAGTATCCTAGCTACTCGAAAGTTTATTTTCTTTAAAATTTATTTATTTAAAGATTATAATAACTGTGAAATAACCTTTGCAGATCGCCATCGCCAAAGTCGACTTTACCATCTTCATTAATATCAAACCACGAGTACCATAATTTCCATTTAGATACTAGAAAATCCAAAGCCTGAAATGGAAATACAATTTGACTCGTATATTTAAACGCAGACAATTTGTATAACTTAGTAAGTGTTTTAAGAGTTAAAATTAGACATATTCGGTAACTTTAGCAAATATTGTTTATTTGTTGTTTTTTTTCCAGAAAAATAACTTATCTCGTATCATCGTATGATGCCGATGGATTTAACAACGAGAACTCGCTACAAATACAATAAAGTTGTGCCAAAAGTATAGTGGCCGCTTTGTCTGTTCAAAAGTCTCAAAATACTTAGAATAGTTCAGGTAATTGGTTGTTATAAAGTTCCAATTTGTTGCTTTCTCAAAAAATGATTATTTATAAAAAAAATATGAACTTTAACTTAAATGGATTTTCTATAGAATTAGAGATGTGGATAGTTAATGAACCTACGTCATTATATCGTTCACATTTACTAGAAAAATACTACAAATTGCAAAACTTACCTTCATTTAAAATCTGTCCCATGTTTCATAATTCGACTTTGTATTGAGAGGACTACATGTATATTATGATATCATATTGATAAATATATTATTATATGATGATATATTACAAAAACTTACAGCTATTAAATGTTAAAATAGAGAAAAACGGAATCCCTAATGAAAGCTCATCACGGCAAAATTGAAATGTTGCAGGCTCGGTTTGATTGAGCCTGTTCATGGACGGTACTGCCACGTGTGCACTACCGTCCACGCCCACTAGCACCGGCTGAAGCAGAATTCAACATTAAAACACGAAAATTGTTAAATTTTGAATTTAGAAACATCCGCAGATGTGTTCATACATCGGCTATCATAGAACATACAATGTGACACAGTAGAGCCATTCCATAAAAAAGCTGCGTATGGCCCCCAATTAAAAACCGCCATTAAAAACAAATATGTAAAACAATGAGCGGAACTAAATAAAATGGAATTTTGAAAGGGGATCTGAGGTTATGAAGCCTGCATATCACAGACAAGTGTGATATTGCTTAGATGAAAGCAAATATGGTGTTTGACACATTCACGACCGCGAGCTCAGTATGGTCTCCAAATAAAACAGCTCGGAAGAATCGTTATATTCTACGAAAAACGGTTTCAATGAATTCCTACTTAGTGATGAAAGTGGAAGTACCTATAACTGAATTCTTTTAAAAAAATTCAAGTCATAATTATCTTATAGGTTTTGCTTATTATCTTATAAGTTTTCATATAGATATTTTATCATGCTTTTATTCTTATCTAATTTTAAATCCTGATCTACATATTTTGATTAATAAAAATGATATTAACCATATTTATCTAATTGTGCTGATTCAAATGTTAGTTACAATAACAAAAGTACTGTCACAATCATACAATCATTTTACAGTGATTTTGTCTCAATAATGGCGAAGTAGTATTGGGAAGGAAACAATATGTCTTCGTGAACAAATAAAAATATACAATTACCTTGTTAGAATTTGTTCCGGGCATAGAAGCAGCTTCCTCTGTTACAATTGAGAAATGAAAATGTGAAAGGATTAAGGTTAAGTACTTCAGAACTTCACAATGTCTTAGATAATAATCAAAATACGTGTGAAATTATGCGTAAAGCATTTGGCGAAAATGGAATTCAATTAGTTGAAAACAGTCCATATAAAATGTTTGTAAAATATGTTAAATATATCGTATCTTCCGTCAAAAATTAAATGGTAATACGTATTAAGGAAGGGAAAATAATAAAAATAATACATGTACTCTTATAATTTGCAGCATATTTTGAAACATTCATTTAAAAATATTTACATATTTGTATATAAAGGAATTAGTCCTAAGATTTTAAAACTTGTAATAGTTTGACAAATAAAGTACTTATAAGCTTTCAAGAGTATTTTACGAAAAAATTACTTACCATTTAAACTTAAAGCCAATAAAAAAATAAATCGTACTGTACAGTATAATATGCATGACAGTGATTTTCCTGTAAACTAGCTCTGTAATAAGCTTATACTTTCCGTCTATATATGCAGCATATTTCATGTAGGATATAAATTAGTTAAGATATGTTTGTTTGTTTTCCAATTAAGTCACGTTTTGATGCAATATGTAGATATTTATTTACTGGTAGATGTGCCATTTATTTGATAATTAAATTTTCTAACCAATACTTTTGATCTTCCGTTAATTTAAAGCAGTTTAATTCAGATAAGTTTCTTTCATCTGTATTAAAAAAAATATTAAAACTTAAAAGCAAATGAGTCTTTCTTGCTTAGAATGAGTAATAATAAATGGATTTCCTTTTTCCTGTCGTATTGATTCCTATCAAGATTTACCGATTGAAATATATTTTCGTATGTTACTCTGCAACTGTGGATTATTTTTCTTCAGAAACAGATAGAAAATCTATATAAATATATATAAGGTAGTGTTTTATTATATTATTTTTCATGAGCAAACATAATCAAACCGAACCTTTTTATTTACTTCATTTTGCTGTTTCTGAAGGATTTCCCCTTTTAGAAATTTTAATACTTTACAACACAAAATGTCGACCCTGGTGTGGCAGCTGTAAAGTTTATAGGCATGAGAGATAGTTTTCGAGGTATCTCACTATTTCAAGATTATTTTCATTATTTCTACTTCACTTATGAATGTATAATAAATAATCCACACTTGCACATGTCATTTTACTACTTTATAAATGAAAAAAAGGAAAGTAAACTCTGAAATGATGTGTCTTTCGTTGTTTTACGTTGATTTATCTTGATATGTAAATTATTCTAACATTCTAACAGCTGCAAGCTGCATTCTATTCTCTTTATTGTTTGTTGCTAGTCACAATTCAAAGTTATTTGTCAGCTTTGCGGATGTATTTTCATGTCTAGAACTATATTGAATTTATATTGATTTATCCGCACAGAAGCAACATTAGTACCATCATGATCTACTTTAGCCATCTGTATCTTTTCACAGGTTTTCCTTTGGTAAGGGTTTTAACTAAAATTATAGCTAGAAGCTCTGTGAAAATCAAGTCTTAAACCACTAAAGCGTGTATCTTTAATATATAAATTTGGAAAAAAATCTCCCGAGAACAATGAAAACATAGTATCAAAATGGAAATTGCAGACACGCTTTTTTTAATCAATCTGTTTATGATTGAAAATGAGAAGTGCAACATCTCTCACGTCCCCTAGCACCGGCTTAAGCAGTATTTAATTATAATAAGATACTCAAAGGAGCAGAATAACATAAGACACAGATGTGAAGTTCGTGGAAAATTTTCACAGTTGTCAAAATCCATTCCTGCTGTTAACTGGGGTAGGGGCGTGAAAATTGTTTTGATTTCCAAGTTTCACTTTTGACTTTGTTTTTACTGCTATTAAGTATTCTCCCGTTTTCTAGATTTCAGTAAAAATATTTGAATTCCAAGCTGTTGTAAAGATTACAGTGTCAAGTGGAAAAAGGTTTTGCTTAATGTAAGTTTCCACACTTGACATATGTGATATATTCGTTTCGATACAAAATGGAAAAACAACAATTCAAACGAATGTATTGTTTTACTATAGATAAATGCCAAATGCAATGTCAGATATGAAACTAACATGTTACATATTCGATCTATGGCATAAACGTTGAAACAAATAAATTTCTTTGTATTGAAAATTATCCATTTTAGGATATAAAAGGTTTCTTCTTGGGAAATAAAGTGAAACAGACGTTAACACGTTCTTTATTATGCAAGCTTTCATAGCATTCATCATTTCTGCGGCTTAGCTCTAAGAATAAAACTTCCGTATTCCTTTTAATAAAAAGTAGATCAAAAACATTGAAATTAAATTCAAATCAATATTTATTGCATCAAAGTATACATACATTTGTATTCCTAGCAATTAATAATAATATAAAACATATCGATCATATTCGTGACTATAAGTACATATCATTGATAAAATCATGGTAAAAAATGGCCATTGTAGAATAAACGTCCTTTATTACAAAAGAAAATCGAATCAAATGAAAAGTATTTTATCGACTTTATTTCATAATCATATAAAGCATGTATTATTTCCAAATATGTCACTAATGATCAGCCGATTAGAGTACTTAATGTTTCGAACATCATATTGTATATCAAACAATACGCTAGCAATGAAGTTCCTAAGTGTCAGTTTGAAATAATTGTACTAATAAATCTGGTTTGGAACTATCTTCGTCTGTGAGGAGGCGTGACCATAATTCCACCACCGTTTTGACCGGAACTTTTCCATTAACAGGATTGTAAGCTTGAAACCATCTCCGGTCAACGGTCTCATCGTTATGCTCAGTCGATTTAAACATGACAATGTGATCTTCTTCTGTTATCATACCATCACCGTCTGTGTCCATTAAGTTACACACAAGTTCCTCGTTTTTCCACATTCTTTTGACAAACATCTCTTTATCTGACTCATATGCCTTTCTCTGGTACTCAACAAATTCGGATTCCGTGATTTCTGACTGTCCCCACATCAGATACTCACTCCACCATTTGGTGTATGTATCCATTGCAGTCTTCTTTTGCTCGGCATTAAAATGGTGAAGGGTAGCGAATCTATTTCTGAAATATCATTTGCAATATTCACAATATCTACATATTATAAAATAGGTATTTTTAGTTGGTTTTAATAGGATACGTATAAGAATAAATTCATAATGAATATATTTATAAACTTCATATTTCAATTGAAATAATTACAGGCATATCATTTTACTTCTTAGTTATTTTCAACACAATTCATTGCTTATTACTGGTTGGTTCCAGGAACGGATTCGAGAATGTTTCAAAATGCTTATAGCTTCCAACACAATCGAACTAAAATAAATTTGTATAAACTAACACTTTTGGACTTGAGAAAGTCATACTGTAAGTAGCTGTAAAACATTTAAAACGGTCAAAATGAAATAGGCTGTCAGTATTTTTGCTACATACCTTGATGTCTCTAAATCTGCAGTACAAACTTTGCCATCCTTGTTATGATCAAACCAGGAAAACCACATTTTCCATTTTGAGACAAGAAAGTCATTGGCCATTGCGGTCTGTTGAAGTATAAAAATAATATCTAAACTATCAATTTCATATAACATACCATGTAGAATTATGTACAATTATTTGTGCTTATAACATCAGTCCAAGGAAACGAAACGTGCTGTTGGGTTATATTTGTATCTGTATGTCGATCTACATCTAACATATATAGTGGACGGAATTCGAACTACAATAATTATACAGTTAAACGAAAATTCTGTATATACATTGTTCAAGATATTTTCGTAATGAAAAAGAACGTTTGACATGGGCAATTGTTATATCGTCTAAGATAAAATAAATGTTATAGGAAATCAAACTGAGTTTATAGATAAGTACGCTGTCATTGTGTTTCAAATGATAGATAAAGTGATAAACAAAAGGTATCAATTTATTTATAAAAAATGTACAAAACGTAATTCAAACTTGTATAGTTGTACAGTACAAACTGACCTGAAAGTGAAAAGCAGTTGTGCGGACGAAAAGAAAATTGCATGTCCGCGTTGTGCTTGCAAACTAGTTAAAAATAAAAAAAAGAATTCAATGCCCAAGTTTGATTTAATCAACACTTTTATCCAATTATCCATTCGGAAACCAACATAAATAAAAGTTTAAATACATTCAATTATGAAATAAGTGAATAGCTTATCAATATCAAATGAAGTCTTGCTGAGGAGAATGCGGGAAAATTATGATGATCTTCGATTATATTATTATAGGAATCCCAAGAACGACCTTGAAGACATGATTTTTCATGTTAATTTGATAACGTGTTAATGCAAACGGTTTGATAATTAATTGTATCAAGATGAGTTTCATGCTTTTGAATTAATTAACTTTTGATACTGTCCATCGAGATTAAACTTGTTTACAAATTGTGACTTGAATAAGAGATAGTAATTAAAAGAGTAATTGAAATTGTAGACAATTACGTTCATAAAGTAAACAAGCACACAAAGGTAAATATAAAACCCGAGAACATTTAACAACCTTTTAAAATTTCACAGAAGTTTTCATTTCTTTATTTTGTATCAAAACTTCAGAACAAAACAAAATTGATTTAAATACACTTTACCGAAACTTTAAGACTTTGTATATTCGAAGAAATATATAAAGACATTGAAGATGTTAGTATATATTACGAATTCTAAACAACTGCATACAAACAAAATTAACAATAGTTCATTTAACATTACAATTACACAGAAGTTTTTATTTTATTTTTATTGACGGAACTTCAGTAATCAAATTCACCACTAATTCAGTAAATACACTTTAAACGAAAATTGTAATAACTTATATATAATTAAAAACGGGTATTATAAGCTGGATTTCTATATTTATTTAAAATTTTAAATACTGGCAGTATCAAAATTAAGATAGTCTATTAAATTTTTGTTGTTGTTTTTCTTTTTATCTTTTTTTTTATTTAATTTTATAATCTGTTGTTAAACTTCATTAAAATGCACTTACTTGTCGCAATTTAAAAATGTGCAAAAAAACTAAGTGGAGTAGATTCAGGTTAACTTAATTAACTTACAAGTTTACTTGAAAGAACAAAATTTTAAAACTGCCGCCATATGTGCTTCTAGAGCTAGAAATATTACATGCTTATGTAATCAGGTTAGTTCGTATACATCACAGCTTCTTATCTTTTAGTGCGTTGAACCTTGTTTGCAGACACGTTATTTACTCGCTTACTACAAGAAAAGTTTCAAGGACATACTGGCATCTTATATAAATGATAACACATATTATATCGTGTAAATGATAACACGTATTATACCGTGATCTGAAATATAATAACTTACAAAGGTTACACTTGTGAAGGTAAATAGGTAAGAAAACAGTTTAAATCTCATCTTTCGGTTGATTCATATAAAGAGATAAAACTATTCATTGTGTAATTTAACTTTTGGACCAGGGGATTATAAATTAAGTTCGTTTAAGTGGTTTGTATATGTTTTATATGATTTACTCACATACAATGGAATGATATGCATTACATACAAAGTATCTAAATTGTTTTCTACCATTTAACGTCGTTAGAAATGTAAAATGGATAGTTGATGCAATTATAATGGATATAAGATACTTATAACGCAAAGGTTAATAAAACAAATGTTTCAAAATAAACTATTTATCAATCACCTATATATTTCAGAAACCATGGCCAACGAGTATCTTATATCAAAATGGAAAATGTGGTTTACCTGGCTAGATATTAATAAGGATGGCATACTGGACGCACAAGACATCGAGTCGGAAAGGTATTGCTCATATACTAATATAGCGAATATATTATAAAGATGAGGGCCATTATGATGGGCTGTATCGCTGGAGTTGATTGTTATGAATTATACGACTATTATCTGGAGTTCGTGGGAATACAGGCATGTGCAATGCACGTGAGCAAAGCAATCAATCACAATTACCATTTCTTTATAAATGTAAACCTTCAAATAAAATGCGTTAAGAATATGAACAAAACTTAGGGTTGGGTGATTCTAATGAACACAGTCTAAGCATCAGGTTATTGATATTTTGGAATGAAGTGTTTGGCTGGTTATTGTTAGCGGGAAGTTGGTAGAGGCGGGTGCTGTGTTTCGTGAAAGTAGCATTACCTTGTTGATTTTCATTATTATTTTAAATTTCAGGCAAAGGTTTGTTGAATTGAACGAGTTCAGCACAGAACAAATAAATGCTGCCATGGAGGTTTTTGCAAAATGGTGGGAGGAATTTATTTTCTGTGGAAAAAGTGAGCTATCAGAAGAAGCTTTGATTAAATCTTTCAATGACGCCTTCAAAGCGAACAAAAAAAGATTTATAGAGAAAATGCGCCGTTCTTTTCAAGTCGCTTATAATGTGGTTGATATTCATAGTAATCAATGCATATCCGAGGATGAATTCATAGTTGGTTTAAGGACGTCAGGACACGAAAATATTGAGCTCAATCGAAGGTTCTTCCAGATGTATAATCCAGTAGATGGCCACATTCCTGTAAAAGAACTAGTTGAGTCTTGGGTTCAGTTTACAACTTGTGAGGACAAAGAGAAACACGACATCGTGAAAACAGCTTTTGAATTAGGTGTTTGACGATTTTACTTAACACATCAATTGACTTTATTAATAGTCTATCTCTAGCAATATTTGATAGTTTTTGCTAGGTGATGATGTCATAAGGTATGACTATATTAACACTGCTTTATTCTATTCTGGATGTGCTTGAAAATTCAACATTAGGTGAACATAACTGGAAATGACATAGCTGTTTTAAATGAGTGAATTTAAGTGTGCAAGACAATTATGTGCATTTTCGTTCTTTGACAAGATGTTACAAATAGGGCACCGTTTATTTAAACAATAATTAAAAAAGATAATTCAGAAAATTGTTTTGTTTGTTTATGTTCTTCTTATTTTATACATTTATGTAGGCAAAAAAGTATGAAAGTCAATATAACCAGTTATTAAAGTCTTCTTCTGTTTACTTTTTTTTAATTGTCAATTCTTAATATTTTAGCTATAAACGAATAATCTAGTTCTGTTACTTACAGCGAAAATTTGAGTATCATTTTAACGCAATAAATGAAATGAGAACGTACATGAGTTACCTAGCTTTTTAAAACTGTCATCATAAGTAAGCATGCGTGAAGCGATGCGCCGTTTACACATTATCCGACGGATTTTTGCAAATAGATAAGCCAACAAGTTAAATGTTGATGCTGCATATCAAAGACGGCGCCAAATAATATGACCAGTCACAGGTAATGAACAAAATCTTAATTAAAAATCGTTCTCAATTACAATTGAATATCCGAAGAACTAATCAATTTTTTTCCATGTTCTTGTAATGGGTCTGAAAGTCTGAAATGTTTCTGTTGCGACAATGATTGAAACGTCTGGTCGAAGCAAAATAAATTGGATAACAAGAAAAATTGAAATGATTAGTAAACTTAAAATGAATTCCAGACAATATGTGCCGAGAATATGTCCATTTAAATATTGGTGCGAATTGCATAATGTTTATTCGAATGAATTTGAGGATGAACTGTCTATTGTTTAATAAATAGCAAAATATGTCTGTAATATCAAATAATAGTTATGAATAAATTGATATATATATATATATATATTATCAATTCTTAGTAACGTTTTGTTTTCTTATTTATAAAAGAATGAAGTATTTGATTAAACTAAAGATTGCATAATTTTATTCGCCTAGAATCTAGGTTTAGGACCACTTAATGTAGAAAAACATCAAAGTCGTCAGTCAAAGAATCCTTCAAAAAACCTATTGCAAGTATTCGTGATACATTTAAAGTAAGCGTAATTTCTCAATCAGTTAATCTGTTTTATAACTGAAATCTTAATTATTTTCATGAATTACATGTCGAACACGTTTTGCATGTTTTGCAAAATATATTTCCGGTGTGTCCGTATCGCTAATAAAATGTCCGTTGCGTATTTTAATGATACCTCTTGTTCCCTTGGTTCCCGTCATTAGACTATAGACTGGCTAATTGGCACGTTATTTATAAGGTAGATAAAATTTGATTAGTATTAAAAGAATATGATATTCAAACATGGCACTATCACTTCAGTCAAACGATTATTTTCATCCCTTAAAGCTCTGTGACATGATGTTCATCAAAAAAATGCACAAAATCAAGTCTAAAATTTTCCCAACTGCTATACGAACAAATGCATATCTGTGCACGCGCCGTATAACTAAATGTTGTTTTATATCTTATAATATGAAGGTTTTCATCAGATATAGAAATACTGTTTACCATGCCTCCCATGTTAATAACTATTGATTGGCATGCATCTCCCCTATTATATTGGGAATCGAAAGATTGGATTGCCACGTGACCTCCAGTCTGCCAATCACTAATACAAACATCAATACACACGACAAAATTCATGTTCTTATTTTAAGGAAAATATTGTTTATAACTTATGTTTTATTTTTTAACATGAGCATTCTATTTAAATCAAATGATACAAATTTTGTCTAATTATATATAAGCATGATTTCACTGAATAATAATCATGGATTGCTGTAAATACTGCTGCATGAATTAGATAATTTTCATAAAACGCTGAAATAAGTACCGATGTAAACGTTTGTAAAATGGTACAGAATGTTAGGAACGTGAATAGATTAATATTGTGCAACTGCACATGATAGAGATGTGGGAATGTTATAATTTTGTTAAATAGTTTTCATACGAGAAAATATATCAGACAAAAACAAACACACAAACAGTAAAAGACGGCGGTGTTAATCAAATTAATCTTCTGTCAATTCATCCTTATCCTCAACTTAAGAAGTATTATCAGTTGCCTTATATGTTTTTGAAGAGAGACTTAACTATAATTGACAATTGAAGTTATCTAAGGGGTTGTTACTTCAAAGAAAACAAGTGATTGTAGGCACTAGATATTTCAAAATTAATCTAACTGAAGTATTACATGGTGTCAATTTAGATGATAAAAATAAAAGATTAAAGTAAAGTGTTATGTGAACCAGCATTTAAGACAATCAAATGTGAATGACCTTTATCAATATCGGAGATCACAAAATGTATGTGGTATCCTTTAGTAAAACGCCTTTCTTACATTAGCATAATGCCTCAATAGACGGTTAGGTTCGAGGTGTACACAACTTATGGTACAATATTCATAGCATTAAATCACTTACTATAATATATAAATCACCATGTTCCCCCCATAACATATCCCCCAAACAGATTCATTGCAGAATTTAGACAATATTATTATCTAAATATCTCTGTTATCTTTGTTTGTTATGCTTATAAATGTTTTAATTGTTCGTTTCAATTATGTGATTGGTTTATACAGAATTTATTTAAGTTCGATTGTAATGTGTAGGAAGCTATAAACTTGTAAAAACACACGTTTGAATGAATCCGTCCCTGCAACCAACAAGTACTGAGCAATGAGTGTAAAGTTTCTTGCTCAAGGAAAGAACGACTTGCCCCTGACGGTCAGGTGATTATTTATGAAATATCAAGTAGAGGACATGTAGGAAATATCATGTGCTTGTGAAATACTGGAGGAACTGAAGACCCTAAATGTTGAGTTGAATAATTGTTATGTCTTCAAGCAATGGAATATCTCCATTTATTTAAACGTTTAAATCTATAGATTACACAGTATGATTTGCTTGTACACATCTAAGTTTCGATTGGTATTGTTCTTCTTAATCCTAATCCGTTTAGGCCTTATATTAACAGAAGATTTTATTTATTCAAACAGTTTGTTAACTTCATATTATATGAGTACGGCTCAATCCCATTATTCCTCAGTTGAGAGGCAACTAGATGTATCAACCTCTTGGTCACCGTTTCCCCTTTTTTTTAATTTAATCAACATTCAGTTTTGAATATGAATGGTCTAGATAATGGGGAAAATGTTGACATTAACCTTGGATAAAGTAGTACATCCTTCTCCTGTTATCAGACGTTTCTGCAGATATGAAACATGTGACCTTAGTACTATTTTCAAAATAAGTTCAATTACTCTTTTATTTGTTGACACTACATCTGAAAAAATATTTTATCAAACTCTTACACTTTATAGACTCATAAAGTATTTGGATATCGAACATTATTTTAATAAGTATCAATGAAATGACAAAAACAGACAATTATCTTAAGCGCTTTAAGACGGGTTATAGAAAAGTAGTGCCAACAATCCTTTTTGACCTCGGATAACGTTATCTGGCGTGTTTGTAATGTGTACAATCTGTCTGTCATGAAGACAACCTTGACCTGGGAAATACTGCATTGCACTTCTTGTGCATAATTATATTACATAAAATATCAAAGTAATTTCATTAATATCCTAAAGTGTTTTCTAATTTTTAAATTTCTAAATTGTTTATGTGAAATTGTAAAAACTCGTAAAAACGTAAAAAGTGTCAGTACTTAGACAAATATTTTAGCTCTATTTTAAGATTTTATTTAAACCTCATCCCCGTTCAAATGTTACGATATTAAGCTATATAAATAATACAACGGAAGATATAAACATGGTCATTCTTGAAGGCTTATAAATTATAATTTCTTTTTTATAATAGATGTACTTTTATAACACTATGCAATAGATGCTAAATTATACAGTTAAGCATATTCACGTGGCGTTCTGTTTATTATCACCTAACATTGTGAATATTATCTTAAAAAGTTACTATCAAACTTTAAAATATTGTTGCACAAATATGCACAATCAACATTAAATATCGCTATCTATCATGTTATCAAGAAGAGAATAACCTTGTCATTAATCACAAATGCTTTACTAAAAGAATTAATTTAATAGAATATTAACATAAAATCTTATAAAATAAGAAGTTATTACTATGACATACAGTAAAGCTGTTTGATTTAGATATCACATTTTCGATGGAGAATTTAAATAAAGTAATATAAAGTGTGACATATAATAAATAATCAGTTTTGTTTTAAAGCTGCATTTTATAAAAAAACATGTATTTAGAAATATTTTGTCATCGGTCTAAAAACCAAACAGTCTACTCTTATTAACCTTTTGATAATATCGTTATAATCTAATCAAATATTGTTCAGAAATCATTATTTTAAAAGGAAAACTAAAGTATACGATTTTTATCATGCAAATGAAGACGTTTGCACTACGTCACAGTGTTTGACTGCTAAACAATCAATAGCTTTTAATAATGTAATTATAATCATGAAACAAAACTAGCATTATGCAAAATATTGATTTAACTTTAAAGTGTAAAAAGCTATAAATCTGCTGTAAAAAATATTTCTTAAAATTTTACAAAAGAATACTTCCAAAATGCTGTTGTGAAATAAAAATGGTAGAAAATTGCCTCAAAAGCGAATGTCGCATGCACAAAATCATTGCTAAACGGATACAACCCTGCTTAAAATAGTAACTATAATATTTTTGTTCCGGAACTTTTTATTCTGTTTGCGTACAAAATTCATGTGTTAAATAACAGAGACATTCTATGTGAATCAACCAAATAATAACGGAACCGATATAACATGAATATTGATAAAATAAAGATATTTTATAGTATACAGTATACATTTATACTATTGAAACGATTTGGCATTGCAATTGATCCCTTTTTAAATAAAAAAAAAAGTTTTATTAAGATATTCTATTCTGTTATTCATTATTAATAACTTTTACAGATCTTGTTAATGCAAATTGATTTACATAACATTTTACAAAGTTGCTATGCCTATGACACTGGCGAAGTTTATGTGATGAAGTATGTAAGATATCAAAAGTAGTGAATTATTTATGTCAACTTATATAGAATGTATTTATCCTATGACACAAAAAGTTTGAACTGTGGTACCGAAATGAAAAATATCTGTATGTCTGCGTATGAGACATTTGCCCTGAGTCCTATTTTTAAAATTAAGTTTAGTTATGATTGTAAAATAAGTGATTTAAATCATTAAAAAAAGGCAAATTCGACACTCTATTTTTTATTTGTCAATATATGTGAGAAATATTTTACCCAACTCTTACACTTTATAGACTCTTTGAGTATTTGTTTTCCAACATCATTTTTAAAAAAGCATCAATTAAATGGCAAAAAAACAGACAATTATTTCAAGCGCTTTTAGACGGGTTATAGAAAAGTAGTGCCAACAATCCTTTTTGACCTCGGATAACGTTATCTGGCGTGTTTGTAATCCGTCTGTCATGAAGACAACCTTGACCTAGGTAATACTGCATTGCACTTCTTGTGCTTAATTATATTAAATTAATATCCAATTGGTGCTTTTTACTTATCTTAAATTTCTGTCAAGTTATAAATGACTGATTTTAGGAACTCGTAAAAAAGTGCCGATATTTTAACAAATGTATTAACTTTATTTTATGTATTTTATTTGAGCCTCATCTCCGTAAAAATATTAACATATTCAGTCAACAGAATATATGAACATGGCATCTTGAAGACTTATAAATGACTTTATTTTATATAAAAGTTCTTTTATAACTGTATGCATTAAACAGTTGAGCATACTCAGACGGTGTTCTGTTTATCATCAACTACCATTGTGAATAAACTTTATTTACAAAGGTTACAATCAAACTATTAAATATATTGCAAAAACATGCACAATCAAAAGTTTTATATATCGCCATATATCATATTTGTAAGAATAACTGTCATTATGCACAAAGTTTTACTGAATGAATTTAATAAAATATCAACATCTTTAAAAGAAGTCATAACTATAAGACATAGTAAAGCAGTTTGATTTAAATGTCACATCTTCAAAACAGTTACAAATCTAGTTATATTAAGTATGAAATATAATAATCAGTTTTATTTTTAAAGCTGCATTTTATAAATGTATGTGTGTAGAAATATTTTGTCGTCGGTCTAAACCCCAAACTATTGAATTAACATTTTTTAACAATATCGTTGTAAATCTAATCATCAGTGTTAAGAAATTAACATTTAAAAGGAAAACTAAAGTATACGAATTTTTTTACATGCAAATGAAGACTAATATTATCTCTTGTATGCACTACGTCGTTCTAAAAATCAATAGCTGCAAATTTGTAATATTGTAAAAATGAAAATTAAACAAAACCAGCATTATGCAAAATATTGATGTCACTTTATATGATGTGTCATTGCATTTGATCCCTTTTCGTAGATAAAAAAGTTTTTTTTGTAATTCATTAATAATAACTTTTACAGGTCTTGTAAATGTAATTGATTTGCACATCATTAAATAAAGTTGCTATCCCTTTGACATTGGCGAACTTGATGTGATGAAGTATCACAAATAAACATTCGACTTTAGTTGATTATTTATGTCAACTCGAATAAAATGTATTTATTCTATGACACATTAAGTGTGCACTGTTATACCGAGTTTAGTCTGTGGAAGACATTAATATTTTTCCTTGCTTGCATCGTAAAGTTCAGTGCGAGGAACACTCTAATATTTTTTTTGCTTGCATTTTTGAATTTTTTCGGCGAAGATTATCCCCCCATTTTTTGTATTTTTTTGTTAAACCCCAGAGAAAACTTGTTTTTTGTTAGTTCATTGTTATTTCAAAAATTGTTGGAAATTGCTAGGTTATTTGCATAATTATAATTTATTTGGTTTGAGTTACGATCACTTTGTTTCCAGAATTTTCGAAATGAGTGCTAGATATTAGTTAATTAGAAGTGCTGAATGCGACCGGATTCCACTGCTCAGAGTTCGGTTCCAAATACAAGTGTACATAAATATTATTGTTTTTTGTTTGTGAAAGAGTTCGTTTTCAATAAAAATTATTGTTAATTCTAAAAGTTGTTGGGAAATTTGCTAGGTTATTTGCATAAAATATATTTGGTTCGAGTATCGATCGCTTTACACTCAATGCATTGACATCCAGATGTGCCCTAGTCTAAAAACATGTATGGTATATTATAGTATTTTGCATCTTTCGGTTGCCTAGTTCAAATTGGGAGCGGGGCCAAGTTTTCGTACCTTTCTAAAATATTTTCGTAAGAACAAGCAATTAATATGAATGGAAAACTACAAAACCTGGTCGAATTGTTTATAAGCTAAATTCTTAACTCAGATATACGTGCATTTGAGCCGTATAATATTGGTATTAGAAACAAAACAAACACCTGAAATTCAGATTCATATGTTTATTTAGCTTGACTGTCTCTTCCTGTATAGACACTTGTATCTTATATAAATTGCTGATATATGTTAAAGTATGATCAACCATCAACATAAGTTTCAAATATGGAAAACAATTACAATTGTACCATTCATTTACATGACATCATTATGGCAGTCCGTTAAATTCAATTACATGATATAATGAAGGCAATTTATTCTGGTCATCTACACTCCAGCTTCGAAAGCTTCTTTGACAACATCCTTAAGTGAGGAGTCCTCACATGTTGTAAACTGAACCCAAGAGTCGCATATTTTCTGAACGGGCACCTTGCCATCAACGGGATTATAAGAATAAAAGAAGTCAGAATCAAGTTTTAAATTTTCATGAGCAGATGACCTGAAGGCAATGACGAATTCGTTTTGCGTCATAGAGCCTTCGTGACTTATGTTAAGAATGTCAAATATGGTCTTCATGCAGACGGTCATTCGTTGTTTAAATGCCTCTTTACCAGCCTGGAGTTCTCGATTGAGATTATCAACGAAATCCTGTTCGGATAGTGGACCGGGTTTGTGGTGGAATATGTATTCGTCCCACCACTCTGCCAACTGTTTCAGAATAACTTTTCGCGGCTCTGCCTCAATGTGATGCAAGTGGACGAATGTCGAACTAAAATAAAGATTTAAACGCACTACAGTATTAGGGCAGTACCTTCAGATGCTTGCAGAAATCATGAAACAAAGTAAAAAGAAAGAACTTTAAACGGATACATCTTAGCAGACCAGGCCATTTCTGATTGCCAGATCTCAATAAACCAATATTATGCAAAACAACGGAATATTAATTTAAAAGCAAAATAAAAATTTGTTAGTCTTTGAGGATTTTCTTTTGGTACTGTATACAAATCAATTCTGAAATGTCAGTCTTGATAATAATAATAATAATAATAATAATAATAATAATAATAATAATAATAATAATGATGATATTTATAATAATGATAATAATAAATACCTAAAGGCATATTTCTAATTTTTCCAAAGAGACATGTAAAATTGGTGTTGATTAATTTATTTGGAAACATTGTTTTGCAACATTATATTTCATGAGATTTTACATTTTCTGTCACTGCATTAATTTCTTCCAGAATTCTTTAAATAAAACATAAATGGTGGAGGAAGACCTCAGGTGCCCCTCCGTGCATTTCTTCAGGCACAAACGGGCACCTGAAAAAACCACCGACGTTCCGTAACATAGCTGGATAGCTTTCTCGCATGAAAGAATTCAAAGTCCCTTTCGGGATTCGAACACACAGCGGTGAGGGATAAGTGATTTAAATTCAATGTCTTTAAGCACTCGGCCACGGACGCCCCATTTACGATATAATAAACAACAAAGTATAATTTCGTCAATACACATGAACTGTTCACCACTATTATATTAAAATGAATAAAATAGAAACAAAAGAAACTGTTAAAATAACTTACTCTGCAGCATCCATGTCAGCCTTTGCTATTTTTCCGTCATGCTTTACGTCCAGACACTTAAACCACATCTTCCATTTTGATACTAAATAATCACTAGGCATCTTGATCTCTTAAATATTAAAACAATTTAAAAATATTTTAATGATAAATTAGATGATTTTCTTGAGAAAAATAATAAAGAGATTGCAAATAACATAAATTTAAACGTGAAAAATCCAACTTTATTATAATTCATTCTTTTAAAAGTCAACTTATTTTATGATAATTTTGACAATCATTATCAGTTATCTGTAAATTTTGTTCCCTGAGGCAAAGTTGAGTAATTAATTATTCATAAGCTAGCTAAAGATAAGAATAAATCCAGCAACATTTAAATCAAACATAAAAAGTATCTTTAAAGTGTTTCGCTAATCATCCCGATGTTTTCGAAAGCATATATATCAACATAAAATGATAAGCATTAAAACAATTTTAATTGTTAAATTGATCAATAATAAGACAATTTTAATTAATTAACATTAAGACAACTTTAACTGATACTTAGTAATTAGCATTAAAAAGAAGAAGAAAAATATTTCAATTACCAATGTTGCTTCAGCGACTTTTCTTTTCTGTTTAAACCTGCAAGAATATTTTAGCGGAAAATGTTTCAAGTTATATAGAAATTTTAAGCTGGTCTACGTGCAAAACCGTGAAGTGCAATGTTATTTTCATCGTAAATTGGCGTAGTAATATTCATGAATGGAAAGTAGGCCAGACAGAAGTGTTTATGACCTACAGACGTATAAACCTTGACATGTAAATGATGCTTCAGAGATTAGAGAGGACTTGATATGAATTAAACAATGGCCTTAAACTTTTGAACCATAGCTCGCATTGATAAAAAAGTCCAAAAAAAGACCAACCATGCAACATTGAGGCTTGAATTTGAATTTCATTATATTTCAATTTACAAAAGTTAATTAGAAAATAAGTGAAAATTTATTTTAACCGAAAATACTATTTATAACATCTTTTTATGCTTTCAATGTACAATTCCCTTAAAATTTCTCAAAATTAATTAAAGAAGTAAAATAAATGCTTATGTAAGCAATAAAACGACTTTTGTTTTCATGAATATGTACGGCAAATCGATTTTTGTTAAAGATTACAATTTCAGTTTTCTGTTACATTCCTCTTGCTTCCAAAACAATATGAAGTACTGTTACAAAAATAATTTGTTCTCCGGCAATTGCATCGTGTTTATAGTCGAAATTTCCATACTTATTTTTTCTAAAGCTTTTTGTTAAAATTTCAAAAACAAATACTCATTGTCCTTATCGCTATATCATCTTTTCTTTTTTGTTATAGTGGTACATTGTTTGGTATGGAAGTCAAAATATCGATTTCTTAATATTTTGCTACATTTATCACATATACTTCAAATTCAGCGTTATTTCTACAGTATGTTCTCAGTGTTTTATCAACACTGAACATAATTGCTGTTTTAAGAAGGGAACTCAAATCCAAAATAAAAAAAGGCTTTTTGTTTTCTTATCACAAAATAAAAGTTACTGTTCCACTTACGAAATATAAACATAACATCACAGTAAAATTTGAAGTGAAACAAATATATCTTAAGTTTAGCACGGCACTTGATTTATGTGTTATTAGTGATACAAAGTTCGTTTCCCACAGGATAATGATAATATAGATAAGGATATAATTGTTGAAGTTGGCCAGCGTATATCACGATCGGTGTGAACAATAAATCAACTCCGTGTTTGCAAATGATTTTTGAATATCCAACCTTCCTGTGGAAGAGAAGGTTAATATATTAAAATGTAAATGGCGGAGTCACTGTATTGCAAAGTCTGCTAAAAGCAAAACGTATGTACTGAAAAATGTGAAGGAAAAATATTGATATATACTCATCAATTCAATTAAATACAATGCTCCTTAGTTACTTATCGTGCTCTGAAACCAACATTTAAATGCTTAATGATAATTGTTTAAACTTGACAAATCAATGACCAACACAAAAGACAATAACGTGAAACAACACGTATTTTAAAGTATGGATATTTGAAAAAATGAGTCGCCATGATATGGAACGCCACGTAGTGTTTGTGTCACATGCAAAAAAAACATGTGTCAATTTTAATGATTATTCGGTTTGTAGTATGCATAGCCTCCAAATCCACTTAAACAGTTTAATAAAAATGTCTGATAATAATCATTTCAAATGAATAATGAGTTGGGAGAAACAATTAGTATTTTATGTCTATGAATAGATATTTATCTATCAAAGTGTCCTTGTTTGAAGTGATCTCAAAATTACGTGACTAGATATGATCAATTGTGCTCAGAGCAGTTGGTTTTCATAGCTGTGTACTTGTTGAATAATCAACTGTTTTATTTTTTCAGGTCCTCTTTTACTGATAAAACCCTTTGCCTGCTAGCAGCAACAGATTCTACTATTGTAGACTAAACAAAGCTCGACAATTAGGGACACAGCAAAGTCGATTCTGCTTCTAAAATTTACAAGGCATTAAAAAGAGTCATTGTAGTTTTTATGGTGTGTTCAAAATTTGAAATAAAATAATGTAATTATAATTCATAAGCTTATAATTTATTTTCAGTTTATTTGACATTTTATGTACATATACAATTTATTTAATCATTAACTTTATTTCGTTTAAAATAGTTAATAAAGCGTAACAACTTTATAGCCCATAATAAAGTTTAAAGACGATCAAGCATAATCTAAGTGCTATTCGACACTATTATACAATAAAAATGTGTTATATCCTTACAATTTCACATTTTGAAATATTATATTAACTCAGTATCAGCTACTTTTTTTCCAAATGTGCCTGTAACTCCTGTACCTTCGTGAATTTTTAGCCCATAACATTCTGCATCGCAGTCGCTTTTTGAGACATTGTCGTAGTGTACCACAGTCGCATTAATGGCCAAGGACGGTGAAAGGGATACCTTTGTACAAGAAAGCACAATTTCGACTCCGGACCCAGCCCGAAACTGAACTTTATATCACAAATACCATATACTGAAAGCGCATTACAGTGCTTGTAACTTTACGGTGTGTAATAAACCAAGTGATTTTTACGGGGGAAGGAGAAATGAATTAAATAACTTAAATAAATAAAGATTTTGCAATAATTAGAATCAACATGTTACCGCCACAATTTTCTTATACGCTTAGGAACAGAAATAAATGGTGTGAAGAAGAGAATATTTTCTTTGATGAACAAAATACTCTCAAATTCGTCAGAAATACCTTGGTAACATATCATGACCTTCCTTAAATAAATTTGATAGTCTTATTCTTGTAACAGCAAAACGAAATTAATTCTATTATCGAAATTTATTAAAGAAGCTTTTGAATTGCTTAAAAATACCCATGAAACTGTAACTGTTTCATGAAAGTCTTTGTGTGTATAATTTTGTATTGCTATTACTATTTTGTCTTTGCCATACTTCATTTGTTTTCTTTGTAAATGCCCAAGGCAATTGATTTGCTGATGACGCTAATAAACTTGAAACTAAAAGAAAACAACAACAAAAAAAACATTGCATTCTTATTTACGTCAATAAAATATAATTGATGAAACAATAAAAGTGTTAAGCTCGTTGGAACTCAAATATATGCCAATGTAACAATACGCATTCTTACATATGCACTACATATGCACTACGTACGCAGGTATACATTAATGGGAAATAAAACATGCATTAACAGACAATATCACAAGCTAGCACCGGTGTTGCACGTTATTTAATATGCGTGACACATGTCAACATTAAAAGGTCCCGGTAGTTTTACTGTAACATGAGATCCAACTATCAAGATTAAGGCTTGACAATTGCAGGGGCGTGAACGGAAAAGTGGAATAACCAATATAGACATGTACTTTAATGCAAAAATGACTTTAATGCACCGTTTTGCGATCCCTCGTATTGCGGGCTATTGCTTTCGAATATGCCCTTGTGCTTCTGCAAATTGTAATGCAACAATTAACCCGCTGTTGTAATTTATGCATACCTTGAGTGGCCTTGATAATTTAGTCACCTAGATATGGGGCATGCATGACATTGTTGTTTGTTTTAAATAATTTCGACTTGCATGCATAGTCTTCTAATCCGCTTTTTTCAAACTTAAACTGCCTGCTTAGGATCATTTTCGTGAAATAGGGATTTGCAACAACATTAAGAATTTCATGTGTTTGAATACATAAGTATCTGTCATAGTGGCCTTGCTTGAACAGGTCTCAACTTTACTTGACTAGATATAAAGAAATATCATAATTTGATAGTTATTAAGTTGCGTCTACTAAAGTTGCATTCTGCCTGTTCTGCTTTATTGCTAAATTGTTTTATCTTCATGACATTGCCAAATAAAAAACAAAAAATCAAATCACAATCGCTCTGTCCTGAACAATCTTTGCTCTTTGGCCATTACATGACATTGCCAAATAAAAAACAAAGAATCAAATCACAATCGCTCTGTCCTGAACAATCTTTGCTTTTTGGCCATTACCTTAGTTAAATTTGTGATTATTTGGAAAACAAGATACCACTTTATTAACGTTGTGTTACATTTTTGACAAATTATCTCAAAGTCAATTAATACAGGCAGTCTTTAACGTAATATTCGTAGGCATGTTACATGTTCTTAATCAATCATCAAACTCTATACAAACAAAATAGAATGTTCCGGATCAAAATATCATTTTGCTATTTTAAGTAGGGTTTTATCCGTTTTGCAATGATTTTGTGAATGTCACACATGTATCTATCATTTTCTTAACGGAATTTTTGCCATTATCCGGCTCGTAAGAGTTGAAAAAAAATTTTATTCGATTTTAAGGCAATAAATTACCGTATCTATTCCATACAAGCATTCTGGAAGCATACTTTTTTAAATTTCAAACAATAATTTTTGCATCAGATATATAGCTTTATATACTTTCATGAAACAAGGTCTTTATTTGAAAATATACTTTGATGACATTATACGATATATGGTGAAATATTTTCATACATATAAAGGGAAAAATTCTTACAACGATATTTAATTTTACTTTCTGTTTATTTAAGAATGAAAATAATCAACATTTTTTTAATTCCTGTTTAACATACATATACATAAATAAATACATACATGCAAGCAAACATGCATATAATTGTACTGCATACAGTTGCCTTTATGTGACCATATCAGTGAATGGTTTGTAAGCCCTTTACACACCTGCTTCAAATGCTTCTTTGATTATATCTTTTTGCGAACTGTCCTCACATGTTACAAATGTCACCCATGTATCTACCATTTTCTTAACGGGAACTTTGCCATTATCCGGCTGGTAAGAGTTGAAGAAATCTTTATCTAACTGGACGTTTTCATGACCAGATGATCTAAAGGCGATCAAAAATTCTTCTTCATTTATCATACCGTCGTGATTTATGTCTAATATATCAAAGATCGTCTTGGAACTTGTCTCTATCCATTTAGCGTACTTCCCTTTGTATGCCTTGTAATCGGCTTGCTGCATTTCAACAAAATCTTGTTCTGTGATAAGGCCCGGCCTTTTACGGAATATAAACTCATCCCACCATTTGTCCAATTTTCCGGTAATGTCTTTTTTCTTCTCCTCGCCGAAATGGTGGAGATGCGCAAATTTATTTCTGTAATAGACAATGATATTTTGCTTTTATCAGCTGTATGGTTTGCCAATGATATTTAAGATATCACATGGATTTTGCTCGCAGACAAAGGCCCTCAATTGTTTAATGACCTTTTCGAGCAAAGGTTATTTGCCACGCAAACGTAAAAACATATTTATCACCAAAACATGTTCTAAAATCATCATTAATGGGGAAGGATTCATACATGTAATTACAGTACTACCGAGTACTGTAATCTGTTCCCCCTTTATTGTTCAAGCAATGCTTATTTCTTCAAAACAAAATGTTAACAGATATGATAATTTATACTGACTTTAGATTTGCATTTTCGCCAGACAATCATGTTGTTATTCAACATGTGCCGTCATATCGTTATATATAACTTTATAAAGGTTTTATATCCGTTATTTATCAACAATTGTTACTTTTTTCTTTAGAAAAGTTTAAAAACAAAACGATCTTTTTGTGTACTTTTCGTGCATTCGGTAATGCCAGAAGTATCGTTTAAAAGGGGAGATCTCTCGGAAGCCACTGAAACAACCAAAAAATTACATTTTTGAGATATTATGCTACACTTGTCCCTCACGCCCCATAGCAACTCAAAACAACAATGTTTATTCTTAAATCTTAATCATAAAAATCAGATAAGGTAGATTGCTAGCCAGAGAGCATATAAAACCAACAAAAAGTATACTAGTAGGTGAAAATCACAACTTGGCGGTGTTATCGAGTCTGTTCATGTGAGATAATAATTAAAGCAGCCTCTCTATCTCTCATATCAAAGGACCAGGAAAATATAGCACACTGGCATGCTTTAATTTGGCAGATTGGTATGCAGATAAGTATGTACATGTATATACAACATTATAACTTACTCTTCCTCGGACACGTCCTGTCTTGTCAGAACTCCATCCTTCGCCCCAAGTGCTTTAAACCAGGTCTTCCATTTGTTTAAGAGATAGTCGTTTGCCATCGTTCTTCGCAATTGAAGGTGAATGTTTAAAGCTGTTTTAAAAATGAATAAATAATGAGAAAATATCAAAACTAGCCCAAAATCTTTTAATGCTGAGTAAAACACGATCATTTTTTACTCAACACTGTAAGATTTTTAATCTAAGCGTCTGTACATGAATTTTTCAATATATTTCTGCACCAAGACGAATAAACGTTATGTAAAACTATGGATGATTGAATATTCTATTGTTTAATGAAAAAATTGACCACTTTTTCTATTCATTTATACAGTTATTTGATTTTATAACGATTTTTTTCCAAATAGAATTATAAATACGATTATTATTTATCATAGCACATTGTAATGGTGTCATGAAAACATTCATATCAAATTGAATACATTGATTTTATTTTAAGTTTTTACATAAACAAGTCTACTCATATAAAAAGCTCCTTTCCAACCTGTCCTTAAAATGATAATTACTAGTACACGAGAGTTTTAAAAATTTAACATTTACCTATGTTTAAAACGCTATGTAAATCCTTCTAACTGTAGAATGCAGAAATGTGCAGGGAAAGTGTGCTTTTATATCGTCTGTATGCAAGCTATCAAAATAGACACGTCAAAATGATTTTATAATGAATTTTCAGGTTTTTTTTTTTTTTTTTTTGGGGGGGGGGGGTGGCATAGAAAAGGTTGTTTATGACTACAAGTTGAACGTCAATGCGCTTTTTGCACATATTAACTTGACTCGATATGCCCTGTAGCCGTAGGCCAAGGTCTAACGCTTTGAACGATAATTTAATCATGCGCCAAATGCTTTTCACCACCTAAAATAAATAAAATAAATCTTTTGTAGACTCCGGGCTCCACTAGTAAACAGATCTTCAAATAAATAGCAACTCTCTTGAGCATGAAACGTCTCTGAAATAGCGCGGCACAACGATTTTAACTGTAAGGTACGTCTACCGTTTGGGTTTAAAAATCGCTCCAGTGGCATTTTTTTAGGGTCAATGTCAATTTTATTTTCTTGGTATCCACCCTCATCGTCTTCAGCATACCCGCTAATCTTGAAACACTCAAGATATCACTTGTACAATAAACGCCTCTAGTATTCATATTTTCTTAAAATCAGTCCAGTCCCACATGTCTAAAAGACTCTGACCTTTTTAAAGAAAAAGGAAAGAAAAGACAGAAACTATATAACGTGACTACATTTTTACGTCCGTCGTTCCTATTGCTCTGGTAAACTAGATTCTAGAAAATGAAATTTTCGTTATCTAGAGCAATGAAATCAAAATTTAATACTGGAATAACGCAGACTTTTGTCGGTTGATTGGACTTTGTTCATAGAGATAATGAAATGTGCAGCATTTCACAGATTTCAGTTTTCAAAATTTATTTTATAAGGATCAAATCACAGGCAAAAAAATACTGAAAATAACATTTTTAAAAGGAGAGTGTTACGTAAAAAAACAGGTCCCCCAACACCCTACACACACATCCCAAAGAAAAGAAAAAGGAAAGACCAACAAACTAAAAAAAACTGAATGAAACTTTTTTGGCACATTCCGTCACTCTTCGAGTACTACTAACGCAGTAATTAAGGGCTATTTTTGCATATTTGATCTCTTTATAGTAATTTACATTGGTTGTAAGTGCCATTGATAATGTGTAAATTGCCTTCGTTTGGTAAATATATACAATAATAAACTGTTAAATACATTTTCAAATAATCATGAAAATTAGCATGAATCTGGAGGCGTGCTGCTTTTTAACCGTTTTTGAACAACGATGGAACATCATATTTAAATATATATATTATATATAAACTATTTTTTTTTCTAGAATTACCTTTTTATACTATCCCAACACTGTGCCGGGTCCCTTTGGTTTGAAACAGTGATTTTTGTAAAATAGTGTATAAGTAGAGCGATAGTTAAATGGGCGAAACTTGGATAAGTAAATAATTTTGAGTACGAAGTCAAGTTATCGCGAGATCTTGATATTTGTTGTGTTATGGCGGACACTATGCAAAAGGCTGAACTAGATTTTTGAAATAAGCCGTTTATTTATTAAGTATGTCAAGTATATACGATGAGCACAGGCTAAAGGAAGCACAAAACTTTTTTAATGCAACGGGTATGAAAAATCCCGCATGCACGTTCTGTTGTATTGTAATTACCGCATTAGATTTGCTTAAATTCATGTTGCAGCACGAAAATTATTTTGTTTAAAGTTTGAAAAAATTAGCTATGCTTTAAATATAGTTATTTGTTACAAAATTAATTGATTTGCATTTTTAGTCATTGAAAAATTGTCATGTACCTGGGACATACGATAAGTTATCGTATGTCACAGTGACAGGTACCATGCAGAAGCACTTAGCCTGGAACCCCGTTGTATCGATCTATTTACCCATAAATCACAACTGCATTTAAAAAATTCAAATCTCCCTGAATATTTATTTTGTATCATTTATTTTGATCCTTTTGCCATAATATTTACATGGCAAACATTACTGATATATAGTTTTTAGCTTTGGAATATACGGATATTTACAGACATGTCAAACTGGTTGATGAATTAGGTCACGCCATTATATCGATGCATTGTGAGAATCGCTCAGTTAGCCAAAGTTTGGGAAGCCTTAACCATCTTTATGTTAGATATTTCAGTCAATTGGAATCAAAGATGTCAGTTTTAAAATGTCAGCACAAATTTAGGAACTTTTAACAGACAGCAAATGTACATTTAATAAGAACACATTATTTATAAGTCTATTTATTATCTACAACGTCTTACGGTACTGGAAACATGTTTTTGATCATTTTACTGCACAAAAATAAATGCGAAAGATTTTCGTGACACTGTTGTAAATGTTAACAATCAGTAGGTGACGTATTTTGCAAAAAATCTAAAGATTAAATTCTGATTTGTAAATAGATCGATACAATGAATAGCACGATACAATGGGGTTCCACTATATAGAATCTGTCGGAATCGAAATCCATGTTTTAACAGTTTAAAATCATAACCTTAACCTTAGAAATAATCTGAGGTATTTTTGCAGAGAAACATACATATAAATATTAAAGAAATAATATTGGGTAAATATCTGCAAACAGATTCGAAAGTCTACACGTTCTTAAGTTCAAAACGAAAATCAATAATGAATATGCATATTTGTGTTTCTAGAAGGAAGTGGCTAGCCGTACGGCTAGCCAATAGTTCTAGCCGTACGTGAGTCACGTACGACTAGCCAGGACTCGCTGTATTGTCTAGCTGTACAGCACTTTTCAAAATTACCTATATGGAAGTCAAACATGCATACAGTATGTTATTTTGTGCCTCATGATTATGATTTATTGTTTTATTTGTATGAAAGTTGAATTTTTGTGAATTAAGCACATGGATCGAATAAATAATGATTAGAGTCACAGATTTATATTTTATTGTAATATAAATCTGTGTCGGAGTGGAATAAATAAAAAGAATATTGGAAAAAAAAACGGTGAAAGGCAAAAATAATTGTATAATTTTCAAATACAGTACATAAATATCGATCATAAAAGCACAATCAATTAATTAGCCTTAATTAAAGCCTACCCAGGGACTGACAATAGAATTTTAAAATGCGTTTCACCGAACATGCAAACTTTCCTTAGAGATGGACAAACTTATATACCGTCGGTAATTGACGCAATTTAATTATTATCAGAGCCCAACAGCAATAATTTTCGTTTTTTTTTTTTTTTTATTATTTAACCCATTGCTTCATGAGCATTTTGTGAAAAATGGCTGTTTTCATTGAAAAGTCTCCCGTTACAAGTTCAAATTGCTATAATACTATAAAAACTGCTTCAACACTAATCAAACTTGGCACAAATGTTGACTGGACCATTGCCCTTGCAACAACATGCTCAGGCTTAAATTTTCTGTTACCATGGCAACGAGGGGACATCTCAAAATTGCCAAAAATCACTATTTTGCGTTGATTTTTTCCATCAAAATTGATTTCAAAGTGCTGCAACTTCTCAATGGATTGAGATAGAGTCAAATGCTTTTCAGCGTTGGTTACACGTTACCTTATGATCAATCTGGGGTCATTTACAGCCTCTCACAAGTCCAAAATTTTCTTGGCGATGATGGGGGCCTCCGCCCCCCTTCAAACCCCCCCCAAACAGAAGGGGGCACATCCCCCTTCTGGCAACCCCCTGATGTATCTTTTGGTTGGGGGGCCGCGCCGAAAAAGAGGTCACTTTTTTTAACAACATTTCTCAAACAAAAACAAGTGTTTGGGGCCTAAATAAGGCATTTTTTCATCATTTGAGGCAACAAAAAGGGGGGGGGGTGAAAAAGGCGTTAAAAGGTGTGTATATGAAGTAATGGGTTAACAGAAAATGATGAAAATACTTGAAATTACCCTTAATCGCGTTTTTTCATGTTTAAACATGGTCTGTCATATAAATTTGAAGAAAAATTGTTGTTTTGTAGATTTTTTTATTTTATTCATTAACCTATTGCTTCATGAGCATTTTGTGAAAAATGGCTGTTTTCATTGAAAAGTCTCCCGTTACAAGTTCAAATTGCTATAATACTATAAAAACTGCTTCAACACTAATCAAACTTGGCACAAATGTTGACTGGACCATTGCCCTTGCAACAACATGCTCAGGCTTAAATTTTCTGTTACCATGGCAACGAGGGGACATCTCAAAATTGCCAAAAATCACTATTTTGCGTTGATTTTTTCCATCAAAATTGATTTCAAAGTGCTGCAACTTCTCAATAGATTGAGATAGAGTCAAATGCTTTTCAGCGTTGGTTACACGTTACCTTATGATCAATCTGGGGTCATTTACAGCCTCTCACAAGTCCAAAATTTTCTTGGCGATGAGGGGGACTCCGCCCCCCTTCAAACCCCCCCCCAAACAGAAGGGGGCACATCCCCCTTCTGGCAACCCCCTGATGTATCTTTTGGTTGGGGGGCCGCGCCGAAAAAGAGGTCACTTTTTTTAACAACATTTCTCAAACAAAAACAAGTGTTTGGGGCCTAAATAAGGCATTTTTTCATCATTTGAGGCAACAAAAAGGGGGGGGGGTGAAAAAGGCGTTAAAAGGCGTGTATATGAAGTAATGGGTTAAAAAGTGTCGAAAATTAAACTTAATTAATGAAACAAAAAAGGATTATCATCAAAATTTTGTAAATTATTTCAATTGATGTTATTTAACTGTGACCAAACGCTATTTTTTCTCAACGTGTTGAGATGACAAAGAAACATATTCGTACTTTTTTTACTGTAGCCAACAAGGCGATTTATCTCTAAAAAGTAAACATTCATGTAAGAAGACAATTGCTGTTTCTTGGTTAAAATCCTCGTTTAAAGTCATAAAATAACATATGCATTTTCAACTTCCATATAATTTTGAAAATGCTGTATGGGCTAGCCAATATAAAACCAAGATTGTTGATAGTAATAACACAATATTTTCATGTAATTCCAGGTTGTAACTTGAACAGTGCAAGAAGGTTGCCATCATCAACATCAGCTGTGAGAAGTAACACAACCATGGAGAGTTTAAAAGATAGTTCGAGCAATGACATGCCTAAAATAGATCTGATGAACTTCGAGGATCCTCAGTTTGAGGATGGGAAATATGTCTTAACAAGTCCAAGGTCATTAGAAGCTTGCTCTAGGCTTGGTGTGAAGGTAAAAAGCTATCTAAAAATTTACCTTTGCTTTAAAAAATGTGACATGAATGTGTAAGGCATGTTAATTAAGTGTTTTGATTAAAAGTCCTCGAAGGAAAAGCAGGGACATTGATTTTGGGTTAGAGGTGCCACCTTTCTTAGACAGTCAGTTGATAAAATTCCTGCCAAATGTGCCTTTACTTCAGAATGGATATATCATCAACTACACAGGCTTGAAAATAAAAAGAAAAGTAAAATCCGCGCTAATTTCCAGTGCCATCCTCAGCACACACATACCCGGCCATTTTCCAACCCCCATGAGGTTTGGGACAAAATTGCAATTGACTGGTGTATAAGCTTAAAATTAATTTTGAAATCATGATATAAAAACATATAATATGTATAATAAATGTTCAAAATCTACATTTTGTAGCCAGTGGACATACTATACAAGCCATTAGCTGAGTTTCAAGAAGAACTTTTACCTCAAGATGTGCCATTACGAACCATTTACAACATATATGATGAGCATGAACAAAATAGAGAAAGTATGTACATATTCCAGTTGTTTTTTCCTGTCTTTGTATGCTATCAATGGTTACAAAGATCCATTATTTGATATATTGATCTTAAATATCATTGTTTTGAATTAAATTTTGAAATATTAATTAGTTTGTGTTTGAAATATTGTTATTTTTAAAATCTGATATACATGTACCTCTGTTTTTAAATTTGAAATACTATTGTTTTGCATCAGAGATTATACCATTATTTTGCATCAGAAGTGTCTAACATGTGATTATATCATTATTGAAAGCTAAGAATAAACTGATTTTACAAAAAAATTTTATTGTTGTTTTTTTTTTAGGAAAGTTAGCACTGTGTCGAGAAGAGAGACTGAGAATCATGGATGAAGAAAAGGGTGGTCAGCCTATCTCCAGAAAACCAACTGTCCAAAAAACTAAGAAGTCAGCAATGCCAAAATCTCAGTCCAGAAAACCAAAATCTGGACTAGCTACAAAGAAAATAATGTCAAAATCAGGTAGAACATAATGTTAATATCAAAATCAGGAGAAAAAAATTATATGATATTAAAATTATCTAATGCTACATAAAGTGTAGAATGTCAAAAAATTGAAAGATGCCATTTGTAATGTGATAGCCAGATAAGATGTGTATGTTTATGACTAAAGCGTTGCAATGTCTACAACAAGTATTTTGAAATTTTTCCAAATTGACAGAGATACAATGCCATTTTGGAGTTTAAGTGCATTATTGTATGGCAACGATTTCTAGTACTGTATTACATGTTTATCCGACTGGAGATTTTGAAATCAGAAATGTAGTAAGAGATTTTTCTATGCGACAAGAAAATGATGTATCTTCAAGCCTGTCCTGGTGGGTTTTGATATCTGTTTGTTCGACCAAGTATTATGCTGAAGATTACTTAATTGTTTAGCAGTTTTGATATCAAAATTCCCTGACTTGAACAATGGACAGTTCCAAAATCAAAGCAGGACCGAGTCTTTATACAAATTCAGCTAAAAAATGGCATTATCAGGCTTAAATGATATATGGTTGATATGGTTGATATTTTTTCAGCTGAGAAGATCGATACAGGTAGCCTGCAAAGACAGAGAACAGCTTGGGCAACTTCTGTAGGCCATGATAGAATAACTAATGATGAAATCAACCAGAGGTAAGAAACCACCTTTTACCTTGAACCTACTGGTGCAGACTGAACTCAACCATTAACAGCCAAGATCAGCCGGCACATCAGTCTCTGCAGTCTGATCATGGTCTGTACTGTTAGCTATTCAGTCAATGTGTATTTTGAAATTTACCCTTAATATAATGTATGGTTCTGTCCTGAAGGATAGATGTCTATCAAGATATTTAGTGTTTTCAGTGGAAAAAAGTTTACATGTAACTTAATTACTTGCATTGCGATAAGATTCCTATATAGATTTTTTTTATTGAAAAAATGCTATGATTGCTACTGACCATATTCAGCAAGTCCACTTAAACAGATTGCTTAAGGCAGAGTTCCGAAATCTTTCTAACAAATAGAAACATCACTGCATTGAAATGGTGTTATATACATGTATGGACAGATGGATTTGGCCTTTCTAGGGCTGAGAATCAAACACTATAGATGATAGGTCTGTGCTATATTTTGTTTAAGTCAACCTCTTTGGTGTCCATGACTAAGTGACTTAGGTCCTTCACTTCAAATCAATTGCTCCTCACCACAGTGGGCTCAAATCCCAGCAGAGATTTTGCATTCTTCCATGTGAGGAATCTTTCCAGTTAGCTTACAGAATGTTGATGGTTTTACTCAGGTGCCCATTTTGTGCCTGAAATAATGCATGGAAGTGCACCCAAGGTCTTCCTCTAACAGTGAAGCTGGAAAGTGGACATATGACCTATACTGCGTTGGTGCAAATAAAACACTGCTAAAAAGAATAAAATTAACCTTTTTTTGGATTTCAGAGTTAAGGACCTGCACACTGAAAGCCAGAAATTGAGGCAAGAGCTTTTGTCAAGAAAGGAGGCCAGATCTCAGAGGTAATTCTGATTTGTATATGCACTGTAATGTTATGCCAAGGTTTAAAGGTCATCAAAAATGCTGAAATATTTCCAGTCATTGACATTGTTATCCCATAGATTTGAATAAGAGTAAATTGTATTTCCCTTCACAACATCGCCTTCTGTCTGCAAACTATCATTCATTAAGAAATATAATTAAACTTTAAATCTTATTATTTAGACTCTTTTTAATCATTAAAGATGTAAGTTATAATAAATGATCAGGTCTTATCTTGTTCGCTATTTCACATTCTAGTTTTACGAAAATATTGTGTCTAATTGTTTTAGTATACTTGATATAACTGTATAAGGGATGTAATTGCCACAAGATGTTTTCATACTTTAATTTTGAGTTATTTCCCTTGGATAATTTTCTGGAAAATAAAAGGTCACTTTCTGTTTGGGGTCACATGGGAAACACTCTTCCTTTCAACCTCAGCTTCCGCACTGGAATGACTAGAATTTTTTTTTTTGAAAAATTCAATCTTAATAAAATCCAAGCAATCTCAATATTTTGGTTTATTTTTAATAAGTTTTGGTTAATCCGTAAGGTCAAATAATGCCATTCCTATAAATGTTTCTTTTTGACTTGATATGGAGATATAGTACAAGTTATAATTAATGAATAAAATGCATCAAAAGTTGAGATTTTTTGTTTTAATAGCTTTGTATTTATTCAGTCTTAAAATAATTAAGAAATTTGATATTACCATATTTGCACTTCTAGCACTTTCTAAGGTTTGAGATCATTAGGGTCAAGGTTACTGACACAAAAAAGTTATTTTACCTTTCCTCATTGTCTTCATTATCTTAACTGCCATCCTTCAGTGTTAGATATTAGGATTGTTTTTACTTTTAATTCTGATTTAATGTTTTATAGGCAAAAGACAAAAAAGGAGCGACCAGCAAGTGCCAAGGGTAATAGGTCAAAGTCTTCCATAACTAGAAGCTTCAGTGCATCAGACCTAAGTTTGGCTGGGACCTCCATGTTACATAGATCAGGTACTGCTGATGCTAGACCCGTTGCCAGCTACAAACTGAGAAAGGTGTTGAAGAAAAACGATGTGAAATCTGCGGCCATTACTCCTAGGGTATGTCTTGCATCTCCTGTTTACAGATTTATAACGGAGAAGATTTGGTAGCATCATCACAGTTTTATTGAATTATAAATGAATTTTCATTCATAGAATATACAGGATAAGAAAATATGAAATTATGAGGGTGTATAAATTTGCTAGAGTTGTAATATGTGATATACCGTATACCCCCGTTTAAAGGCCCCCCCTCTAATAAACGCCCCCCCACCCCCCCTTCAGGCAAAAAAAATATTTTTTTTTTCCAAACAGAAATTGACAAAATAATATGAAAAGTCCTACCTTAATCTGATGATAATCCAAGTACCATAAATCCAAATCCGAATTTTAAACACAAACACTTCCTTAAACTGCTTATTTAATAATAAACATTCAACAATTTGAACAAAAACTCCATGTATTTAAACACTGATGAAATATACCGTAGTATAACTTGTTAACTATCACTTCACAAAAATGTCTGAACAACACTTGCACTCCGTTAGGTAGAATCAGCTGATTTAAACCGCTGGCTATTTACACTACCTAGCTTTACATAGAGTGTACACGTACAGGGGTCGACTCAAACGTTAGTTTAAATGTAGTAACTGGAAGCTGGAAGAGGGGGCGTTTAAAAGGGACCGGTAAAAATTGGGAACTTTGTTTTGGTAAAATGTAACGCCCCCGGGGGCGTTTAAACGGGGTTATACGGTATATTGTAATACAAGTCTCATACAGTATATATCATGCTATACTTTTGTATGAAGAAAACAAGACAGAACGATGAATTATACTGTTTTACATATAAGTTGCTATACTGTTTTCATGTTGAAAAAAAAAACTTGAATCACAAACAATTGGGGGCTAATCTGCTATAATAAAAAAAGTATATCTTCAGTTTTAAATAAATGATACATGTTCATACATTTATTGTAGGAATGGAAACTGTTGAATCTTTAAAAAGTTAAAAATGATTTTGCAAGTGCTGAAAACGATCTATTTTGCAGCAAATTTTGATAACATACACAGGCTTGTGATTCCTCTAAAAGCGATCTTTAGGTGCACACAATTGTGACTTTGTCAATGCCCTTCATTTAAAAACTCACACCGGGGAAATGATGCAAAATACCATATATGGCAATTTAAATGGGCGGTCATTTGAATTGTAACAAATATTTATATCATGCAGGATGAGAAGATTTTAGAGTTGATGGTGAGTAAGCACGAGGACGAGGAGGCAGAGACTAGGGAGAAGTTATTACAGGAATTACAGTGGGAACGACAGAAGAAGGAAGAAGAGGCTGCAAGGATGGCCAGTGAGATGAGGAGACGTAAACTCCTAGCTGATGAACAAAGAATTAATCAACTGAGAAAGGTATTATTATGACTTCGCTCTAAACAGCCGTATAGATGGGTCTTTGTCGCAAAAGTATGGCCATAGGGGCGGCCTGAAAGTTCTGTTTTGTTATGGGCTAATCAGCAGCTATAGTCTGTGTATTTTAGTGTGCCAATCTAACTAATATTTGATTGACACATTGAGATGTATACATGTAAATAAGAGGGTATTTGGGTGCATGGAAGTGCAACAGGGCGGTTTTAATTGGGGCAAATGAGAGGACTAAAAAATGGGATGGGCGGGGCACCTTTCCATTCCGCTCTAGAATTATCACTAAACTCAAGCAAAGTCAGTAGGTAAAGATTTATGAAGTCCTATAAATTTGATAGCTTAATGTATTTTTGCTTAAAAATGATGATTTCAAGCTGGTTATTTAATCATGTTATAATTTCCTTCCTCTTTTGGTGAATGATTTATGCCATGATATGATTGGTAACTGTTCCATAAATCTGAGGTTTCTCCCCCAGAAAAGCTGAAAAGTTGCCATTTGACCTTCACTGTGTTAGAGAAGCTTGAAAACAAAACACACAAAATAATGTGTCTCAATTTTCTACAAACACTTGCAGTGAGTTACAATTGTAATAAAATAATTTAGTAGGAAAAATTTCCCGAATGCTCTATAGTTATCATTGACAGTGGAGCTGTGGCCTAGTGGTTAACGTGTCTGCTTCTCAACCCAGGGATCATGGGTTCGAGTCCGTCTTGGGTCACAATCCCCCAATGGATTCCCCCCCCCCCCTCCAACAATGAACATTAGTTACTTTTTTTGTTCCAGGATGTTAGATTGGAATAAATTCATATAAAAAGCTGCCCAAGAAACTTGTTAAGCAATCAAGCTAAGATAATTATATTTAAACTAAGTAACAGTATACTTCCTGCTGTCTATAACTTAAATTTGTCCTTCTCTCCGTCCATCGGATGAGCAGTGCAAAGAACAGTAACTCTGTCTTGCCTAAGTTTGGAATTAATGCACTTTGAACTTTGTCCGGGACATTACTCTGAAACTACAAGAAGAATACTTTTCTGTGTCCAAAACCTGTTCTCAGAGCATCACTCTTGTTTATCTCATTGTTGACACTAAGTGGTTAATCATTACAGTCTGATCAAGATAGCAGAAGGAAGGAAGAAGAGCGGAAATTGATAGCACAGCAAGAAAGACTGCTTAATGAAAGTAGAAGGAAGTGGGCTATGAGATACAACTCTATACAGAAACATAAAAATCTGAAATTATCTGAAAGTGCCGAAAAAGAAAAGTTGAAGAAAAGAATTCAGGTATTTTCAGAAATATATATACACTTTTTAGATTATTAAAGGGACTCCACTGAGGTTTAAAAGCCAAAAAACATAACATTTGAATTTCTTACATAAATGAGCAGGGGCACTTTAAACAGAAATATATGCAAAGATAGTTAAGAAATATACTTTGAAATAAACTGAAAATCATATTTTTATGATTTTCTTAGCCTGATTTGAGTGAAGTGTTTAAACGCTTTTCATTTTTGGGTCATTTTTTTACAATTTGAATAATTATTATGGAAAAACAAAGTATGTGATTGATCTGAAATTTTGCACAGAGATTAGTGGTCTAAACCTACATCAAATGGTACATTTATCTTGAAAAAATGTTTTCAGTCCCATTATGTCAAAAAACCTCCATGTGTTCCATGCTGTTAGCTTCTAAACCCTATAAGAAGTAGAGAAACTGATAGCAACCAGCATGGATCCAGACCAGCTGGGCAGGCTTGAACAGCATGGATTCTGATCAGCCTGCGCGGCTAGTATGGATCCATGCTGGTCGCAAGCACACTATGTTGGTTTTGTCATGGCGCTGCTCAATTATGTAATTATATTTACAGGAAAGTAATGTGAAGTCATTAGAGATGGAAGAAGAGGAAATGAAGGAATTGGTCAGACAGAAACAAGGTCATCAACTTATGACAGCTGCTCAAAAGAAGGAGGCCAGACTTCTTGAGGAATCTATGGTACGGTATATTTGTTATTTTGTTGACTTTTATTGATACTACTTATGTTATATGACATTGTCTGCAATTTACAAAACTAAAAAAAACATATGCATTTATAGCGAGGGGCACTTTTGTTTAAAACATATGTTGTTGAACAAATGAACTAATTTCTTCTCCTTTGTTCTTCTACTCAGGTACCCAATTATGCCTGAAATAATGCACAGGGAGGCACCTGAGATCTTCCTCTTGTAGTCGTCAAGCTGGAAATTCACAATATGACCTAAACTGTGTTGGTGCAACATAAATCCCAGTAAAAAAAAAAAGAACTAAAAAAAAACCTCTCAAGTTTAATTACGACTGAGTGGTTTCAAACCACTTGCCTCTCAGCTATGGGCTGGAATCATGTCTTTGGCTTTGGATTCTTTCATTTAAGTAAGCTATTCAGCTAACTCATGGGTTGTATGTGGTTCTACTCAGGTGCCTGTTTGTGTCTGAAATGATGCAAAGAGGGGCACTTGAAGTTTTTCTCCACCAGTAAAGCTCGAAAAGAGGCATATGAGCCGCGTCACGACAAAACCAACATAGTGCGTTTGCGACCAGCATGGATCCAGACCATCTATGCTGTTCGCTGACGAACTCTATAACAAGAAGAGAAACTGATAGCGAACAGCATGGATCCTGATCAGACTGCGCGGATGCACAGGCTGGTGTGGATCCATGCTAGTCGCAAACCCATTATGTTGGTTTTGTCATGGCGCGGCTCATATTATGATCTTTTGAGTTGGTGCAACATAAAACACTACCAAAAAAATGTTTAATTCGATAAATGAAGCTATGTTTTATGAAAGATAATGAATGCAAATATTTTTATATTTCAGAGAATTATGATGTCTAACAGGTCAGAAAGACGACAGTTTGAAGACAGATGGAACTCTACGCTCAAAGATACAAAGTATGTGTTCATACTATATATAATAATGACATCTTTTCATGACCTAAAGAATATGAGCCACGTCACGACAAAACCAACATAATGGGTTTGCATCCGCGCAGTCTGATCAGGATCCATGCTGTTTGCTATCAGTTTCACTACTTGTTATAGGGTTTGTAAGCGAACAGCATGGATCCTGATCAGACTGCGCGGATGCGCAGGCTGGTCTGGATCCATGCTGGTCGCAAACCCCTGATGTTGGTTTTGTCGTGTCGCGGCTCATATGTTGTTTTTCTTTCTTTCTTTACTACATGTTCATCTTTTTTTGATTTGTACTTTTTGTGTTTTTGATAGTTATAGTGCTGAAAATGTGTTGAAATTGGCATTTAAAACAGCTTAACAAAAAAATGGTAGCTTTGATTGCTTTTTGTGCTGTGCCAAAAGTTTAAAGGATTAATAGTCATAAATTGATAAAAAATATGTTAAACAATATTGACGTCCCATCAGACGTGTATACATTCCCTTTTTTACACTGCACAAATTATATAATAATGCACTCGTGTGTGTGTTTAGTTTATTTACCCTCACCACCGGAATGAGCCATATGGGTGGGCCTTTTGTTTAGTAGGGGAATAATGTGAAGTGCATTAGAATAATTTAGTAAGTCATAAGTTGGGGCACTAGTTCAATGATTATCTGGCTGTGTAGCCAAAACATTTTGCTGTTTTATAATATTAGATTTATTTGGTACATAATGAACATAATTCACTGTATGCGTAATTTACGTGTATGGTATCATTTATCAAATTTAAAACAAAAAAGACTGAAGTTTGAGATAGTTCAGTTTTATCTATAACAGTAATTATTTTGTCAGTGACTATGATTTTTTTATTATTTCTTATGTAAGCATTTCTATTTCTTTGCAGGGAGAGTTTAGAGTTGTTGGCACAATCCATGACTGAAAAAGATATGAAACATAAGTCCAAGTATGATCAGATTTTACATAGACGAGAAAATGAACTTACTTTAAATAGGTTTGTATGTTTTCTTCTTGGAGCAGATATTTGTAAAATGCAAGAAAAAGGATAAAAACAAACGATGATAGTTAAAGATATCCACTAGTTATCAGATATCAAAACATGGTCATTTAAAGTGCACCTCTACTTTATGGTAGCTCTGTATTCAGGCATCTGAAAATATTTTCTAAATAGCTTCTACATCCAATGTACAGGCAACATTTTTCTACTTGTCCTGCATTAAGTTCTCTTAAATTCTACTCTTAATTACGAGCAGATTAGTGGAACTTTCGATCTGTGGTATCATATGCTTTCTTTGTGATCCAGTGTCAGACATTTAACTGATAGTGCAGGAGAAGGCATCTGGAGTCTTTCAAGTAAGATATAAAGGTTCTTATGTGTTACTGTTTGTTTTTAGACTGGACAGAGAAAAAAGAGCACTGCAAGCGAAGCTTTCTCAACAACAGCATGAGAATGAGATGGAGGAATGGAGAGATAGTATCATGACAGCCAGGGAGATGGTAAGTCCTTTCAAACTTCATATGATGTCTTTCCAGCTCCACATGTGTCCTTTCTTTCACATATGAGTCCCATTTGATCTCTACATGAGTCCCATAATATCTCCATATGAGTCCTTGATAATTTCATATGAGTCCTTTCCATCTTCATATGAGTCCTTTGTAACTCCAAACAAGTCCTGTATAACTCAATGCAAGTCTTTTCCAACTCCATATGCATCCTTGCTAACTCCTTTGAGTCTTTTTAAACCCCATATAAGACTTTTTTCAATTCCATTTGAGTCCTTCCTAACTACAATAAGCCCTTTTTCCACCCCTTGGAGTTTTTCCTACAAAAATAGGTATCTTTTTCCAAAACTCCATAAAAATAAATTTCAGCCCCTATGATTTTCTTTCCAGTTACAAAAAAAATCTTTTTTTTACTTCTTTAAAACTTAATTCTTTTTTAAATAAGATCTTTTTAAATTTATAATTTTTATTTCTAAATTTTTGGGGTGTTGTTCCGAGGGGTTTTAAAGTTGCGACAAAAAAAAACCACCCACTCTTTACACTGGGGAGTTTAAAACCCCAAACCGGGGCTTCACATTTTCGGTGTTTGAAGTATCTGGGGTTGCAAAATAAAAATGTGGGGGTTTTTCCCTTCGAACCCCCACTGTCACCCAAATAAGACACACGAGGCATTTAAAAAGGATTCCCTGACCAAAAAGCAAAGGGGGTCTCATATTTAGTAAATAACATCAATGTGAGTTAATAACACAAAAAGAATTCTGAATTTCAGGCAGACAGGCATGCAGCTGAGACTATAGCACAGACAATAGAGAGGAAAGCCAGAAAGGCTCATGAGGATAGGATCAGGAAGGAACGTGAACAGAAGATTAACATTAAAAAGTATGTTTTACATCAATTTTGTCTTGTCAGCTAAAACCTTGCTGTGAAGTGGATATTTTTGAAGTGGTTGAGATTGTTAACTCCAACCACTGGCCCGTCACCATCGTGGGTCCAAATCACGCTCAGGACTTTAAATTCTATTGTTAGTGGACGCTATCCAGCTAGCTTAGTGAATATGGGCGGCTCTACTTAGGTGCCCATTCATGTGTGAAATAATGCACAAAAGAGCACTTGAGATCTTCATTAGTAAAGCTACAAAGTCGCCATGTCACCTCTACTGTGTTAATGCAACGTAAACCCCAACCAAAAAAAAAAAAAAAAAAAAAAAAGAGTAGCATTTCAAAATTATAACACTGTTATAGCAGACCCACAATTAGATTACTATATCAAGATACCCCCAAGATCACAGGCATATAGAAATGAACTAAAATTTAATAGTGATGAAACAAAAACCAACTTATGCTTTCTAAAATAACAGTTGTTTGTTAAAAATGTTTATGTTTTAATGATTGCATGATAAAGAACATAAATTACAGAGACTGAGATAAATGGGAGTTTAGAAATGGAAATGACAACTTAATCGTCCGAGACATTAGTTAACTCAGAAAAAGAAAAGATTACATATAGTTAGTTATGATATACAATATTTTGACAGATGTTATTTACAGTATTTATGTATTTATTTGTTGTTGTTTTGTTTTCTAGAATACATGATGAGATTAGTGAGTGGAAGAGAGAAATGGAGAATACAATTGACTATAAAGATAAGAAATCTGATTTGATACAGAAAGAAAAAGATCTTGCAATGCAACAGGTAACTTTATAAAATCATGCATATTCTCTTATATTATGCCCCTGATCCAAAAATTTATTGAAGGAATAAACAGTTTTTGTCTTGTCTCAGACAGGGAGGTCAAAATCAGATTTTGACTTATGGCAAATTTATGTAAAGCATTTCTAAAAATCTTTACTTGTCAGTATAATATTTGATTAGTATATTCCGGTAAATAACACATGTCCGTTCTGGCTGTAGAACAACCTGGGCAGTATAGACAAATTGATTTTTGCCATCCTTGTCTAACTACTTGGCCATAGCTTTGTCATTTAATTTGTTAGCTAGGGTCTTTGCACTAGAAATGCAGCAATTTGACATATTGAAATAGTGATACTCCAGAACTTTGTAAATGTTTGGTTTTTCCCATATGATCCTGGGGTACAAACAAAACTTTTACAGTTACAAATTTATATCATTTATAAGTGCAATGCTTTCCTCACTCTATTGGAAAAGGTAGTGCACTGTGAAGCTTTAATAGTTATATTTTGTTTGTACCCCAAAATTAAATTGGGGGAAAAAACATTAACCAATGTATATTGAATCAAGATTTTATCAATTTCATTGAGCTTCATTGTGTTGAATTTTAAATGATATAATATATATTCTTAGGTAAGAAAGGTGAGTTCGGCTGCATTGTCTTAATTAAGAAGAAACAATAACAGCATGATTCTATCTGTTTTAATTTTAATGTACTGTATTTCTCATTGAAAAAACTTCATTTTCCTTAACTGCATTGACAAAGTTAATTTCATAGATATAATGCAAAGTAAGTTTTATAGATATAATATTTACACACATGCATGGAACTGATATAACATTTAGGATATTTCAATAGTTTTAGTATAATAATTAAAATGATAATTCTAACACTATCAGAGTTTTTTCTATATAAAAAAAGAAGGCCCGAAGCGTGCATTATTCTACAACAATGCACTCGCCGTTCTTATTATCTCCCTGTGTATTTTCACATTCAGGGCGCCATTTTGTTTGAAAAATCTGATAAATAAAAACAATTTTTTGTCGAATTTTGTTGTGAAAACTATCTAGAATGAAAGAAAATGGTCCAACTAAGAAAATGAATCTGAACACCAATATCTTTAATTCAGTCGTTAACGCTGTACAGACGTTTAAATTGTTGTTTACGTGACGTCAGAATGTAGCGCCAAACAGCACGTGCAAAACAATCAAATCAAGTACGCTATTTTAATGTCGCAAACGAGTTTTACATTTATTTCACTTTTAATTATTTGTATCTCGCTTGGAAAATTATAGACTGCAATAAAATAAACAAACAAAGTTTATCAACGTTTTCAAAATTGGTTATTCTCAAAATGTTTCTAAAACATGGTAGATTTAAAGAAAATTTTTTTTTTAAACCCCCTGGAACCGGGCCCTTTAAAAAAACGGTTTTTTTTGGAAACTCTGGGCAAAAAAAATTTAAAAACCAAACATAAAAGTCCAAGTTTTAAAACATCTAATTTTTTTTTGACGTTTTAGAATGGAAAAATATATTAATTTTTCGTGCATTATTGTATAATAATGCAATGTTTTCGTTCAAATGCTTTGTAATTAATCACTCGGGCCTATGGGCCTTTGTGATTATATTACTATGCATTTGAACTCAAACCGTGCATTATTCTACAACAATGCACTCAGAATTGATATCTATTTCCTAAATATATGATAAAACCCATTAATACAATTAGTGAATGTAGCTGATTAATAAGTGATGTTTAAGGTTATGCAACCATGGTTAAGTCCTGAAGCTAAAGTACTTCCAGAATCATTACCCCTAACTGCTGTTGGTTTGAAACAGGCAAGGAACCTCAGATTTCTTAATGTAGGGATTCTAACCAGTTACTTAATTGAAGATCTGTCGGTAATAATACATAGAAGATCACCTCAACGTTTTTCTTCACCAGTAAAGATGTAATTTTGCAACATGACCTTTACATTGTAGATTTGACTTAAATCAAAACCAAAAGCAATATGTATTGCTTAAAAAATAATATTAAGAAGAGATGATATCTATGTTGCATTAATGTTTTTTTATCAATATGCAAGTTATGTTAATCACACTTTGTACCTTTTTAAGGTGACAGGATCAATGAAATAGTAATAAAAGAGTTTTTCACATTCCTGTAATATTTTATATGGACTTATCTGAAACATATCCCATAAATGTTATAATATCTTTAACACATTTAATGCAAGTCTTTGTGATGTTACAACTCACACGAGATCCTATATAGCATCATATTATATACACTTATATTTTTGGTTACTAGTATTATTTGCTTCTCATTTGACTTTTATTAGGCCACAGATAAAACTCATAACATATATGCATCTCATAAAATCCTCTCAAGCAGTTAAGTGCCAGTTTTAGATCAATATGTTATAAATTATACATGTATCAGAGAAGGTGATAGATTAATTTTGAGAATAATAAAGTGTAATCAATCTAGGTGCTTTTTTTGTTTTGAATGACAGAATAATCTTACTAATTTATTTTCCTGTTTCAGTCAAGGCATGTTGCAGCCTCGTCTCAGAAGCTCCGAGATACGTTAAGGAACAAGTATGGTACGGAGACGTTCGACAAGATGGCATTTAAAGCGGAGGTTTATAACAAGTTTGAATCTGGAACAACATTCCTATCCTCACAGAAGAACAGTTCACATGTCAAGTTTCATTAACAGATATAGCGTGTAGACATGATGTGATATATTTTATATTAAAATAGTTCTATAGTTAATGCAGAACATGTTAAACTGTTTGTGTACATTTTTATTATATAATATTTGTTTTAAAAAAAAATTTGCTTTATTGAGACTTGTGACAAAGCATTTTGAAGTAGTTTGCAAGTTGATTGATATAGAAAATTTATAGTAAAGGTTTACAAGATTTTTTATCACTTAAGATGGAAGGCACTATGTCAGTAAGCATTTAATGATTGCAAGTCAGCTAGATTTATACTTAACTGCTTTCGAATATAATGATATGCCAGTGATGTCCAATCAACTATAATAACAAATATTTGCAAGAAACGTGATATTTTTACATGTAAACAACATGCAAGTACTGTATTTTGATTCTAATGTATACATTATCTTGAACAATTTGTTTTTTATAGTCTGTGACAGGCTTGAGGTCTTAAGAAACTGCATTTATTAAAAGTGTGCCTTATACACCCTTACATCACTAAATATCTTAAATGGACCTGTCCATCTTTCAATCAGGACAAAACCATTCATGATTTTTAGGGTAAATTTCAAAATAAGTTCTAACACTGACTAGCAAACAGTGCAGACAATGATCAGACTGCAGGGATATGATGGATGTTAATGGTCTGCACTGGTTGACTCAGTTGTCACCAACAAGTGTCACCAACAAGTGTCATCTTGATATGAATTCAGTCTTAACATTTATTATTACATACTGTATGGTTAAGAGGTTGGATAGATCGTGATTTCTTGAATTTTTGGTATTACTGCAAAATGTTCCCATGTACAGGAAAGATAAAATCATTAAATGATTTTTGTAAGGTAATATTGTACCAAAAGCATTTTTGACTATGTATGTAGCAGCCATCGATAATCTGTGATAATACACATATGCTGTGTAATTCTTTTCCATTTTGTTTATGTTTTTAATGTTGTTCTTTTATGCGTGTATGAACAATGAAATTTCAGAATTTTTAATACTTAATTCACCTAATTATCTCCGTTATTCCATGCTGACTTATCTTTGATTAAGTGTGTATGTGCGTGTGTGTGTGTATGACGTTCTTATTTTATACTTGCCTCAGGAATCCAATATGTAGTACCTACTACAGGAGGCTTTTAGAAATCATATTTGTTCAAGTATCCTGTAACAAATACAGATACAATAACTCCATCTTGGAGTAAAAAAAAATAATTCTTAAACATGTAAGATATTAAGTTCTTTTACATGTGACCACATTTGAAATACTTTTTAGTTTATAGTTTTTAATATAAGCAAATTTATTTTAAAAAATTTGTGTTAAAAGCTATAACATGTATAAGCTTATTTAATCACTCTCAAAGTCGTTCCTGGAACCAACTAGTACTAAGCAATGACAGGGCTCGAATTTAACACTTGCAAACTCGCAAAATGCTAGTTGAAAAATGATTTTGCGAGTTAGATTTATGTCAACTGGCAATTTTTTGCCAGTTGAAGAAAAATTTGAGAACGCTCGTCAGGAAAATGCGAAATATAAATGGGGCGTAATATTCGCAGGTAGCCGAGTTATAAACTATGCGCGCACTTGCTGTCTGGTTTACATTTTCTATACCTTAACCTCACTTAAAAAAGTACACAAATTTAAACCAGTCCAAATGTAATTTTGTCCGTGTAAATCAAGCGTGATCGGAATAAAATGTCTAAACGAACTTCTTCCCACTTACTGAAGCAAATGTGTCTTCCGATAACAATACTCTGAGTACAGAAGATGATTCACAGTCTATCAAAAGAAAGACAATTAGACCTTCAGTTAAAACGGTTTAAAATTGGGAGAAAGAACTGCATGTCAGTCTTACGTACTAACTTGATGACGATGGAAATGTTGCTAAAATATTTTGAGCTGATTGTTGTGCGCATAATCTAGACCAGACATCGTCGGTATGGCGACAATATTGCATTATTATTTTTTTTACATGTAGATTGACATTTGATAAGAATCCCTGTCCCCTAAATCAAGTTTTTGAGTAGAAAGTTATGTTGCTGATTCGTACCCCGGGCAGTTCGAAAGTTTCAAACTCGTCCAAATAGATTACAATCTTAAACAATTTTGGAATTAAAAAATCATTGTCGTAGAAAGTGCTAGTTGAATTCAGTTTTTGCTAGTTAAAAATATGTCCACTAGCAAAAAATTGCTAGTGGCAAAAAAAGTTAAATTCGAGCCCTGAATGAGTGTAAAGTTTCATGCTCATGGAAACAATAGCATGGCTCTGACAGGATTTGAACCCACACAGCCAGTATTCCTTAGATTACTAGTACAAGGTTTTAACCTAATTACCACTCAGCCATGCAGCCTTTCATCAGTAACTTTAGCTAGAATAACGGGGGATCAAATTTGCAAGTTTTGAATTTGTAGTTTCATAGTGTTATCAACTGATCAATATGTCTGTTTATATTTTATTCAATTGCTATTCTTCTTTTACTCTCTTATGTAACTAAGTAAAGTAACATTCCATCAATCAGGCCACCTCAAATATATTTAATCTTTAGATTTGGATGAAATGAAGATTTGGAAAAAAACAGAAATAGTGGGCTATTTAACCATCACCATGTTCTGGTGTCTTTTTTAACAGAACATTACTGTAATCATTTTTCGTTTTCGTAAACTTAAGATTACGTAAGAGAAAAGGTAAAGTGAGATTTTCAGAAGAAAGTTTTGTTGTTAATGTTGAAAAGTTACTGCTAATCATATGTGCCAAGGGATTGGTTAAAGTTTTATGTTGTTGCATCTTACCCAGAGTAATGATTTTTCTTGATATTAGTTGGCATTAGTTATTTGGTTGAATATGTACAAAAGTTTATGTAAAAAATGCATGCATGTATTACTTTCTCTATTTGATACATTCCAACAAAATAAAAAAGCATTTTCAGTATGGCTGATCTATATGTTGTCTTTTTTTGTGCAAAATTTATGTTTACTTTCTTTGTGAGAAGTCTTTTTAATTTGATTTTAAATTTACACAATATCTTTTTATTGTTTTTGTTCTTTTTATCTGATATAAACAGGTGATAATTTTTGTAACTGCCAGATTTGTTTTGTGGTTTTAAAGTTTATTTTTATTATTTATTAAGTTATCATTATTTTAGTGTGGATATGTTATAATGTCAGTCAAATTGATCATTTTATGTAACTAGTAACTTGACTATTGTTTTGAAAAAACAGTTGATCTTGGGACATGTTTAGTTTTACAAACTGTAGGTATTAAATTGACAAAGTGTTAGTTTAAATGATGATGTTGCTAGAATATGTATCATAGTCTGGCAACATATTATGTATTGTTTGAATCTTTCCAGTATAATGATTTATAATTATATTCTTGAGTTTTATTTATGTTTTTTTTCCATTCCAATTTTAAGGGCATCTGTTGCAAAGATGGAAAGTAATTTATACAGGTAGATAGTTTCCATGTATTCCTCTCTTTCCTATTAAAATCTAATACCATTCCAACTTTATTTACATGTATTTTTTCTTAGTAAATATGTATCATTATCACTTTTTCATTCAGGCAGAATGATAGTGCTTGACCTTGACCTTACCAAAGGTCGTGTGATATAAACTAAATATATGTGCTATAACGGTGAATATCTTTAATTTAAAGTAAGTTATATTGAGGCTTTTAAGGTGAAGGTCAAGTAAACAACTTACATTCGATGAAAGCCATAAAAACTGGTCAGGTACTCATTTTGCCAGCTGTGATTTTTCTATGGAAAGTCAAGGTCAAGTGAGTGACATTGACCTTGGTTTATATGATGTTTTAATTGTTTGGTTTTAAACGTTTTATGTCTGTGATGATGATTTTCTTACTTTGACCATGTTTTCAGTTATCTTTCTTTTACTTTAGTGTAACTTAGCATTTTTATTTATTATTATTTTAAATACATTAAATCAATATGTAAAAGAAAAATGCAAAATAAATAGGTTTACATGTACTTTAGTTTTGTTTTGGTTTGTTTAATGATTAATTGATTGATTGATTGATTGGTGATCACAGATTGTGTTTATGAGAAAATGATAAATTGCGGAAGATATCTCGACGCACCCAGCATAGGACACACACAAACAAACATAACTCGTATAATGTGTCATGCACCTAATATACTGCGGGCAACAAGCATATCTAATGCACCGGACAAAAAGTACGCACGCACGTAACAACGCACGCACACAAGATCCTGCACACACCAAACATGCACGCACCAAGCATATCTCATGCACCCCAAACATACCGCACGTAACCTTACATACCGCACGTACCGAGCATATTTCATGCACCCCAACATACCGCACGTACCTAACATACTGCACGTACCTAACATACCGCATTATAAAGTTAAGTTCTTAATATACCTTTAAAAATTTCTGTTTTCACATTCTTCTTACTTCTTTGTCTTTTAATGCCCCCCACAGAGTGAGAGCATATAGCGTGGCACTTGTCCGTCCGAGTGTCCGTCCATCCGTCCGTCTGTACGTACGTCCCGAAATCTTGTGAACGCAACTCCTCTTAAACCGGATGGCATATTTTGCTTAAACTTCAAGGGATGAACAACCTTAATGTGTAGATGGTAGTAAAGGAAGGAATTTTTGCTGCGACCAAATTTAACAGAATTATGGCCCTTTGTTGATTTTTTCACTATATACTATGTAGAAATTTTGTGAACGCAACTCCTCTTAAACCGGATGGCAGATTTTGCTTTAACTTCCAGAGATGAACAACCTTAATGTGTAGATGGTAGTAAAGGGAGGAATTTTTGCTGCGACCAAATTTAACAGAATTATGGCCCTTTATTGATTTTTTTCACTATATACTATGTAGAAATTTTGTGAACGCAACTCGTCTTAAACCGGATGGCAGATTTTGCTTAAACTTCCAGGGATGAACAACCTTAATGTGTAGATGGAAGTAAAGGAAGGAATTTTTGCTGCGACCAAATTTAACAGAATTATGGCCCTTTGTTGATTTTTTCACTATATACTATGTAGAAATTTTGTGAACGCAACTCCTCTTAAAGCAGATGGCAGATTTTGCTTAAACTTCCAGGGATGAACAACCTTAATGTGTAGATGGTAGTAAAAGGAAGGAATTTTTGCTGCGACCAAATTTAACAGAATTATGGCCCATTTTTGATTTTTAGTTTTCAACTTGTGGCACATGTAGTCCAAAAATATTTGACCTAGAGTCATAAGATTGACAGAACAGTGGCGTGTGGGGGCATCCGTGTCCTATGGACATTTCTAGTTTCTACTTTAAAGCCCTTTCCCCCGCCAACCACACCTTGTTGGCCACAATCTAAAGACAATTATTTTTCTAACTTAATGTGTTGTAAAGCGTCGATTTATTCTTAATTTTATTATGAACATCGCCTCTGAAATATGTAATTATTGTCTATCATTATAGCATTAATCTAGTTGGCACTTAGCTAAATTAGACACTAGAGTGATTTCTAATGCAAATGTACACCTAATTCACAAAAAAATAAATAAAAATGATACCTCAAAGGTCAATTATTGCTACATATCACTGATTAGATTGAATGTAAAGTCTTGTGCTTATTGACCATATCTATTTTGTTCTGTTTCACTGACTTCTTTCTTTATAAGTGAAATTTGATAATGTTTTGAATTACTATGTAACAATACCTCTCTGTTCTTTAATAAACCAAGGAGCTTTAAAAAAACCAATGCAAAATGGAGATTTAAATACTTGGTAAGTTTTATTTATTTTCACTCGTAATAAAGCGTATGTAAAACCAAAAACTGGCATGATAAAAAATCTTTCCGGAAATAGTTTGTTCATTATTCAAAACACATATGTTTCTATTATTTCTTATGCTAACAACGTAAAAATAAAAATAAATATTTCAAAGGGTTATTATCTCAGAGCTCTAATTTTCCGCACTCCCCTTTTCATCTCGCACAAGATTATATTGCACAAGATCGAGATGGGTTGCACAAAGTATTTAAGTGGAAATTTTTATTATTAAAAATAAGGTTGAATATATAGGCGCTATATTACTTTATAATGCGTTAGAAGTAAAATGATTTTTTCAACTTTCACAGTGCAAGCGTTCAGCCACGGCTTTACTCACTCACCAATCTCTTAGTGATATCTAGTACTATAACCAGATTGTTTACAATCATAACCACTTCTAAGAGTCTGTAATTTATAGCTCTTTAAAGATAATTAGTATGGTGAACCGATTGTGTAATAAATTTATAGTTTGATAAACATTAATAATGGTAGAACCAAAGTATAATACGAAGGACGGTGATGATGATGACGACGACGATGATGATGATGATGATGATGACATTGCTGCTACTGATGATGACAACGATGAAGGTGATGATGATGATGATGATATTAGATTATTTAATTATTTCTAATATCTTTATGACGATGCTGGTGATGGTAGTGATGATGATGATTGTGATGATGGTTTTATTTGATATATGAGCCGCGCCATGACAAAACCAACATAATGGGTTTGCGACCAGCATGGATCCAGACAAGCCTGCGCATCCGCGCAGTCTGATCAGGATCCATGCTGTTCGCTTACAAACCCTATAACAAGTAGAGAAACTGATAGCGAACAGATCAGACTGCGCGGATGCGCAGGATGGTCTGGACCCATGCTGGTCGCAAACCCATTATGTTGGTTTTGTCATGGCGCGGCTCAATTATGATTTGATACATCGTTTTATATTTCATTCCGTCAAACAGTAATTTGACGTACTTACATCTGGAAAGAAATCGGTAACGTCACCGGTGACCAGAGCAATGTATCACGAGACAAGATCAGTGTATTCGGACATCCATCTACCAGATAAAAACAACCTTAATACACCACGGCCCATCACCGACCTAGGTGTAAGAACTGCCTTGAAGAAAGATAAAGATCTTCTAAACAAGAACGTTACTCCGGAGGTAAAACATATCTATTTCATGCTAATGTGTGAACAAATGAAATAAGAGAATTTTAAATGAAAGACAATCTGACACTTATTGTTATTATTATTATTATTATTATTATTATTATTATTATTTTATTTTTTTTAACACTTCAAGCCCCATTAGCTTAAAAAGCCTTTGTGGAGTTTTCTAAAATATTCAGGCATTACCGAAATGTGCCACTTGATACTAAATTAATGTGACATGACCGTCATTTTATGAAAATCTCAATCCGTAAATTAACCTACTATGGTACTAGATATCTATATAGAAAAGAACGGGAACTACGATTTTACAACTCACTCCCTCACAAACAGTGCGATATATGTCATACTAATATATCTTACTGTGATTAGAATAGAAATGGAATAGAAATGATAATAAACGATTATATATATGTCTAGGATGAGAAGATTTTGTCATTGATAACGAAGAATGGAGAATGGGAGAAGAAGTATTGGAAACAGAGGTTGAAGAATTCTCTTGCTTGGGACACGGAGAAGGAAAAGCATGATCATCTAAAATTAGAGAAAGATAAGAGTCACAGAATGAAGGTAGAAATATTGAGAGAAGAAGATAGACAAATGGTTTTCATGAAAAAGGTAAGTTAGTAGATATGGACAAAATTAAAAAGTAACATTTATCTAATAGGTAGTTTGCACATCTAACTGAATGATTAAATATAATTTATTTATAGATTTAGTGTAGTTCTACTTGAGCGTTCATGAAATTGAATTATTTTTACCCTTGCTACGAAAAAATCTTTTATCCTTACATATTTATTTATTTTATTTTTTTCTGGTGGTGGTGGTGGGGGTGTTAAATCGCTTCCACATATACTTAAGGACAATGAAAACGCACGCCCGCACTATATGTATTTTATTACATGAAAACAAAACACTAACGACTCAATTAGATATATATCATTACTTTAATACAAAACACGCAATTAACAACTGAAAATAATTTAAAATGTTTGAAATCAAATGGACACCAGTAAATCGAAGAACCTAAGGTGAAAATCCCAAAATCACACTTTTTCATCAGAGTAATGGCAAAAAAAATGAAAATCCAATACAAATTCACTCATAAATGTCTATTCGTAATGTCACCGTCGGGATCTTGAGAAACGACAATGTCCTCCATCAGCGTCTCTTACAGATGTACATCGTCGCCTCATAGATCTTACGGTGCGGATAGTCACCTGTGGAATCTGACGCCATTCGGCCTGTAGTGTAGTGCAAAAACGCTGGTGAAGCCGATAAATTGTAGACCGATGGACACCAAAACGGTTGGCGCTTTATTTGTAAGATAGACCAGACTGAATCTGTCCTAAATAAGCCTAGCGGTAATGGTTTCTTTGTAGAACCATTGCATACAATTTGCTAGCAAGTCTTCAGTAGTGTTTGAAATTTATCACCTTTTATAGAGGAAAAGTGAGAATATGCAATTTCCATGTGAGCTTTGACGATTTCTAAAACTGACCATTGGCATAATTTAATTTTCATAAAGATTTTAATTGCTCGTTTGTGTCTAACATTTCTAGAAAGGTGTGTAAAACAAGTTTATAATTAACAGTTTAAAAAAATAAATAATTTCATTTCAAAAAGTAACCATGAATTTGTTCAATCTGTTTTTCTGTAGTGATCTTATCACAATTAGCCAAAAGTGTTACTTTTGATTCTCCGGGTACTGTCTTTATTATGCAATTATTTCATTAAAATGCAATCATTTTTCATAACGTTGGTATCTAAATGACCGGGACGCATTCGGTTTAATGAAACTGTGAAAAAATATTTAAAAGAAATATAGTTTCCTTGTTAAAATGCAATTATTCCGACCGTGCGTTTTCACTGTCCTTAAGTATATTAGATCTAGAGCTCATTTGGCGTATGTCCAGCTTTACTGTCATTTTTCATGAAAACTGCTTTTGTATTTACTAAATGAAAAACAAACCATCCAGGTAGGCACTGAATGCATAGATAGAATATGTTGCTGTAAGTGGTATCGGGACTAAAATGGTTTTATAAACATTGAAAACTTGCACCACTTAAAAATGCTACTGACTGGAGTGAAAGACTTCCCAGATTGATTATATTAATACAATTGTCAGGCCTGTGATAGTGTAATGCTGCAAAGTCAGTGATGATTGTGCCAGGTAGACGAAACTTATACATGTACAACATTGTTTATGTTAAAGCAATGGTAAAGCTGCATTTGATTAGAGATACCTGAGATCGATCCAAGACCTAAATAAAACTTTGTATTTTATTCTGCAGTTACAAAGGCAAAAGAAGAGATTGAAAAGGAAAACAGAGTTAATAGTTGAACTTGAGAAAGCTGGCAAAGCGACGGAGAAGGCGTTGAAAACACAAAGAAAGCTAAAGGTAACATAGCAAAACACACTGGTCTTTATAATTCCTCTCTTATACTGCAACTACTGAGAAACGTTTTTTAGCATAGTCTTATTTCAAGAGATTTTCATGCAGATTTTGATTTTACTTTAAAATTATATTGTACACAAGATATTGTTTATCATGGATTGTCTATATGAACATTCTGACAACCATCTTTATTTTACAGGCGAAGAAAATTAAGGAAATGGCAGAAAAAGAGCATGAACTTAAAGAAAATCAGGTATTTTTAAGCTTCTAGTTTACTGTTTTCAGCAGATTATTAACTGATGGTTTATTACAATTAGAAGACAATGTACTTCTTATTTTCTTTATTTATTAGCAATTTAATGTTTTCATTCAAATTTTCAATATCCTAAGATTAAAGCAATTACAGTTACGTAAAAACGTGCACTTTTAATACAATATAATCACAATCTTTCAGTAGACGACAACGTTAAGTTTTATTCAACGTCAAAATAACGACCCTTGTGACTGAGGGGTTGTCTTTAAGAAACGAAGTTACGTGATTGTAAGAGGCGACTAAATGGGCTCGAGAACCTGAAGTCTATGCATCTCTTAGCTTCAGGAGGTGACGTGGTTTTGACCCTTGGTGTTGCATTGATGTTTGTAACACCAGTCACTAGCGAAAATTATCTGTCCTGTCTGGCCGCATTATGACATTTACTGTGTTGGTGTGCCGTTAAACCAAACAAACAAAAACAAAACAAAATAACCTTGACCTTATAAGTTATTAAAGTACTTTTTAATATATGGTATAGATGTATGATTTTTATAAACCAACAGGAAAAGAACTGGTGGGATTTGACATCTAAAGAATACGAGAGAAAAATGCAGGAGAAAATTGACCATGACAACAAACGACTACATGCAAATGAAAAACGAGACGAAATGATAAAAGAAGAAAAAGAGGTAGTCTTTTATTTACATTTCTAAACAACCGTCCTCGAACGTTTCATATTTTATACCTGAATCCTTATTATGCCGGTGCTATGGGGCATAAAAGATGCTGCACTCACGATTAAGTCTGCGATTTGCACTTTAAACTTAGGGTTTCATTGTCGATTGTCTCTCGCTCAGTATTGTTGTCTTTATTAGCACATGAAAGAATGAATGATTCTTAAGAAAATGTATACAATGACGCATACTATGTGTATTTCAATATGCTTAATTGCAATAAATGTTTAAATCTAATTCGGATTGATCGCATTTTTATTAAGTTTACAGATTATATATCTTGCCATTTTAGCAAGGATGTAAGGCACATGCGTTTGTATTCTTAAAAGAGGACCCCTTGCTGTATGTTCTACTACTGTTTGTTTTGTTTCAGAAAATTGCTCATGAAAATGAAGAGGAAAGGATGTACTTTACTGAAAGATTTGTTGTTTATGAAAAGAAAGCCAAGTAAGAATCTATACCATAACTGATTTTATTGGAGATGCTTCCATTATCTTAAAAGGCAATTTATGAAGTAAATACTTCATTTGTTTGCCTTTTATACCTTAAAACGTAATTAAGAGACAGCACATGTCGTATTTAAAGACGCAACTCGATTAGTTCATTGTTTTTTGGTGATGCTGACTTTATGTTATCAATGATGCAAAGCAATTCAGTCTGTATGTATTTTATCTAAAAAGGTATGAATTTGGCAAGGAGATCGACGCTAAATTAGACTTCAGCAGAAACTTTACCGAACTACTTTTGTTTCAGAGAACACGAGAAAGCTTTAACGGCTAAAATTGAAAGACGAATTAAAACAGTTGAAAAAAATCATAACAAGAAGCTGAAGGAACGATACAAAGAAATACAAGACGATGCGTATGTAGAAATAAAGTTTTATCTTTGGCCATGTTACCCCCTTAATTGTTATTATTTATAGCTTATCTTGAAAAAAAAACCTTATTCTTTATTGTTTTTTTTTTTCAACAGAGAAAAAATGAATGTGCTGTAAAATTTAAAAAAGGGTATTTAATAGAGCTTTCTTACGATGAGACAACCTTTTTGAAAATGTAAAATGGTTGAAAGTAGCAGACTATCATGTTGCATATATACATGTAATACGAATTCCCCTCACTTTTCAATTGCAAAGTACAGTAAAATTTAGAAAAACATCTACACCCAAATAATCATTTTTAATCAACACTTTTCATGGCAGGAAAGTCGTCTGCTAGAATGTCGTCTGCTCAATTTCTTATTTTATCAAAAATAATGATTGCTTGTCAAATACTTGTTATTTGACTTGACGTATTTGTCTCTGTTATCCGTAGTACATAAACGGTTAATTGTAACAAATGGAGAACAATGCCATATATATTTTCCAGCAAGAAAGAGGAAGAACGACTACACCACGCATTAAAGGAACAAAAGAAGCTAGAAAAACAACAACATAAACGAATGATAAAGATGTTTCAGAAGACACAAGAGGTATAATGTACTTTAAACTTTTTTTTGGTTATGAAAGATTCATTTTGGAAATGAACTTACAGCTATTGTTCTTATTAAAGATGGGATGGGTTAAAAATCTTGTATACAAAACAAACTGTTTTAAATTAATTACAAATGTTTGTTGTACAATGCAAATAATTTGCTCTTAGCCTGTTTGTTTCTTTGATTTGGTTTTACGTCACACCGACACAGTATTAGTCATTTGGCGACGTTCCAGCTTTACTGGTGGAGGAAGACCTCAGGTGCCCTTACGTGCATTATTTCAGGCACGAACGGGCACCTGAGTAGAACCACCGACGTTCCGTAAGCTAGCTGGATAGCTTCCTCACATGAAAGAATCCAAAGTCCCTGTCGGGATTCGAACCCCGGCGGTGAGGGGCAAGTGGTTTGAAGTCAACGGCCTTAACCACTCGGCCACGGACGCCTTTGTAAGCGGCGGAAATGGCCTTTGTGCGCCAAGTGTAGAGCAGGTCAGTGTAACTATGCTGCTGTCTGCTTGGTCCATAGGGATCCCATAAACTATGGTCAGTTTCAAATTTAATGCAGTCTAAGTCAGTTATAAAAGAATAGTACAGGTAGGGGTCTTTATATACAAGAAAGAACAATCTGCCATGGTCATTTTTTATACACAAGCGCGCAATGCATCCCAAATAAATGTTGTTCTACATGATATATAAATAACATACATAATGTATAAGATCAAGCAATATTGAATGTGTTAATGATACAAATATACCGGAAGTGTGTACTTTTGTAAAAGATGTTCTACCTCGTAATGGACTGATCATATTTTTAAATTGAAACCTTTTATTGTTTTATTGTCAATTTAAGGATTCGCAATATAAAACAACTTAAATTGAGCGTCTTGGCAACCAACAATACATAAACATTTTAGAAATGGAAGATCCCGCGTGAGAAATGTAGAACAAAAACAATTAGTTGGAAGTCAAAGACTCAGGACTTTTGAATCTATTCATGATAAATTATGATATTAAGTGAAAAATTATAAAAACTTAAAAAGTAACATACAGATTTGCAGACGGCTCTTGCTCTGTACTGTTGGCATAGACACGTTAATTATTGCCGCTTGCATTCAAAGGTTAAAGTGATATTAACAACATTTGCTATTTAAATATTTTAGAGTATTGACAAAGCGAACGCCAACCTCTCTAAAGCGTTTGATACAATCACCAGTCATATCAAAACAGAACGTGAGGAGAAAGAAAAAGAGCAACATAAAAACATGAAAAGGTATAAGTTTTGCTTTTAAAAGAACAACATAAAAACATGAAAAGGTATAAGTTTTGCTTTTAAAAGAACAACATTAAAACATGGAAAGGTATTAGTTTTGCTTTTAAAAGAACAACATAAAACATGAAAAGGTATAAGTTTTGCTTTAAAAAGGATAAATACCCAAATAACTCTATTCTTAAAGTCACATTATGCCTCAGAAATCCAAAATTTTTAATTCTTTAGAAAATGTTAAACATGTGTTTAATAATGTTTAAATAATGGATTTAGAGCATATTAGATGTTTCATAACTGAAGACAGTTGCGCTGAATGTGCAGTAATGTGTTGAAAAAATAGCAACATGTAAAACAAAGTAGAATTTTGACTTCCATACAAACTACTCAATCACTATGATACAGAGCAAGATATTTCATATATGTGGCTAAATGAGTATTTTGTTTTGGAAACTGTATAATATGAGTTTTGGAAACTGTACATTATGATAATAGAAAGTTTTTGAGAAATAAAAATGATAACATTTCCGAGGTATAATGGGCTTTAAATTATTGCCGTGACGAATGTTTTCCAAATGAATAAGTAATTAAACAATGTTATATTATATGTAATAGAATGGAAACAAAATACATGTTTCTAAAAATATAAAAATTGTTTGGATGACATATTAGAAACTGATATTGTTTTGTTATTTTGTGTGTATGTTTTAAACACCAATATTGATCAATCTCGTTAAGATAATGTGATCATAATTTTCGCTTCGTTACTCCTCGCTAGCGAAGGGTAGTGAAGCGGCAGTAAGGATATGATTTTAATGTGATTGAAATATTGATAAATCGGGTTTTAATGCAAGTTGTTACTTATTTCAATATGAATCTATATATCTGCTTTAAAAATTATTGTTTTCATCTTACTTAGAGTACTTCCAAAATGCTTGTATCAAATAAATATCGTAATAAATTGCTTTTAAAGCGAGGGCGTATGCACAAAATCATTGCTCAACAAAAACAACCCTACTTAAAATTACATAATAATATGTTTGTTCCAGAACATTTTATTCTGTTTACGTGCAATATTCATTTGTGTTTAATAACAAACACATTCTATGTTACAAGTCCTTCAGGAATCCTCCATAAGATTATGGAACAAATATAATTTTACTGGTGTTAAATATTTTAAAATAATTCATTAAATATAGCTTTATACACTTTAAGAGAAGTAAAAGTGTGGAATTTCAACACATCTAAAAATTTAATAGTGCATGATGCGTCAAACTTGATGTTGCTGATGATAAGAAAAATGTGTCTGAAAATTGATGAGAATCCCTTAAGAAATACAGAACTCATTGTCCCAGTTTTACCAATGTCTCATTAGTCATTTATCCTGTTAAACATAAAAAGTCTATTTCACTTTAAGACTTAAAAAGGAGACAGCCAAGTGGAATAAGAAGCTTGCGAAAGAAATCAAAAAAGAAGAAGAAATAATGCAAGAGAAACAAGAAGAACGTTCAAGAATAATGGATCAAGTAAGCTTATGAAGTGTATAAAGATATATGGCCGCACCCTACAGTTTACACAATTTTTATTGGAATTTTGAAACGATCATTCAACTCCAAAATATATGTATGAAAAATATATATACTTCTTTTTGAGCGGATGACATCTGCTGAACAGTTAAAACCCTTTATGAATTGGCCGCATGAACATTTTATTCTGTTTACAAAAGTTTTTTTTATGTGTGTTAAATCAGGGTCTTTCTATTTGAAAGGCCAGAGACATTCTTTGTTACAGCTATTTCGAGAATTTATCATAAGAATATGGATACAACATTAAATGTTATAGAAATATGTCATTAGATATAGCTTTATACCATGAAATTCTTAAATTTCAGCGGTTGATAATTCACTCTTTTAATTCTTTTATTTTTTTTATAAATCAAGATGATAAACAGCGTATCTAGATCTAAGCTATTTAATCTAGTAACTTAAGTTGTAATGGTACTATATTTATAAATGTTTTGAATTCAATTGGTAAAACTTTTTGAAACAAATATTTTCAGATTTGCCTTTTTTAAAAAAAAAAATCAAACTCGAATATTCTGTTTGTAAGCAGTATAAAACACGAGTACTGTGTGGAAATTATTCATTTAGGAGCGCAGTGGCTGCATCGGTTGTAATGCAATGCCTTAACTGTCTGTTTAACCAAATTTTCACAGTATAAAATGAATGGCACCATGTCTTTCCATACTTTACTACTGATAAAAAGTCATACTAATGTGTATAGACATTAATTTAAAGAGCAAAACTGATAATTTCAGAATTAAACATATAGATATTTTATATTCCAGACAAGAGATGTAGCTCACGGATCACGTGTACTTCGAAACAAGCTGCGTGATACATACGGCGCGGAAAACTTCGACAAAAAAGTATTCCGGGTGGAAAGGTTCCACAGTTTAGGTACGCGACCTTCCACCCAGGATTGGAACACTTCTTCAATCAGTCTATTGTGAAAAAAGACATTGTTACATTCTATCATTTTAAAAACGTTCTGGCGATTGCAATTCATTCTACATGCTCTATGTGATAATTTTCACAGCTCAGTTTTTTAATCACTTATCCACTTGTCCAATATTTTAAATCACTTATCCACTTTTTTTAATCGCTCATCCATTTATTTTCAAATCTTTTCTTCAGTGCTTATAATTGCAATTTATGTTTTGATTATACATGTAGCTCAAGTAAGTTATTGACCTTTTTGGTTTTACGTCTCACCAACACAGTATAGGTCATATGGCGAGTTTTCAGCTTTACTGGTGGAGGACGTCTTCAGGTGCCAGAGGTACCTTTCCGTTGACGAACGGGCACCTGAGTCAAAAAGCACCGATGTTTCAAAAGCTTGCTGGAAAGCTTTTTCATATAAAAGAATACAATGTCTATTCCGGTTTTCGAGCCAACAGCATGGAGGTGCAAGTGATTTGAAATCAACGACAAGGCCATGGGTGCTCCTATAATTTTTTACGCAATTGTTAAGTGTGTTGATATACTGTGTATACTGTGTATATAACTTTGTTTTGGTTATAATTATACATATAAGCAATATTATGTTTGAATTATACATGTTGTTACGATATGTTGTGTTACTGTGTTTTTTTACATGAAGAACATGAAAAATTTCATTTTCTTCAGAAAACTATGTAGTGTTACTTTCTAAATTACTTTTTATACTTAAAAATACCCCATTTTCATCCAATCACCTCATGTCCATTGAATTATACGGTTTTCCCTGCACTTTTGCCGTGTTACAATGCGATACTCTGACCAAATCAAGGAATACACCCCCACCCACCGAGGTTATCTATAATTCACCGAAAGTGATATACATTTAGTATATAATTCAAGAACAAATAGAAATTAATATAAATAAATTCGAATAACTGGAAACAATTGCAACCGAGAACTGAAATAGAGAAATGAATACAACAAGTATTTTCCCTACTTTCTATTACCAATTATAGGCTGAAATAATAAACAACAGAACAGAACAGAACAAATATTTTATTTGACTTAAGCATTACAAGCCCATCGTCGTTAACAATGAAAAAAAAGAACATATATATATTGGTATGACATGGAAGATTTTACATATAATACATGAATTATTATTTCCTTAAACATATATATCGTGAGAATGTAACAAGGAAAAAATATATTTATATATACTCAAAAGTTACATGGAAAAAAAAATTAACAAAAAAGGAATGATTTCAGATTGAGTACGAAATTTATATTATTACAATAGTGAATCCCTTAATTTGAAAGCTTTAAAACAATATAGAGCCAAATTTTTTATGATCTTCTTATTACTACTTTGCATTAATGATATATACTTAATTATATTTGTGTGGGTATAATAATACCTGGGTATATAGAGCCTTCTTAAATCGACATAAGCTGTACATTTTAAAATAAAGTGAAATTCGTCCTCTAGGTCGTTTAAATTACATAGTGTACATTTTCGTTCATCGCGCGGAATATTGTAGTGTCGGCCAACTTCAATGTTAAGTTTATGTGAAGAGAGACGTAATTTAGCCAGTGCGTTTCTAAATTTTGTATTTTCTAATAGTCTGATAAATAATTCAAGAACAAATAGAAATTAATATAAATAAATTCGAATAACTGGAAACAATTGCAACCGAGAACTGAAATAGAGAAATGAATACAACAAGTATTTTCCCTACTTTCTATTACCAATTATAGGCTGAAATAATAAAGATCGCAATTATTCAGATGCGCTTTGATTTGACATATCTTGTGTAGTATTTAGTTAACATAACATAACATAACATATTCTTTATTTGGCATAAAATGACAATATACATTTATAGCCAATACAGTAAACAATCATGTAATGTAAGAACATGATATACAATATAAATACCTTAACGAATTTTAATGTTTTACAGAGAAAGTTTTTGTTGCTACAAAATTTGAATAAATTTAAGTTACTGTTATCTTACAATGGAAGAACATCATTAATAATAATATAAAGACCTTGACAAAGTTGAAATGTTGTATTTGGTGCTACAAAACTTGAATAAATTTAAAATGCCTACTGTTGTCATTTCTTTCTTAAAATGAAAATTACAAAAATTTGACAAGATACTAACTGTTGTCAGTTTTTCTTAAGATGAAAAATACAAAAATAAATTTGACAACTGAATAAATTTAAGCTACTTATTGTTGTCAACTCTTTCTTTAAATGAGAAATACGAAAAATTTGACAAGTAAAGTATATCTGTTGTCCATTTTTTTCATGTGAAAAATACAAAAAAATATATATGACAAAGTCAAAAATATACCAAATGTTGTCAGTTCTTTCTTTAAATGAAAAATACAAAAATTTTGACAGGTTATTCAACATTTGCGTATTTGTTGTAGACATTAGTTTTTCAAATTTATGAATTGATGGCCAACAAATGTCCAATATTCTGTTCTTAATTTGTTGAAAATTGATTGTTATATGTTCTTGATTAATCCATATGTTCGACATTCCTATATCATTTAAAATCTGTTTAATTTGGCATGTCCATTTGTTACCACCATAAGAAAGACCGTTTTCTGCATCAAATTTTAAGACATTATACATACGTTTAAGCAGACATAGAGGATATTGAATGAGTGTAAGTTCAATACTGAATTTATTGCACGAGCTGAATAAAATAATATTATTTTATTCAACGAGTGCAATAAATTCTGTAATGAACTTACACGAATTTAATATTCTATTTATCACATTCCCAAAATAAAGACCGTTTAAAGTAAAATAAGAGTCATTTTTCAATGACGCGCCTATAGTATAACGCTAACATTTAGCGCGTCTTGACACTATGTTTGTATAACGCTTATGACGTCACGTCAAAATATATGCACGGCCGTGCAATACCATTTTTACGGAGTCGCAAAATCGGCACGGGTGTGTTATAAATAGAGGATATTGAATGAGTGTAAGTTCAATACTGAATTTATTGCACGAGTTGAATAAAATTATATTATGCGAGCCTCTGGCGAGCATAATATTATTTTATTCAACGAGTGCAATAAATTCAGTAATGAACTTACACTCATTCAATATCCTCTATTTATAACATACCAAAAAAAGACCTTTTAAAATTGAAATAAGAGTCATTTTACATTGACGCGCCTATAGTATAACGCTAACATTTAGCGCGTCTTTACACTATGTTTGTATAACCTTAATGACGTCACGTCAAAATATATGCACGGCCGTGCAATACCATATTTACGGAGTCGCAAAGTCGGCACGGGTGTGTTATAAAATCATTTTGTAAACTAATTAATTTTGTCCAATATTTTAACATTATAACTTTACGATGTATTCGCATTGGATGTCTACCGGTTTCGCCATAAAGACCATCCAGGTTTGTTGCTTTCTTAACACATAAGACTTTTCTGAGAAAAGTTAATATTTGTCTCCAATAGATAATTCTAATTGATTAAACACTGTAAATAAATTATGCAATGAAAACGAAGCATGTTGTGCTAATTTCTTTTGAGTTCTATTCCAATGACCATTTTTAAATAAATTAATCCCGAGATATTTAAAAAAAATTACGTTTTCCAGAACTATGTCATTATATACGAAATTGTAACTTGTATGTCTGCCTTTTTCAAAAATCATAATTTTCGTTTTATTAGTATTAACTTTAAGTCCCCAAGTTTGACAATATACTTGTAAATCATTTAGCATAGATTGGAGTGCCATAGTAGTATATGCAAATAAAACGGCGTCATCCGCGAAGAGCAGCAGAAATATTTTAGCGTCGTCGATTTTTAAAAAGGTCCTCCATATTGGAATTTATATTTTCTACTATATCATTCACGAAGTATAAAAAAAATAATGTGCAACTGGGGTCCCCTTGTTTTGAATATTTGAATCGAAAAAAGACGAGACTGTATTGTTATATCTAACAGCAGCTTTAACGGATGCGTACATACATCTTATAGCCGTTACAAATTTTGAACTTACATTTTCTGACAATAATTTCTGAAAAATAAATGTTCGATCCAATTTGTCAAAACATTTTTCGAAATCGAGAAATCACAATATATTTTTTTCTTTCTGATAATGACTTAACGATTATAGAGTGTAAAAGAAATATGCAATCCGTTGTAGATTTTCCTTTCTGGAAACCATACTGATTGTCAATAATTTTACTATGTTTAACAGACCACCTAGTTAGACGATTAAGTAAAATTTGAGAATAAATTTTTGCAATTATATTAATGAGGGTTATGCCCCTGTAATTCTTAGGGTCCTCAACATTTCCCCCTTTAAAAATTGGTATAATAATACCTGCTCCCCAATTATTGGGATATTCCCCATTTTCAAAAATTCTGTTATAAATTGCTAATAAAAATGGTGAAATAATATCAAAAAGAATGTTTATAGATCTCCGCAATAACAGAATCCGCCCCAGCGCTTTTACTATTATTTTGGGAAAAAACTGCCTCTTTTATCTCCGAGATTGATATAGAGCTATCTAAATCATCATCTGTTATTAACATTGGATTCGTAACTTGATCTCTGTCATTCGTTTCCACGCTATATAAATTCTTAAAATGAGTAAATAAATCAGAAATATTTAAATCATTAGCATAAACAGGATTTTTTGCATATTGTTTCTTAACCCTTTTCCAGAATTTGCGCGGTTGCGACTTACTTAATTTCGTAAGCGTTTTAGCTTCGCCCAATTTATACATTTTTTTTACTTTTTCTTATCGTTTGATTATACATATTTTTTGAACGTAAATATTGTTGTCTTAGGTTATCATTGGTTTTATCTTTTAAAAATAATAGTTATGACCATGGTGTCATTATCGTATTTCAACAAATGCTGCTAAAATATTTGGTAAATTGGCAAAAAAGGAAAAGACAGAAGAAGATAACTGTCTTTCGTCATGATATGTGTAATCTTAATTAATTACCTAATTTCACAAGAAATATGAATGATAAAAAAGAAGGTTTTCCCAATACATATAAAGTAATATGTTTATTGTATATAATTATATGTGTAAATATGATTTCTATTATATTTACGTATGTAAGCTTTGCTTACACGTCTTATAATTCTGTATAGAATGGCATATGTACTTTTACCAGTTTTATGCATTTTGATAGTGTTGTATATGTTGTTAAAAGCTTAGTATCTGACAGACATGCGGTCAAATGAAAATAATGCAAAAGGAATTAATATTTTCGATAATCATTTGTTATTTAATGTAATTTCATATGATTGCCGTGTTCAAATAAATAATATAAACACTAATGGTCTAAAAGTGGTTACTATGCGTCTGTAGGGTGCTTAAATATAATGTGAAATGTATGTCGGTCAAAAGCTATACATAGGTTATGTTTTTGTGATATGTTTAAATATAAATAAATTTGATTCGATTTGATTTGATACTCATATACATGTAAATACAACTACATTGGCTAAATTAAATAGCTTCACACTTCCCTTTGAAGTGTGCTCGTTGCTTGCAAAATGGCATTGGCAGAATATTTTAAGACTTGGAATAGCGAAAAAAAAAACAGAACTTGAACTTGAA